GCAGATAGTTTTACTGGTAGGAAGAACTCATTTTTGCATGGGCCTTTGAAATATCCGGGGAAACGACTAGATTAAAAACAAACAAACAAAGCAACCACCAGGCAGTACACTTCCCAGCCGTGAGAATTTTATTTGTGGTGTCTGTAACACCGAGGACCTATTTTACTTGTGTACCTTGGCATCTTAATGATGGTTTTACACTGCCAGCACCATGAAACAACCCAACACTGCCTGCCCTTCCAGCACTTCCTTCATTCTAGGAATAAACACCCATAAACAGCAAAAGGTAAAAGGGAGAGGAGCTTGCTTTTGTTAACTACTTCACTGCAGCACCAAATGCACCTCACTCATCACTTCCAGAAAGGCAACAGACACCAGGCCAACAGCTGCTTGCACATACAGCCACTTGATGCCTGTTCATTATTCTTTGTGATGGAAACACTTGGCACAGCATCGGAAGGGACTGAACAGCCTGCTTCACGGCTACATGGCATCCAGCAGAGCTGTTGCTTTCTTCTCCTGCTTACCTGTCCAGATTTGCTGCAGCTAGCAGAAGCTACATGTGACTTCTTTTTATTTCTATTGTTATTATTCCAGCTGTCTAGCACAGGGCAAAGAACTGCTTAGGACATGTCCCATGCTGTATGGTTCAAGAACTCACCTGTAAGTCACGGCACATCACACTCAGCTCTGTTCCTGACAGCAGAAGCACAGCGTCCACGTGCACACACTCAGCAAGCCAGCGACGACGGCCACATCACGCTCACGAGACACAAGCACAACAGGGATATACTCACTGAGGCAAAGGTGCCAATCTGTTTGATGTTCTGTTCGTAACTCTGCGAGCTGGTAGGCCTTCCAGGTGTTCGTCTGGAGTACCAGAACGTGTAATTATACTGCAAGGGGTGCTCAGCTGGCCCTGGGACAACTGCCTGCAGAACAGAAAACTTTGCTTATCCCTTATAAACTCCTCAGCATCAGGAATGGAAATAATTATATTCACAGCATCAGAAGTCCACACGTTCCTGCCCCCACAGATTATAAAACAAACATCTGATCCTTATTTTCACAGAAAAAAAATAAATACCATCTCTGTTAGTTGTCTGACATGGAACATTAGGCTAACAGCAGCTGACTGTTCCGAAGAATATTAGAAATTTGCAGTGCAGGGATGGCTGAGGAAATAATAACACGCTCAGGGAAGTGTCACAAAAAAGCATCTCTCATGAGAGCTAAAAGGAAAATTTAGTGATGCTGTTTCTAATTAACTGTGATTGTCTCAAAAAGAAAAAAAAAAAGACCAACTAAAAATGGCAATATGAGAGTTTAGCTTTCCTGAATTAAGAAGTCATTCATCTCTGGGAAGAGTAAAGCTCATTTATGCTAAACCATGATTCAAAAGCAATTACAACTCTTTGGTGACAACAACTCCCTTAAGCAACCAACACCCCACCACTCCGGGAGGATTAGTCTGTCTCAGAACTTGTTATGGCAGCTTCGGCAGAACCCATCGCTAGCAGTCAGCAGAGAGGTCTTTTCAATTTCCAAAACATCCACTTCCCATTTAAAAAGCCTTCTAATACACATAAAAGAGGTTAACAAGAACTCATTAGCTAAGAGTCAAAACTGACAGGGGAAAAAAAGCCTCAAAGCCCCCATCATGCATCCCTAGATACTGCTGCAGGAGTAACTAGGGCTTAAGTCTCTATTCTCTTCTCGAGAGCAATAAGTTTATAATGATTGTATTACTACAGACACGACAGTATTAAGTACAAGAAAAAAACATACGTATATCCACTTTCTTAACAAAGCTATGTGACACTCAGAGATTCCATCCTGAATTATTTTATCAGTTGCAAAAACACAGCCTGGTAAACCAACTGCAAACCTCTGTCAATCTGTCCTTCCCACGTCCTCTTCCAAAAAAAAGTTTTTTTTGGGGGAAAAACAAAGCTTTATACTCATTTCTACTCAAAAGCTTGGCTGTGCCTAGCTGCAACTTGTGAACGGAGCTTTTGCTCCTCAGGTTACATATCTTTGAAAACTAAATCAAATTATTCAAATATTAGCACAGCCCCCCTGCTGTCACTAGCGCAGTAGCAGCACGTGAAGTGAGCACAGCTCTTTAAGACATCTCCCTTATCCTAAGACTGAGGGCTCTCCAGCCCTCCCACCTCACGCCCTACCGAGGGAAAGCAGGTGCCAGCACCTTACCTTCCTCTTGGTAGTACTCTGGGGTTTCTCCCGGTCGTTCTTTTCCTTCTCACCGTCTTTCTGTGTGTTATTCTCCTCGTTCTGGTCATGGTCTCCGCTATCATCATCTTTCAATCTGACAGGGAGAAGGCAGGCAGGAAGCAGGCGTCACACCTCGCAGCCCAAACCTTTCACGCCGAACCCAGCCGCTCTGCGCTCCCCACGAGGTCACAACCCTCGGGCTGGCAGCCCACGCGGCCAGCACCACACGCGGCGTTCCCCATGCCCAGCACCCGTGGCAGCCACCTCAGGCACAACACCAGGCCCAGCAGCCGGCTCCCTCCCCCCCCAGCACCTCACGGCCGCGGCCCCTTCCCCACCGAGGGCGGCCCCGCCACAACCGGGGGCTGAGGCGGCCGGGCCCGGGCCCGCTCCCCGAGCCCAGGCGGGAACCCCTGAGGCAGCCCGGGAGCTTTGAGGGCCCGGTGACTCGCAGCCAAGCCCGGGGCGGCCCCGGGTGTCGGAGCGCGGCCGTGAGCGGGGTCGGGTCCCGTCAGGCCCGGGGCAGGCCCCGCCGCCGACTCACGCGTCGAATTTGTTGTTCATCGTCGCTCGCTGCCGCCACCTCCGTCCGCTCCGCCACTTCCGCCCCGCCGGGTCCGCCGCCCAAAGCCTTCCCCCGACTTCCGGCCGCGAGCCCCCAGCCGCCGCTTCGCTGCCTTCACCTCCTTCCCCCCCCCACTCCCCTCCTTCCCCGCCGCTCCTCGGCCCGGCGCCGGGAGCGCGGAGAGCGTCGGAAGCGGAAAAGCGACGCACCCGGCCGCCATCTTGAGTGTGGCGGAGGGTGGCGGGCGCCATGTTGGGTGTGGCGATAGGGCCGGCCCCGTGGGGCAAGGGAAAGAAGGGGAAGTTTACGTGGCTTTATTACATTATATGGCTTTATTTTAACTCAAAATGCCCCAAACAGGTTACACTGCAGGATTAGGACAGCTGACTCAATGGCATTTTGCCTAGTACCGTGGCACAAGCAGGGACAGTGACACCTATAGTATCACAGAATCACAGAATCACAGAATTTCTAGGTGGGAAGAGACCTCAAGATCATCGAGTCCAACCCCTGACCTAACACTAACAGTCCTCCACTAAACCATATCCCTAAGCTCTACATCTAAACATCTTTTAAAGACCTCCAGGGATGGTGACTCCAGCACTTCCCTGGGCAGCCCGTTCCAATGCCTAACAACCCATCATTTCTCACCTTGTACTTCAGGTACACCATTACGCAGAGGAGAGGCCACCATAAAGTATCAGTGGTGATGTCTGAGCCTCCCGAAAGAGATCCGTGATCACCTGTGTCATGGTGATCTCCGAATACAGAGCGTGGGTCATCCTTTGCCTGTAGATGTAAAATGGATGATGGGATTTAAGAGTCTCTTAATAGCATAGCAAATTTCCAGCAAAAGGGCTTTTTGCATCACAAAATCCATACTAAGTTGATAAGACAGCAGCCTTGTAGCTCTATTAAAAAATAATCTTACTGACTGAGGAAGACAGTGTACAATAAGGCTTGTTTCAGTCTAGGGTGGAACAACATTACTGCCTCTGTGGTGATTGCCAAGGAACGTCCTCAAGTACTTAGACAAAGTATTTCGCTTTTGAGGTTGAATTAAAAGAAATAAATAGGTCAACAGCCTCTCAGAAAAAAAAAAAAAAAAAAAAAAAGGAGGAGGAGGTAGGAGGGCAGCTGGAAATATCTGAGCTACAGGCATTTAAAATATGTTGCAGCTGTACAGGGGACAAATACTTATTACCCTTAATTTTCTGAGCTAAGTATGCATCAGTGAGGTCTCGTGGCTCTCCAGGCACCCAGCTCTTCTGGTGGTTCCTGATCTCGTCCTTAATAAGTGTTTTTAGATCCTGCAAGTGTGTTAGTGCCTCCACTGGACTGATTAACACAGGGTTTAAGTGCTTCAGCAGTGATGGCAAAGTTTCTTAGAGCTGCACGTGGAAACACAAGTACAAGGAACACCATGACATCTTGGCTTTGTACGACATTTAAAGCCTGAGTGTGCACAGCTGAACCATGTCTAACCCTGGCTATGATCCAGGTTTATTGTTGCACTGAGTATAGGAAATAAATGACCACTTAATTTCTTTAAAGTTTGTTTTGGAGGCAAGATGTGTGAAGGATGACCATTAGTATACTGTTACATTTCAGACTGACTGCTCTCCCCTACTAACCTTCAGAATTGTGGCATTTAAACACCCTTGAATACAGTTTTTCTTATGTTTTGTAAGTGAAGCCTTGCCCAAAATGACCTGTTTCCTCCTACACCTTAGGTCAACGCTTGGCTGTAGTTCTCAAAGCCATGACTATGTTAGCTTGTCCTGTTTTTTCTGGATGATCATTGCAGATTTCTTTATTATACCTTTTACTGTAAAGACTTCTTGAGATACCTTGGTATCATGCTCAGAAACTAAGAATCGTGCAGGCTAGGCTAGTACATGAATGGGAAACTCATTAATTTTGTGTATTGAGCGTATATTTGGGGCCCAGTGTTTGAGAAGGACATGGAGCAGTGGTTCTACAGAATTCCCCTTGCTGCCAAGAGCAACTCATCTTGGAAAGAGGCATTAAAAGTAGATGCAGGCATTGTACCAAACTCTGTTCTCTGAACAGCTCGATCTGCTAAAAATATTTCAGTATACACAACAGAAAGTCCCACAGGGACCTCCTGTGACATCCCTAAAACAAGTACATGCCCAGTCAAGGCATTCTTCACCGATTTGAATCCATTTAATACAGTTTAATCCTAGCCATGGTGTGTATACGTTTCTGTAGAGCCCAGCCCCCTAGGACAACAAAACACACAATGACATAAAGATATAAGACATTTACAGAGAGGCTGTGTCTGCCTTCTGCATCGTAGTGGTACTCTTAGACCAGAGCTCAAAGACCATTTCTATTATGTAGGGCTGTTTTGCGGTCCTTGCCATTGCATGAGAAAGGGACAGGAGCCACTTCATCCTGCTCTAAGGAAATAAAAGAGTTTGGGATCGTGTTTCACTGTTAAAATGCTAGAGGGCTTTCACTATTATTAATACATACATTACTATTTATGACTGTTATTTTTCATGTATCTGCAGTTTATATAGCCAACAAAGCAACTGTGTCACGTTACCCAGAAACAGTTCAATGGGATTTTTTTTCCATTTACATTGCCCCACCAGAGACGATTGATGGATACAGCAAAATCATAAACATTGCTTTTACTACCTTTCCATGGTCATTTGTTTTCCAGTCATACAGTGTTTTCAGAGTACCAGTGCTTAGACAAGGAACAGCCTTCATTGTTAAAACAGAAATTATAGTTGTAATTAACACCAGCAGCCATTAGATGGTAATGTTTGCTCACCGTTGCACTGAGCAGTGTGCTTGTCAGGTCTCACACAGGGAAGCAATTGAGCCAAACTTTTCAAACACTGCCACTGATGCGGGGCATCTCATTTGAGATGTGTTGGGAATCGTGGGTGGCCTGCGAACCACGAGTGGCCAGCCATCCGATCCTACCGGTGGCTGCTGGAGCTTGGGGTCTCACTAGTTCCTCACATCAAGGCTCTGGCACCCATAAATCAGAGACCAGTTTTGAACTCTTCAACCTTGGGTAGTTGAGAAAGACTTAATTGCACAGAGGGAGGGAAGAGGTGGTGGTGTCTCGCTCAAAGCATTAGGAGTTCAAATAACAACAACATCAGCTAGAGCTTGCTACTGTATGGGATGGGAGGTAAGGAGTTCTGAACATCTGTTTCAAGGATTTTGAAGTATGGAGTAGGGTGATGAATAAAGATCATGCCTGCACATGATTTTCATTTTACATGTACATGTATATGCAATACCAAGCCATATGTAACTACATATACATGCACACATATGTAACCATATATATAAAAGTGTGACCTTTTTTTATGAACACTTGTAGCACTTCATATGATGGACAGATGAAAGATGAAAAAGCATATCTCTGCCCTTGGGGGGCCAGGGAACTGGTGAAGACAGGCTATTCATAAAGCTGTTACGAGTTTTACTACACAGTTTCCACGTGTCCTGGCTTCTGCAAAGTGCCCTTAGGAATCCACTGGTAATGGTGTGTTGCTGATCTCAAATATGTTGCTCAGGAACATCTGTAGGCAGGACTACATCTCTCTGGAGGTGGGTGCAGGCCTCCTCCTTTGTGGGAAACAAAGATGTTGAAAAGGGATTCTGAAATATGCTGACCATAGTGAAAACACATGCAAATATAATGAGGTGCCTAGCTGCTGCCACTTGTTGTGAGCAAAGGCTGTTTTCTGCAGGGGAGAGTAATTTGCAGAATGGTTTTCACAGCAGTGGGAAGTCCAGTCTTTTAATTAATAGCTCAAGTAAGGTGGAGAGGAAAGAAAAAAACAAGTGCTTGAATTCCTGAATTGGATTCCATCTAGTACCCAAAGGAACTGCAGAATCTGTGGTTTCTTTTGTGCACACAGGAAAGCAGGGAGCCTCAATGATGCATCATCTTGCACAGCTCCCAGATTTAATGATTATCCTTGTTCCAAGGCTGCTGCAGAGAGGAGAGCCAGGGATGGAGACATGGCATGAATCCTGAGCATGAATCCTTCCTGGTTTTTCCTCCAGCAGCACATGGAGAAAGGAAAGAGTTCTGTGGGTCTCGTTTGGCAGCTGCAGTGTGTAGGCCACATTAAGGTAACATTACTAATGTATTCCTTCCAAGTCTGTGCACTGTCCAAGAAAAGGAAGTAAAAAAAGAAGGCCAGAAAACAATGTGTTGATATACTGCCATATCAAATAGTACACAGAATGTAACCTACTTGCAGTTCTGTCCAGCTGCTTACTTACACAGTCAAACTCAAACATACTGAGATTCTAATCTACCCGCTTGGTTGTGTTGCAGTGCCCATCAGCTCTGATAACAACTGACACTCACAACGCCCTTCCAAAACAAGCTGAATTCTGTGCGAGAAAAACTATTGTCAGCCTGATCTTCAAAATCTTAAAATCACAGGTAATAAAGCTTTTCTTTGTCTTTTCCCCAAAAAGGAAGATTAATTCATTTCCACCCCCAACAGCAAGAGCTGGCCTGGGTCAGGAACGACTCCAGCATGCTGCAGCCTCTCCCACTTTGCTGCTCCTGCGATGGGCAGGCCAGGCCTCTAAGGAAGTCTTCCAGGGACTCGCTGTGCCAAGAAATAACCAGCCAATAGCAACATTACCAAAATAAGGGCTACAGGATTCAGTTGCCAAGCAAATAAGCTTTGCTGCCTTGTTTTAGTAAGTTTTGCTTATTCTTCATGTTTCCTTTCCTCCCACCCCATAGCTTGTACTAAAATAACAGTCCTCCCCAGGTGCTATTTTTGACGGCGTGACTGTTCAGTGTTTTTCAGCATTTGCAACTGTTGCTGCAGTCCCTTTCCATTTATTGCTAATCCCCTCTAAATTCCCACAGGGAGATGCATGGCTTGTAGCTCCACTTAGAAAGCTCAGAGGTAAGATTGAATCTGGGAAGGAGCAGAAAGATGCTTTTACCTTCTAGCCAAGGATACATTAGAAGTCTGCACCTGAACTATTCACAAAACTATATTTAAAAAATAATAAAAATTAAAAAAAAAAAAAATTAAAAAAATCAGTACCTTCAAGAGTGTTTCATGGTGAGTTTGGAAGCTCAGCGTTCACAGATTGCCAATGAAGGGGAGAGGTGTTGGTCCTGGAGGCAGCTTCCTTCGGGCCCTCTGGTTGTTCAGGAACATCAGAGAAATCTGGACAAAAAGAAAGACAAGAACACCCACAAAAATTCAACATTGCTCTCATCTTCCTCCTCACCCAGCTAGTGCCAGAGCCCTCTGTCCCCACGTCCACTCCCCTACAGGCATCAGCCCTATTTGACAGCACAGGCAGATTCACCATGCCTAGTCCCAAATGTACCTGGGCTGCAGCAGAGCGTGTCCCTTGAACCACAAACAGACTGAAAAAATGGAAGAGGTGAACCGAGGTGAGCCACTTTTCAGCTGTCACGGCAAGGACAGGACTAGTAGCCTGGTCTGGACATGAGCTTAGACTTCAGAGACCTGGTTCAGTTCCCTGCTGTGCTGCAGATCTCCTGCATAATTCTGGGCAAGCTGCTTCATGTAGTTTCATGTTATAACCTGTCTGTAACCTACCTAGAAGCAAGATGCCTTGAAAACGAATAGTCCCACGTTTCCCTTTCACCAAGGCTGCATCTAGTGACCACAGAGCCATAAAGTGAGTAATTTGGCTGATCTCATGGAAAACCTTTCATTTTTAGGTGCAGTACTAGTTTCCTGCTAGCTCAGCAGTCTGAACACACTCACCTCCTGGCTGCTGTCTCACTGATGCAGCAGAAGCAGCAAGAACATGGCCAAGGACAAAGGGGACAGGACCACCCCTTTTGGCAGACTCTGACTGGTGGTTTTAGCTGCAGCACGAATCTTCGTCTGAATTCCTTCTGCCTCACAGTCCCTCCTGCATGAACTCGTAGGGCTGTTGCTGTCCCAAATACATTCCCAGTTAACCACTCCAGTGACAGGAGACAGAGAACTACCCTTTACACAAATTATATTAAGCTCTCTGGTGATTGTTTTTTTTCTAATGCACTAAAACATTCTCAACTAATCACCTAATAAGATTTCATAGGCAGTGAACGTATGGATGGCCCAGTAATGGGGAGACATAATAATGGGAGGAATTTATGGAAGGCTGAAAACAAATCTAAAAAATGTGTCCTTCTTCATAAACATTGTGAAAAACCATGAATCACTGTATAACACTTCAAGAAACCATGCAAAAGAGCCTAGCAATTGCCAGCACTGTTTTCCTCCCCCAGTCAAACCCTTCCCTGAGAGGTTCAGTTTTGTCTGTCTTTTGTCTGTCTTCAGCATCAGCAATTTGAATTCCCCTCTGTAGATCTTCACAGCAATTAGAGGGGAAGGAAAATGACTTCCCTTATAGTCTTACCCCATTCTAAGTACTATCATTATTATTTTCTCCTTGTTTTCAACATGCCTGGCAAAGCTCAAATAATTGGTAACCCAGCTAATTAGTGGAGATAGCTTGTTATAAAGCCTTGCTCCCACTTACCTACTCTATTTAACCACTGACAAGTAACACCTCCTTATGATCAACAAGAAGATTCCTCCTGGGGGCCCTCCCTATACTGCTCCCCACATGGTGCATCCTAGCCACAGAATGGAAAAATCACTCTTCTTGTACAGGTGATGCATCTTTCTTCAATCATATTCAATAAAACAGACCACTTCTCACCAGAAAATGAGCTGGAGACAGCTGTCAGAAACAGCATTAATGTCACTTTACCTGTGACTGTTTCTGAATGAAGTGAGATTTTTTTTATTTTTTTTATTGCCAGCTGGTATATGAATGCAAATTTTTTGCTAATTCATACTGTAAAACTCAGGATACATCAATACAGGTGTCAAATGAGTGAGAAAATAGCACAAGCTTTCACAGACCAAATTGACTTATTCTAGTCAGTATAATTATAAATTAAAATATATAAAAAGAATTTAGAATTGAAAATAGTTAACATAGTGAGACTGATTGCTGATGAAATGACCTTGGTGGATTTTAGAAACATTAAATTTCTGCCATTTTTAACTAACATGGGACTTTCAAGATGTCTTCTACTGCTCAAGGAGACAGAAGAAGCTGCACTGGGAGAACACAGTGGTGGTCTTTACAGGAAAAATAGTTTTGATCCCATGTTGCTGCCAGATGTTAAGGATGGGAGTTTTGCCTCTCTTATTAAATGCCTATCTGGCAGCACTGTTGTCTCTTCAGGACCACCCTAGGAGAGGCCAGGGCAGCTGGCTGTGCTCAGCAGCACTGTTACGGGGACGTTGTGCTCTCTGCTGTGTCTGACATGCTTGTTACATGCTCTTTGCTTTCATTTTGACTCTCAGGGAATGGAAAAAAAAAGAGTGAATACTCATGCCAAGGCAGCAAGGTGAAGCTAATGGGCCTGGCTGTATCTGTGATTCTTAATAAATCAAAGATGTGTTTGTCAGCTCACCAAGAGCGTGAAATGCCATTTGGATGCAGTCTCACAAGTTTTTACCTTTGCACTTCCATCCTAATGATATCTTTGCGCTGACCTCCGTGTGTTCTTTGGGGAAGCACAGTCCAAATGGTTTTACGTGGGACTTCATTAGTCTCCCCTCTTGTCTTGGCTAAGTCTAAACACGGAGCAGTGCCCAGTGCAAAGTGCTCGCTGTAGTTTCTGTTCCCAGCAAAAAGAGGTTGCGGAGAACCCAGAGCAGGTTGTCTTCATCAAATCACGGAGCTGGGATTGCCTTTAATCTTCAGGCAGGAGAGGGGTGAGATTAGAGCACAGCAGACCTTCCAGCACATGCGGCCATTAACATAACTCCAGATGACTTCAGCAAACCACACTTTGCAGAATCTGTGATTTCCCAAACCAAACAACTGTGAAGAGCAGTAAGAAAGAGTAAAAGATCTCAAGTCTCTGTTTCTTCATGTTTGAACAAAGTCCCCTGTCTTGATTTAAGAAGTGCTTTGAATGATAGCAAAAGATCATTGTTGAGATCATTGTTGGAAGTTTTTTCAATGGCAGATGTTTCTTTCAGAGATCTGACGCATTCAGAACTCTCCGTGGGATTTCCTAATTTCAATGAAAATTTTAGAACAAGTTTGTAGAGTCCCACTCCTCCACCAGTGTCCTCCCGTGTGCAGCATCCATGCACCACATTCAGTGTGTCTAAGTCAGGTACAAGTCAGTAAAACCCTGTGTTTCTCCTGCTTACTTAGTCTCTCCGTAGGTCTTGATTTCCAGCTTTACCAAAGAATGTGCAAAGTGTGAAATCTCTTGGCAAGCAAATACCTTATTGTGAAGATCTGGGAGATGGTTTGGGAGCCAGGGCAAAACATTACGGATCAGTAGGAAACAGAGCAGATTTGCCTTTATTCTTTCTACTTAAATTCCTAATAGTTCTCTCAACATATTAAAATATTCAAGACAAATTTTGGCAGCAAGATCTGCTATTTAATTATACCAAGAGATGTATTTTGATACTGCGAGGGTGGTTCAGTTTTAGGACTCTAAGTAGGAGTATCTAAAACATATGGTTAGAGCACTGATAGGAAACATCTGAAAGATCTAACCTGAAAAAAAAAAAAAAAAAAAAAAGAAAGAAAAGAAGAAAACACTTTGAGTCTCATGTAAAATAGTAGTCAGAGAAGGCAAAATCTTCAAAATCTTGAGAAATAGTTTCTTGTCATCTGACAGGCTCTCTGGGTACTTTCACCACGGTGTCATACTGTCAGCTGGGATCTGGTTGCTGCTGTAGCTGGCTTGCAGCCTTTTTTGCTTTCCATGTTCTGTGCTGTGGCTCATACCTGGTTTCTTTGCATAGTTTAATTGCTTTGTATTGATCGTATTCCGCTTGTGGTGTTCATGTTTTTATTTTTCTTCTTCTTGCAGGACTCCTCTATTTCAGCCTTTCTCCATCTGCAGGACACGATCTTCAAGCAGTTTTTTAACTGATTCTCCTGGAAACAACTACGTACAACCAAAGATACTTACAGGGGGCTGGGAGATGTTATCCAAATTAAAAACATCATTCACTGTTCTTCTGAATCCTGTTCACTACATGGTACTCATAGAGAAATAACTGCTGTGAGCCCAGCAAGAAGACTGAGTAATCAGTATTTTTCAGGTTATTCTATGCAAGGTTGTACCAATGTCTCTTCTGAGGTTAATAACAGAAAAAAAGCAACCCAAATCCAGTGAAGGTGTACAATAGAAGTGGTAGTACTGATGGTAAGAAGATAGGTAATCCTCTGTAATACCATGTCCTGCCCAAGACACTAATCATGAAGAAGTAGAATTGAAGCTTAATAAAGCAGAGAAGAAATTGTGTCCTTTAATCCCCTTCTTTATAATCTTGCCATATTATTGCAGTCACTATTGTCAAGAAAGCTTACTTTCTTATTCTTATATCTTGTATAGTAAAGTGATTGACTCTGCATGCTCTGCTACACAGCAGCATATCAGAAGAGATTACACACAACAAACCTCTGCAGGAATTCTGAGTGCTGTATATGACAGTACAGGTTGTTCCCAGGTTCACAAACACTCGTCTGTTCACACTGAACAGTACAGGAACTGAATCATCTTCTCAAGTCTTCCTGGAACTTGATGATAAAACCCCTGACAACTCCTTGTAATTTAGTACAGCCTCATGGATCCCCAGGCTTGGCCTACTGGCATCTCACGGTGCTTATATTTAATGTGGCAACCCCCAAACCTGGCCTGAGAAAATACTGCCTGTGTAACACATCTGATTAATTCTTACTCGAGATGCTGGATTTTGTCCTTGAAGACAAAACACATGCATTTTCGAATGGCAATTGCAAGTTGCTCTCCCTTCCTCTAGCAATGTGAGGACCCAGGTCAGTCCTTGACAACTTTAAGTCATCCGTCTGCTTTTGCCTGGCTCTGGAGAGAATTTTTTACTTGGAATTTCTTGTTTGTGAGGTCACATTGGAGAGCAGTAAGACTTAAGGGATAATGGGCTGAGAAAGAGTGAGTCCTCAACTGAAATACACAAGTGACTGTATTGGTTACCATTGAACATAAGAGAAAAAAAAAAAAGTAAAAAAAAAAAAAAGTAGGTAGGCTGGTGTGATTTAGGCTGGTATCTCTTAATACATACAGATTTCTTTGGAAGTTCAGTACCACTAAATACCATATCACATTACCTCTGTAACTTTGTGTGAACCTGGAAATCTCTCCTTTAGTCTGCCCATGTTTGCAACAATAAACTAAAGGTTTTCGAATTGACTTAATTGTTTCCCTGAGGGTCAAAATACTGCTTTATTCACTGGCTTTGGCTGAGTCACAGACACTCTGTTTTCATTCCCTCTAAGGCTCAGAAGGCTCCCCTAAATCCACGTTTATTTCATGGATTCTGGTAGCAACATCAGTTTTTGCAGGAGTAAACTACAGACACAGCATTGCTCAGTGTATAACACAGCTTATTTACATGGCATCTTTTGATCATTTTTATATATTTCAAACTAGCTAGCAGATAATGTACAAGTTGTGTAAGTCCTCCGGGAGAGGGCTGTGTCACCATCTGAAACCTACACACAACCTGTTTTGAGTGGTGAGTGTTTTGCTCTTCATCCATTCCTAGGCTTGACTGCAAGTCTGCAGGCATCACTTCAGCACTGTCCAGATTCTGCTTAGGCAGTCCTTGATCCACACCAAGAAAATAATGCATTGCAGAGACCCCTCAGAGACAAAGAGTGATGCAGTTGTCAGTTTTAGCCACTGCTCACATTCAAAATGATCGGTGCTATGTAACACAAACTCCTGCTCAGGTTGTGGTTGTCCTTTTTGAAAAACAGCTACCCACATCTCCCTTCTCTGGGCAAACGCAGCAGCCCTAACAATTAAACAACATTAATACTGTCCAGTTAAATTTGAGCTCTGTTATACCACTGCTGGGCAGTGGAAGTGGGTTAATAGATGGGATCAGAAAGTTAAGGCTATTGATCCCTATTAATCCCTATTGAAAGGATAAAACAAAGATTAAAAATTGACAGTTTGTTTATAATTACACCGGTACCTGAGTTACATGAACCTTACCTCTTAGAAAGTTCACTCATCTTCTTCCACTGGTGGGTATGGAAAACAATTGAATCCTGGCATGCTGTCTTGTAATTAGTCCACAGTCGTGTAGGAACATTGTTTAGCATGCAGTGAAGAGCATGAATGATGTTTTCGGGTACTGGCACTCCTGAATGAATCTGTACTTCAAATCCTGGCTAGTGTTTGTTGCCCTGAACAAGCTTTTGCAGCTGGCTAGTTGTGTACTGGCTCTGTGCTCCCAGAACGACTACAGAATCATAAAATCATCCCTTGCTATTCCTTTGTAAATCATGACTGTGAACTGGATTGAACTCAAACTGGGGAAAAAAAAGCATGCAAAAACTGTTGCCTTTGTAAGATTTGATCTCAGAGAAGGCACCTTGGTATAGCTGATTGGATGCATTCCACAGTATGAAGTACATTGACCTCCTGTGCTGAGCTACCGTTAAAAGGCAAAAAGGCATCGTCGTGTAATTTGCCTCAACAAATGAGAACAATTCCTAACAGTATGATTTAAATCTAGAGAGACATCTCACAGGGCTAGGGCAGAAGGATGAATGAAACTTACCTGTGCATGCTGGAAAAATGTTAAAGAGATGACATTTCTTTTCTTGGGTACAATTTTTATCTACAAATCTAATCTAACAAAATGACTTGCTGATTCAAATTACAGTACCCATATCTCCAACCATTTGATCTGCACATGAAGCTGCATTGGCCATAATGCTTCAAGATGGCAAAGCTGCTCTTCCCTTGTTCTCCATCACTGTATCATATGGCTCGTCTGATCTGCCTGACCTATAGCATACTCTGTAACAGGCACACAGAAGTAAACCCAATATTCCTTACACAGTCGTACTCACAAAGAGATGCCTTTGTTTTATTCTGCAGTGGTTTTTCTGCATATGCAGCCATAGACACCCCTCCCTCTCTCTTCCACTGAATATTTCAGCTCAGGGTGATTTTTGCAGATATGTTAACTGTACTTTTCCCACATTGAAACTCAACTATTTTAATGCTTCATCCATCTCCATTCTCCCCATAAATTAGTTCCTTCATGACACCGAAGCTTGTTGTTCCTTTCAATTCAAGTCAGCTGCAAATGTTATTAATGTGATATTTCACAATGGTAAAAAATATCAGGCATAACGAGGACGAAAAGGAGAGGTGGTAAGATAATGACATTTACAGCATCAGAATTTTATGGGGAGGGATTTCCTCATCCCGGGTTACTCACAATTCCCAGTTCAGGCTGCTCTGACAGTGCAGGCTCAAATGCAGATTTCAGGTCTGATGATATGTGGCTACTTTACAATGCATTAAAGAAAATGTGTGCAACCCCCATTCAATTAGCATATTATCTCTTGTTTTGACCAGAAATTTCATTCTAGTACTGAATAAATCTGATTTACCGTTCACAATGCATTTTTATCACCTGAAGACATCTAGAAAATGAATAAATTAAGCTCTGAAAAGAGCCAGCAGCGAGACTTTTAATCAAAGGAAAATGAATAGCACTAAATGCATTTTGGCTCCTGCTTCAGGATTACAGGTTGCTTGGATGAACATCTTTTTCCAGTCTCAGTTATATCCCAGCAGGTACCTGGTCAGGGTCTAGTCTGGAAGTAAGAGCAAATTGTTCAAATGGAAAATATAAGATTATGACAGTAAACACTCAAACTGAAGCATGATATATCGAACCATTTTAATTCTGAGAAAATGGCATAACAGCCATGCTCTTCCAGATGAAAGTTCAACTAATCTAATGTTCCTTTTTTGACAGCACACGGTAGCAGAGGCCTTAGGAAAGGTTATAAGAACAGGAAAAATGAGAAACACTGTATTGGTATTAAATAACCCAAAAGGAATTTTCTTGCTGAAAATTTATCCAGCAAGGAAATGCTTAATACAACATCCAGTGGCAAGGAGTTGCACAGCTTACCAACAAGGCATGTATAGTACCATCCCTTCTGGCTCTTTTGAAAAATCTCTGGTTTTGTTGCATTTGACACCTGCCAGTCCTTCCATTGGAGAGATGTTTTTTTCTTTTCTGTTGGCTCCCATCTGGTTCAGGATTTTCCAGGTCTCCTCAAAACTATAGAAATAGTTTCCCCAGATGTGCTACAGACTATTTTAAAAATGTAATACCATCAAGTTGGTTTCCCCACTACAAGTAGTTGATTCACTGTTTCACACACGGGAACATCAACAGAGACAATTAAGCTCAAGCCTTTGACACACACCAGTTTCCTAAACAACATGTTTGAACGGAAGAGCAAACATGATGCAAAATCTACCAGACTTTCGCACAATGCTTTCTTTTTCTCTGCTTCCTGCTTTCTCCTTCTGACAGGGTAAATAGTTTCCCTGAAGCCTGGCACACAACTTGCCACGTGGTTGTTACGCTAGTATTGCTGTCTAGGAGAGCCCTACCATGAAACAGAAAAACACATGAGAGGGGGAAAAAAAAAAAAAAAAAAAAAAAAGAATTGAGGATCTTGGTATCGGGCAACCTGGCAATATTTTCCTTAACTGTAACCTTAGAAGAGCTGGGCGCCATATAATGCTAGGCAGCTCTTTCCTCTCATGTCCAGCAATTTTAAATGCTGTAAGCTTCCTGCATCCACAGACTCCTGCCATCCTGCAAACAGGAAGCAGAGCAGCCACCTCTGTGATTCTCCGGCATGAACTGAGTTTTCCCTGAAGGAGTGGCAATGCTTTAAGAAGTAATACATCCAGCTGGGGATCTTTCCCTTGAATAAACACCTGCAAACTGTTTTCAAACCTTTGTAAACCTTTTTATTAAGGATGACAAGTCTACCACAACTCAGAGACCTGAGGCTGTGGTTGACACTGTTTATAAAAGAAATAAAATAGATGGAGTGGAGGGTTAGTCCCTTCACTTCAACAAAATGTTACATCATGCCAGTCATTAGCACCAAGGCGTGCACCTTTTCATCCGGCAGCTCTGATGGCGAAATGCAGATGTGCCTAGGGGCTGTAACCAGCAGGCAGCTCGGTGGTGACAAGGTGAGCAGGACAGCAGCACTTGAAGGGGCAGAAGGAGAATGAAAAGGGCTGTGGGCAGGGGATGAGGGAAGCCAGCCAGGTTTCCTTAAGATTGGCCTTGGACCCTTTTTGATAATGAGGGCAGCAAGGCACTAAGCATAGCAACTATTTCCATGATCCCACCACTCTCTGGTGTCTTCCCCCACCAGCATCTGGCCCAGGATTACTTCAGCTGTGTCCCCATAGCCTGCAAATCTCCCAGCTGCCAGAGGTCAGCCAGGCTGGGAGCTGGGTGTCTGGGAGCCCAGAAAGAGCAAAGTTAATTTGATCAGATTTCCTGAGTTTCTCTTTGCCTTCCACATCATTCTTCTCAAGCCTGGCAAGACTGCCAGCTTCCCGCCTCCAGAAGGTAGAGCTGGGGGGCTCCTGCCCCTCAGCCAAGCTTTTAGGAGATTCTCTAAAAGTGAAACATGCTTCTTTGTAGTGCCTTATAAGGGTTTGGTGGACACAGTCCCTGAGGGGCTGAAACAAGCAGTAAATTAGCAAATCTTTCCATGTTGTGCCACTCCTAAGGCATGCCTAATCACAGAGACGCTGATCTATCAGCCTGCACTGAGTACAGCTGCAGTCTCAATGGACATAATGTTCCAGACCTCGAGCACAATCAGCTTGTAACACATCTTCTCACTGAGCCTCTTCAGCGAGTGGCAAGATGACAAGAGGAGTGGGCAAAGGCAGCAAGAGATGCCATCGCCAGCAGGGTTCATGCGGAGGAGGAGGTGTGGGAGGGTGGGGTGGGGGAGAAGAGCAGATAAAGCTGGAAAGGAGGCTGAGCAGAAGTGTGTAGGCCCTGGAACAGTATTTGATATAGTCTGTGTAGTCAACAGGAGAGATTATTCATGGCAGTGATTGCTATTGTGAACCCTCCCCCCCACTGTTCTGCTTTCCCTTCCAGCCCAGCAAGCCTGCAGATGCTGGGTTGTGATACAACAGACGCTGTCAGGACTACACTTTCTGAAAGTCAGCGTGACTTTCAGTAGTTATCACTTCTTTTTAGTGACATGCTCCTCCATTTTAAATTAGGAAGTTCAGATGCACCACAATGATTTAATTACAAACAGATTACATCCCAGTATAAAAACACTTTTGGTACTCATACAAATTCAGTCCTAAGTTTGCATCAGTGCTTACAGCTTTACTGAACTCCAACATTTGAATCTTTTCCAAAAGTGTTTTGGACCCAGGAATACTCCAGCACTTTGATTTATCGTAGCTATAGATGAACTTGGCTATCATCTCCAGCTGTATGCTTCAACTGTCTCTGTCTTGAGTTGAATCCGTGCCAGTAAGCAGCTACATTAAGTAACAGATATTTTAGGATTCCTGCATCAAGTCCTCATTTAACTTTTCTTACACTGAGCTACCCCCAGTGCATCCTCTGTAGTTACTGTGCTCTTCTTTCTATGGTCTAGAACCTCGAAGGAGAAATAAATGAAATCTTCCAGGCTCCCTCTTGAATACTCACTGATCATTGTTTTCAGCTCAACACTTGTTGATTCCTCTGCTAGTACTCCGAGTCAGAGACAGAATTTTGATTTGTTGAAAGGATGTAAGTGGTGGGAAACCAAAAGGGAAGGTGAATCCTGAAACAGAGTTTATATGGAGTGGATGGGAGTAGGAACTGAAAATGGGGAAGGACAGATTGAAAAGAGATTGAATGGAGGGCAGGAAGTATAGTCCGAGTTATAATGAAGAAAAGGTCCCAGAGAAGATGAGGTACATCTCAGCATTCAAAAAGTCCCTATATGCTGCTTTTCAAAGTCTTTACATGCCTGTGCTGCAAGCAGGTAGCAGTGAAATCCACTGGCAAACTGAATATCTCACCCCACATTCATGTTTCTTTCAGGCAGAATTGGTAATGGGCTCCTACTGCTACCAGGTACTGTGTTCATCTGACAAGCAGAAGGCCTGATTAGATCATGAAGTCCCAACCTCTTAGTGACTAATGTCAGCATGATTCTACATCATAGAAAATGGATTTAAGAAATAATAATAAAGCTGTCAATACATCATAGCAATGATCACACTGCCAAGCAACACATTCATGTTGTTAGTAAATATGAAATTTAAGTTTATTCAACTTCAAATTGACTCTTCATCTTCCACGTGGGAGAGATGCTTACCTCAAACTCAGACATCAATGCACCCATATTCTAGTGTGTTTCCCTTTTTCTTTTATTTGTACCTCTCAACAAATTAGAGTGCCTAAGTTCAGGACAGTAAAGCAAAAGCAGAACTTTAAAGTCAAATGGCTCGAGGACATCAAAACTCTCACAGAAATGAAACCTACTTAGCTCTTGCTGAGGTCCTTTGTTGAGTTTTACCGAGGTTTGCTCCATAGTGATTACCATAATGTTCCTTCTTGGCCAGCACAGGGAGGCACAGCAGGCTGTCTTCACAACTGGGAACCACAGCATCTTGCTCAGGTGCTCTCCAAGAGGAAAAAACAGGTTAAGATCCTTGCAAGGTTTTCTGGGACCGACCCAAAAGTTGCCTGGACCTTGGCTTGTGTCTGCTTTCTGGATAGTCCTGGGATAGACTAATACCAATATACTGGCTGGTAGAGGAAGGTTTTTACATTTGAGAGGAAGTTCACTGAGGTAAAGGTGGCTGCGTCACACTGGTCTGCGATGTGCTGCATCCTAGCGTGGAATGGCACAAACCTTGTATGGGTGGGGCTGCAGCGTGGCCCCAAAAATGGGCTCTGTGTTGATCTTTGTCACTCCCTCAGGAAGGCGGAAGGTGAATGCCCGGAGAAGGTTGGCAAAAAAAATGAAGAGCTCAGTCCTTGCTAGGTGCTCCCCCAAACACACTCGGTGCCCTGCAGAAGGAAAAGGGAAAGGACAGTGAATATCTAGGATTTTTTTAGTTTTGTCATCACTTTGTTCATTCTTGCCATAAGCAGAGGGGACTCTTGTTCAGGGCCAGGATCCTGAAAACCACAGAAATAAAACTTCCTGAATTCATTCTCAGAAAGATCCCATCCCTCCAATGTCGTAGGTTAGGAGACACCAAACAAAAAGCCCAGTGCAAATCCCTGATGTACTACCATCTTTCTTTCTTGACCAGGCGGAAAATTATTTTCCTTTTATAGCAGATCTTGAGCTTCAGGGTCAGACATGAAGAATCTGCCAGCTGTTTGCACATGCTTTCTTAGTGAGTTCAAGTCAGCAGATTAAAATTACTCGGCAATGGCCTTTGCAACTGAGCAAAGGCTTGGTCACTTTACAGGCAATCAAGAAGCCTACTGTTAATTTCCAAGTGTTCCTCACTGGAACCAACGGCACACACAGCACAGAAACAAGAACTAAAGAAAACAAGTTAATGATATATTCACGTTTCCAGATTAGCAGACAAATTAAGGGAAAGCAAAAGCCAGCTATTCCATTTGCACTAAGAAACCGCTCCTGGATGGGCATCTAAGTGACTACTACCCTGCTACATCAGCAGAGATACTAAAACAGAGTAAGAACTTTACTGCTGAATATGGTCACAAACTCTGCTATGTTATCTTAATTCCCTTCTTTTGCAACTGGCTTTTCAGTTCTGTACCCAAGAACTTTGTGTATCGGGATGCATTTCTTCTCTTCTTTCAGCTCGTTCCTATAAGAGGGACTGCAAGCAACTCCAGCATACAAAAGGTACATCGCTTCTCAGTGGAAAAAAATAAAAAATAAAAAAATATGAAGGATACTACAGGAAAAAAAAATGTGGATGACTGCAATATTTAACAAGCCTAGGAGGTTCAGGAATTCAAGTGGGATTCCTACCGCATTGTACTAAGAGCAGGTTGGTGCCAGAGAGCACAAAAGTGTCTCTCTCGGCAGATACAAGCCAGTACTATTATATAAAAGAAGCAAACAGTGGTGACATAAGGTGTTATCTGAAGAAATATCACAGTCTCAAACTTCTGTATTCTTCATGTAATCTGTTGGGACCGTTCAAACTGCCAGTGCACTTACCTGCTGAGAATGGTAAGAAGGCTTCTCGATTTTTAAAGTTTCCTTCTTTATCCAGGAAATGGCCAGGGTTGAACTCCCGAGGTGTCTCCCAGTGCTCAGGATCATACAGAACAGATGCTATATTTGGCAAAACAATGGTGCCCTGCAAGGAAGAAACCACTGGTACAGTTCTATTGACTAGCCTCTCACCTCTCAGTTTCTGCCTGGTGGATAAGACTTCTGTTTGTTGCCATTGCTTTGTAATGTGCAGATACCAAGTGGTTAGAGGAGTATCTTGCTAGAAAACAGGAGTTGTTAGTCATTTTCTAAGCTGGAAATTATCAGTTCCCAGCCTTGCGACCATGCCGGTGGGTGTTATTAGCATTAGTGATGTTTGTACAACTATATTGTAGTGCCCACTTCTACTGGTAGTTTTAATGACTTTTGTAGTAGGTCTCTTTTGTTGATATTCAGGTCCCAGTCTTGGAAACCTTCTTTTGGGTTTGAGAGGGAGAAAAAGCTTTGTCTTTACTGGTGAAGAGCACGTTATTCCCAGCAGACCAGCTTGTGTGCCTTAGGGTACCTGACTGTCAGATCCAGCCAGAACAGAGACTGAAGCCTTCACCACAAAGTGAGTTAGGTGGGGCCAAACATGGAAGCCAGTAATGGTACTGGCCTCTCCCATCTCTCTTGCAATAAAAGCAACCCATTCTTGCTAGGGTTTTACAGTGAGAACTGGCACTCAGCATAGCTTATGTCACTTGACAAAATTATTTAGTGGCTGTGAACACCTGTCTCAGGCTTTATTTTGGAGCAACTCCCTTGCTGTCAGCTGTACAGATTCAGGCAGGTCATTGCACTTGTCTCAGCTCATGGAGCTATTACCATCCCCTTACAAGTCTTCCTCCATCCCAGCAGTGCCAAGCCGGGCAAAAATGTCTTAACAAGTGCTTTGACAAACATTTCTCCTCTCAGTCTATACCCCCAGCCAAGTACAGCTGGTCTCTGCTGTTGTGTCATTTGTCTGTACCTTTTTGACAGGGAAACCTAGCAGTTCTGTATTCCTCACACACACTCTGGGCATGCCGACAAAGACAATGTTGCTGAAGCGCTGGATTTCATGAACCACAGCATTCGTGTAGGGCAGCTTTCTCCGATCCTCATAGCAGATTAACTGGGAAGGACCCAGAACAGCATCCAGCTCCTTCTGCACTTTCTCTGTGGAGAAATATTCATCACTTCAGATTGGAAAAATGCATCAAGTATTTCAACTGGTCTCTCTTCCTTCGAGCAATAGGAAAAAGTAGTATTTCAGCATAGTACATAAAGTCTTTATGATTTAACGTCTGAATTTAACATATGAAGCTAAAAGTCAATAGCAAAACAAACAAACAAAAAAGCAGTGTGGTCCGGAATCATAAACAAGGACTATACTGTACTTATTTCAGCTTTGACATTTATCTCACAGTATGCATGGTGGGTGTAGGGTGAGTCACTCAGCTCCACATTTTGGAGGTATTTAGGGATTGCTTAGTTTACTTTATCTTAAATTCTATATCTCGTTTTCAAAATTGACGCAAATGCCTTGGATATTAACTCCCAGTGCAAAGGAGGACTTGGTCCAAGTATGGCAACAGTGAACAAACATCAGAATCACCCTAAAAGTCTGAGTGCAAATATGCACATGATGACACAGTCTTTTCAGCTTCCTGCTCAGATTGTGGGAATACAGATATCTTCCTAGCTTTCAGCACTTGAGCACAACAGATGGAAGAAATGCTGACTCCAGAATTATCCAAGTCCTTCTTAAACCCTGGCCATATCCTTTCTCTTCCTAGTGTAGATTTTAGATGGGGGAGATTCAGTCTGGATCTACAGAGGCATTCATGGCATTGACTTGTCAGTGCAAATAACTTTTCTTTCACCATGACTGCCTTCAGCCATCTGGTTTGGCCAGGTGAGAGGATGGACCTTTGTTTATTTCCACTGCTGTAATTTTAGCATGGTGCTCTTAGTGTTTCCAGAGAGTGGGAGCCAGGCTCAACTAGTGGCTTTTGTGTCTGCCACTCATTGCATCCAGCCCTCATTAACATTTGTAGTACCCACAGTATTTCACAGCAAGAATCCCTCTCACCTTGGATGTCTGGATACACCACCATGTAGAGCAGTCCCCAGTACAAGGTTGTGCTTGAAGTCTCTGAGCCACCAAGGAAAAGGTCATTTATAACATACACCAAATTGTCTTCGTCATACTTGGGCTTGTCCTCATCTTTAGACTGAAGATGATGATAAAAAGGTGAGGATAAACATTAAAGTTAGGTTATCCTGTATACCTCCTGAGACTCATTATTTCCACATGTGGAAATAGTAGCACATACACAAAGAATATTCAGATTCACAGTTTTTGATGAGTACTAAGAGATTAACAGTTTCCCAAATGTATGTGGTAAGGCTGTGTTGCTCTTTTTCGTGAGGTGGATTATTCTTTCATTAAACAAACAGGCAGTTTCATGCCTGATGACTTAATCCTGAAAAATTTAGAACAAACTACAACTTTTACAGTTAGCCCAGAGCGTACTTCTAAACATGTGCCCAGCAATGTGTCACTCGTTTGGCCTTGGTCTCTCCAGTAAGCTATCAAACAGTGTCATCAGGCAGAACGAATACTTACTTTCTCTATCTCAGCCAGGTAAAAGTCAATGAAATCTTGCGGTTCATCTGGCATCCCTCTCTCCATGTGCCTTCTAATCTCCTTCCTTGCAAAAGAACTGAGGACATCGTAGCAAGACAATGCCTTCTTATGAGGACCAGGGAGACGGCACATCAGCCAGGGGAAGATTTCGTACAGCTGCAGGAATGACATACAAGAGGCAGCGTGAATTAGCTGTCAGTAACAAAGCTGCTTTAGAAGCACCAAAGGGCTGAATTGTCCTGTCTGGAAATGCTGATAGTGGAGTAAACAGATTGTCATTGTTTTGAGTATTATTTTTTTTCATCATGTGGGGAAACATTAATATTAATTTTGACACACTCCTGAATCTGGGAGTGTCAGCCAACACTCTGCTCACGCCACTAACTCAGGCAACTGGTGGAGCTCACAGAAAGAAAGCATAGACTGGGTAGCACCCTTGGATAATTTGTTTTCCTTTTCAGAGTCCTTTTAACTGCCAGAGGAACCAATAATGATTAAAAATGTTAAATCTTCAGTCTGCTCAGAGTAGATTTATACACATACTTGTTAGCTCAAAGTACCATCTTCTGTTTTGGACAGCTCTCTCTTTGCAGCATGTGCCATCCCACCCTGCCAAGCAAACAGCATTTCTGTCTCCTCACTGCCTTTGTTCTTTCAAACCAACCAAGCAAAATTCTCAAATTTTGTTATGTGATCGTTTGTTGGTCATCCCACTAATCCTTCTTTTACATTTGTTTCACTCTAAACTCACAATATAAAATGCCAAGATACTGGAAAAGGTCCCACAGATAACTACACACCAGAACCTACTTTAACACTTCTCTGGATCTAAACGGAAAACAGTACTGGAAACAGTCTAGGACCCTGTTTGCCTTTTACATCCTGTTTTCTGCTAGTTTCCACCAGTCCCTTTCCTCTTAAGCTTTGGACTGGAATGTTCTAAGCTTGTAGCAGGTAATTGTCTCATTAATTCCTGATATGATTCATAATTTAATTTTGTACTATTAGAATTTGTTCCATACTTATAACTCCAATCCACAATATTTATGAGCTCTCGCAGCAGGATATCCTGAACCTCCACTGTATTGTTACGGTCTCCTTGCTTTGATCATCAGCAAATGTTATCTGTTTTTTTAGCCAAGTTCTTCAACAAAAATAATGAGTAACTACGGTCGAAGAGTCACTGAACTACTGCCAGAATAACTCTGCTAACGATGTCTTTCACTTATCTAATTATCTCTTTCTTTGTCTCTTAGAAATTTTTACCCTCTTTATAAACCTTGAACCAGTTGCTCTGCTTTTAGTGAGGACGCATTTTTGTATCCACACTTTCATTTTCTACTTATTTCAGGAAAAAAAAAATAGCATGTGATTTACGCACCTGATAAATGAAGCTGCCTGCAAATCTGAATACGTTCTCTGTGGCACTGATCAGTTCATGGAAGGTTTTGTCCTCATCAGAGAAGTGATATCCAAAAACCAGAGCACAAATTACATTTGAAATAGAATGGAAAAGAGGGAAAGAAGGATCCACAGGTCTTCCTGCAAACACAGTAACTAACGTTCACTCTCAATGTTTTCTTCAGTTGTTCCTTACACAGATAAGACAAGATATTATTAGAAATTACATAAAATAGTATCTTCATCTGTCTGGGGCATGAATGGGGACAGGTGTGACATCAATATGTATCCATGAAAATAAAACAGTCTTAAAGCAAAGGATAGTGTTAAACTGTTTTCTCATTGCTCTAAAATAGTCTCATACCACTTCCCATGAAATAGTATTGCACAACCAAGATTAATTAGAAGATATAATATTAAACCTGATGTCCTCTGTTGTATGGAAGAAGAAAAGTTAGACAACGTGCAAGGCAAGAAATGTCACAGCAGATGAACAGAGAGAAGACAGCAACAAACATGTTCAAAAAAAAAAAAAAAAAAAAGCTACTTAGGAGAAAAGACTGAAGAAGCTTGGGAAAGTTTAAGAGTAGGTTTAGAAACAGCTTTTTAAGAAAGAAATTTCCACTTGTAATACTAGGCTCTATCTGTTCTTCAGGCTTTGGTGAGTTTGGATATACATGTATGACTGTGCCCACCCCAACCCTAGAAAGAGGTAGGTAAGCTTGCATACTGAAGATATGGATCCAGAAACTGAAAAGCATCTAATTTTTTAGCAGAGATACCTTTCAGGCTCACAAAGAACTCCACCAGGTGAGAGGCCTCCTCCTGCACTCGATACTCCAGGCCTTTTTTCCCCATCCCCAGACTGCGTAGAGTCATTATACCAAAGCGTCTCTGCTGCTTCCATGAGCGACCGCTTGCCAGTATAATACCTGAGAGCATTCCCTGGCATATTATTATTTGTCATAGACATGGATGATTCATTTAAAAATAATTATGAAATACCTGAATAAATCAAGGAATGTACTGTGGTACAAGTACCTTTAGGAGGTAAAAGTATCATAACCAAATATACCCAAACTATAACTAACCCACATGTTCTTAATATTGATTGTAGTTAATTTTTGAAAAGAGCAATCTAAGGATCTGCTGACTGCTCCACTTCTTGCTAAAAACTGCTAAAATACATTAAGAAGAAATGGATTTTAACGTGACGGAGTCACTCTCACAAAGGGTATTCAGGAAGTGTTTAAGAGTGACTGCTAACACAGCTATGAGACTTCTGGAGGAAGGTGTTATAGGTGTCTCGCTCATGATAGAAGGTGCTTGGCAACCATACGCAGTCTATACAGTTGCCAAACCTATAATGATGCTTTGCATTCATGTAACATACAGCAATATCATGTGCAGCAGAATGAATTATCCTATGAGGAGTGTAAGATTGCTGAGTTCTGAGCTAGGACTGCACACATCTTGAACACAGCAAAAAAGGTCACCTAGAAACAACCTGATCTGGAACGTTTCCCAGGCTTGGGAAAGCTCAGGACAAAAGGCATCATGACAAATAGCAAACTATTCTCATGAGCTAATAGGGTATTTGGACAGAGCATCCTGAATGGGAGGGCAGAGGGTTTAACAAGGCTGAGCAGGAGTAGTTTGCCAAGTCGACATTACTGTGCATTATTTATGGCAGGAAAATCTCACCTTTTCCTTTGGCCATTGCTCTGAAGAAAGGAGATACCATCCTTCCAGAAACATCATCAGGGTGTGTGGTCATGCCATCCTTCACTGCCTGAAATCCATTCAGTATGATCACTGGTGCCCACCCGAACCACAAGGTGTATATGTTGCCATAAGTTTTTGCCAGCTGTGGATGGGAAAAATGCCAGAAAAGAACAGATAAAACTGAGTAAAATTAACCAATTAGGAGAGTCTGAAAATAAATACCTCCATCAGAAGATCCCGATGTAACTGAAAGTTCATTTGCACCAAGTTTCCAAGCAATGGGAGAGGAGTTGGTCCAGGAGGGAATTGCTGGCATGCCTTTCGGAGTTTGAGAAATTGAACAATTAAAAGAAAAATGACCAGAACTACAAACGCTTGACTTATTGTCAGCATTTCAAAGCTGATTTTTCAGCTTCTCTCTATCAAAAATAACGTAGTGGAGCTTGGAAAAGTTGATCTTGCTTCTTGTTCCACCAGTTCTCTTTGCAGACTGACTCCTGTAAAGTCTCAATTCCTTTCCCTCCCTCTGTCCCTCCCTCTTTATCACTGCCTACCTTTTTCCTGCACCCCATATATTCTCCATACTAAGATCCATCAAACCAATCCCTGACCAAGGGCGTACCTAGCTGTCTATAGGTAGCCACAGCCTGAAAATGTGGAATCACGTGTGCTGAAGGTATTTGCCTTGGGAACCTTAAAAACATGCATAATTGTTCATCTCAGAATCACTGAATTCAGAGTACTGTTTACATCCTGGCTTGTAACTCTAATTGGTTAGATTTAACAGGTGTTTTAGTCACAAATATTAAGTTGTCTTTATATGTGATTGCAAATTAAGATTTGCCTCCCAGTTCACACAGACAAAAACATCAGTAGTTGGAGACTAAGCATGCAATTAGGAGATGAAATTGTTACATGTAATTTCTTAAAATTTGGCCTTGAGTGTTCAAACTTGTTTTTTTCCAGTAAGAGGGTAACAATAACATTTTCAACAACTGCATATTAATGACATTAAGATAATAATTAAATCTTACATTACAACTAAATAATGAGAAAAACAATCAACATACAAAATTATGCCCTATTTAAAATGTAATTAAATTAAAATTGTCATTATTATGTATAATTTTTTTGAGTATGTAACTTATATTAAGGACTTTATTTTCCTTTGTTTATTTTCTACATTTGTAATCACAGTTTCAAAATCCTGGGTATTATGTCCATGATCAGTTGTCAATAGGTTTACAAAACACATCAAAAATTTGTCCTCTGATAATGAAGGGATTCACACCTAGTACACGACACAGAAAGGAGAAAGCACTGGGTGTCAATCGTCAGGGGATCCTATCTTAGCATTGCAAAGAGAAAATGTCTTCGCTAAAAAATGAGGTACAAGTCTGAACAAGAAATTGCCCTGCCTTCCAACACATACATGAAGAGCAGTATTTTGCAAACCTGGCAACATTAGGGAAGTATTGTGACTCAGTGATGTCAATCTGTCTCCTCCATTTGGCCAAAATTTGCAGTTATCATAGGTACCTACATGCCTGCATTATATAATGAAGACAGAATGTAAAATTAGCTGTTTTTTGTTTTGTTTTGTTTTTTTATGACCTTATCTTATCTATGCAAATGTAACAAGTGGACATTATGGGCAGCATGTTTGGGAAGGGGGTTGAGGTATCCCAAGTTAGTTACAACTGCCAACCATGAAGCAGGAAATAGCTGTGATAGGACTCAGCAAACTGCAACATACCCCCCCCCCCCCCCAAAAAAAAAAAATGCCAAAATATTAAATTTTAAATATTGAAAAAAAAAAAAAGAACAAAATTAGTTTTGTGCAGCCAACAAAAGTCAGGAGAAATTCTGACTTACATGAATTTCATTAGAAGACTAAATAAAATCATATTCATCTCGTTATCTGTTTGGTCAATATCACTTTTAGAAAGAAAACTTGGAGACAAAGAAAGGCTGAGAAAGTTACTATAATATATGACAGCGAACAGATAAAATAATAATGAATAAAGACTGTAAGACTAAAAGATTGCAATGCCAATGTAACCCACGTACCATCTTTGTCTTTAAACAGTTCGTATGTTCAAAGCAGGACATCCAGAAGTTTACAATGTGTATACTTCTAAATCAGCATTAAAAAAAAAAAAAATCAACAACAAACTCAAGATATAAGCACTGACCTATAACTTCAATTTGCTTCATGCAATACTAACAATAAGGAATGATTACATTTCTCTGGTTCCTCATCCATCAAGTATCTCAGGGTGCTTTACCATTATTAACCACATTTTCGATCTGTCAAGGCAAAAATATCTATTCCTACATGCTAGTAAGAAATTACACAGCACTACAAGATTATTTATATTTGACGTGTAACGGAGCAGACTTGCTAATCGGACAAGTATTAATGCCCCAATATTTACATAGTAGGAATGTAAATTATAGTCAGCTGCAAAACATGAAAGACAGAATCAGCCCAACTCGGTAATATAATTACTGCACTCAGCTTGTAGTGATACATTATCCCAGATTAGTGTAAGTGGAGCTGTACCAACTCCCATTACCTATCTCCACCTTATGCTTTTCGTTGTAAATCCTTTGTAGTCAGGTGTTTACAACTCCCCAAAGTCCTTAATCAGTGTGTGGCAAGCAGAAATAAAGGAACAGGAGGTACAAACCACAGGAGACTGAGATGGAAGTGGCCACGTGGGCATTACGGAGGGTCACAGGTTGGCTGGTAATTGTGAGAGGGTAAAACATCCTCTGACCAAACCTGGAATTGTGACGGTTCCCAGTCTTCAATTACACTGTCATTCCTATTTCTCTCCTTGCAAACTTTGTCTCAAGCAGAGCTATTTTCCATGAAATTTCAGGTTTTGCAGCCTGACTCAGGAATATAAATAAGCGTCTCCCAAATACTTTGGAGAAAGATTTAGGTGAAATTTCTGTATTAAATTAGTCTATCTTAATGGAAAAAAAAAAAATCAGCTGGTAGCAGAGAAGCTCGATAACCCTCCATCACATACACACCCCTAAATCTCCAGCACAGTGGCAGAGCCAGTGACCTTTTGAGGTACAGCACTAAGTGCATTAAGCTGCTAACAGAAGAAATCTGCTTTGCTAAAGTAGCAACGTGGCAATAAGCCATGTGCAAAGTGCGGTGGGCAGAAGGCTGACTTGTGCTTTTCTTCCCCAGTTGGGAAGTTTTCTTTCTTGCTTCCAAGGACAGCTGGATGATGGGGACTGGCACTGTGAGGTGCTAATATGAAGAGAAGAGGGAGGTTGAGGGTTGCACACCATGTGTGGCAAGAAATTCCCTTCACAATTGATCTTACAGCCTGAACTGTGCCCCAACAAGCCCTGTTAATCTGCTCGCTCTCTCAGCATCTGCCTCCGTGCTGGTTCTTTGTTGCTCGTCTGCCAGTCCCCTGGGGGAGGCAGGGACACATCTCATCAATGACTGCATTTATCCAAACCTCCCGTGAAAGAAAGCCCTCAGACAATGTCACTTGTGGCTTTGCCATTCGGCTGCCTGCCTTCAGGAAATAATTTCCAGCACCTATAGCAACTCCACTAGTGTGACTTTCAAGAAAGATGGTAAGCACACTCAGCAGCTTTCAGCATTTGCCAATTACTTATGGATCAGAGGTGAAGTTGGGTGGCAGCCACTGATGCTATATAGTAAATTAATATGCAAGAGATTAGCTATCGATACTGGCAGAGAAAATGCAGTCCTTTAGACATAAGTTTCTCAATCGATTGCACATGAAGCAACTGCAGTACATAGACAAATCCCCCCCACTCCAGCAAACCAAATATACATATTTGACCTATTTTTTTATTTATTGCCCCAATTATGTTATTGTTTGTGTATTCCAGCAGCAATGTCCAGGATGAACCTTTTTCCCAAAAACATGCTTCACAGGTGTTGAGAGGAAGGACTGAGAAACTCTGCTTGAGATCAAAGTTGTTGCTTCTCCTATAGATATTAAGCTGCACTAGCACTGCTAAGAGAGGTATCAAAGGTATCACTTCTGATATATATATATATATATGTACACATATATATACATACACTAGCAAGGCCATCTTCTACCACAAGAAACAAGAGGCAGCCCGTCACTTTTACATATTGCCAATGGTTAAATGGGACGGCAGAGTGGGGATATCCAACACGCACGGGACAGCACAAGGCTGAGGTCTGGACCTGGAGACAGAGGAGGAGAAAAGCGCCCTCAAAGGCTGAGGAACTGTTGTACAAATGGAGAAAAATAGGAGCAGAAAAAACAACTTCTTCCAGGCTTATCTGCTTCATGAAAGATTTTCTTCACGATGTTTCATGAACTATTTCACCAACTGGAAAATCCACTCAGCTTGTAGAGATTCTCAGGACACATACCAAAAAGATCAGCTGCCCATCACCTTTGAACCTACTGAGTGTTTCCCATGTCTTCAAACACTTTTCCTCAGATCTTGCCTTTTTGCCTCAGGAATTTGTCCTTGCTTCCATTTTTCTTGCTTTTCACACCCCTCTTCCTGCCAGAAGAGCCACATGCACAAAGCTCTCAGCTGCCCTAACAGACCTAACACTCACGCAGCAGTGCTGGAAGCAGGAGCCACCACATAAGAAGACTTCGGAGTATTTCCAGGCAGTTTCCACAGCAAGGTGATCTCACCGTTTGCTGTGGCTTCCCAGAAATAGGCACAGCTCACTCAGGGGCTGATAGCCAGGTGCCTTCCCTCTGCCAGTCGCTGAGACCTCTCCAAAGCAAAGCCATTTCACAGATTTACGGCCAGGTTCAGCTGGATCAGCGCCCAGAAAACACAGGTTAGAAAAGGAATCCATGAATAAGTAAGAGGGACTGGGTTTTCTGACTGACCGATGAGCCTCACAGGCATTGTTACAAGTATGTACATCCTTATCTCTCCTCTTAAATATTTATAAAAACAGTAGGATAATTTCTTCTGCTGTTACACTTGGTATTTCCTGTCCACCTTCAGGAGATCACACTGACTGCTTTGTTCCTTCAGAAGCCAGGAGGAGAAACAGTTTGTACATGTATATTTGCATATTATGGCTGCAGAAACCGTACATTGCACAGACACGAACCGGTCCAGAGAATGGTGTTTTGTCAGCATTTCATAGCTGGTTTTCTCCACTTTGTGTGAAAAAAAAATTGCCTGCAACATCATGAAGGCCAAACTTTTTTTTTTCCCCCCACTGGTCTTTCCTGTGGAGATTTAGCCCTGTTAAATTTGTGCACTGCACATACCTGCCTTTTACCACTCGTCTTTTCCTCACTCATTTCAGTAACATGTTCCAAGCTGAAGAGAACGTCATTGGTTCTGTCACAAGCAAACTTCTCCCAGCAGACATTACATCTCAAATGTGTCATTTCACCTGTTTTAAGCCAAAATCTTCTAAACAATGTGGTAACAATGGAAAAAAAAAAAATAATAGGAGGAAAATCTCATCTACAGCTTGGAAACAATAATGAAACTACTTTTATAAACCGAATTAACTTCTAGCTGTTTAAAACACTGGTCTAAAGAGTTTTAAAAGAACCAAAATGTTTTTTTACCCTGTTTCATATATAAATATATATATTAATCTCAGGCTTTCAGAAACTCTGTACTTCAACCTAGGGTTGAGCAAGAACATAGAAAGGGTAGATTACAAGGCTGAAACAGGAAGAATTAACACTTGCCAGCTGCGCACTGTAACAAAGCTCTATGTCCCCTTCACTGTAGGTCCCAGCATAACTGTACTAAAGCAGACTGCACACACAGGCAGGTAACATCCTTGCACATTTAGTTTCAAGCTAACTGAACTATCCCACACTGTTCCTTTTTTTTTTTTTTTTTTTTTTTCCCCATTCACTGAAGGGTGGACAGCAATACCCAAGAACAAAGGTTGTTTTTCCCCTGTCAGAGCTCAGTTCAGACCCCAGTGTGCGTAAAGCCTTTGATTATGTGACATGTGCTACCCCCAACACTGCGTCAGTGCCTTGGCAGCCCCTGCTCTATGAACAAATTCAGATCACAGAAAGCTTTGTCTATTGTCTCAGGCCTCCATCCCTCTGATGCAGAATTCCAGTGCTGTCGTGAAGAGCCCAGGAAGCACAAGAAAATTTGGCCGAGCCCACAGAAAACCACTTTTGAGAGCTGGCTTCTCAGCCTGAATGCCTGTGTAATTCTTGGCAAGTTGTAGTCCCCCCTTCAGATGTGGCCAATTGCTAATTATATGTTCACTTAATGGATGTCTGTCTTCAGACAACAAAGCTCAGGGCTGGAGAAGGACAATTTACTCACAACTTGTAGTAACTGCAGCAGTGATGTGAATACAAATGTTTAATTTTATATTATTTTAGTATCTTCATACACAAATGCTGATATATGCTAAAGCTGTTAAAAGACTCAGTCCCTAAACAGATCCAATGAGTCCATTATTGGACAGTGATGGCACTGGGGCTACAAGGCCTGTTTCCCCATCAGCAAAGTCAGGGTGATGGAACCTGAAGCTGTGAATATTTACTTCTTATCTTTTACACAGCATTCAGACAATACAATGAGGATGCCACGGGAAATCTAATGGATGCATGCAATATTTGCTTTAGTACAAATTTTGAGGATGCAATAAGGAGGCTGATTACACCCACTGGATGATAAGGACGTTGAAAAATTGAGGGTAGCCTGTGCCATTAGCCATGTCCATCGTGTCCCATGGATATCCTGTGAATAACACAACATGTGACCATACAGCAATGAAATTTTAGTATGCCTCATAATCCAGGTCTCCACAGAGAGTAACTTAAGACCATGATGGATACAGAATTTCCTGAAGTCTGAAAATTCCCCTGTGCACACATAACAAAGCAGGCATTCATCAGTGTGCCAGCAGACAGACAGCTGTCAATGGGCAGCAATGCAGGTTGCTACATCCAGACACTCCTTGCCACTTGTCAATAACGTGGCAATCATCTTTTCAACATCTACGCTTACAGCGTAACCCACCTTTCAGAAAGGGAAGGCAGGTGGGGAGATAAGTCCTCTATCTTGGTTCGTTATGCTTGGGTTGAGCTGTGGAGACATTTTCTGTTGGGATTCACAGGTTTTCCTTGATCAAATGACAGCACTGTTCAAGGAGAATCATTTTGGCCAGCTGTGTCTTAATCTTCCAGCCAAACACACCTGAAAGATCAGAGGAAAGTAATTTTCAGTCCTGATTCTCCTCCTTCAGAAACACAGCTGATAAACTGGATAAAAATCATCAATGAGCTCAAACTGATGAACAATAGCTAAAATTATTCCATTCAGTGTTTTCTAGTTTATTTGTTTTGAACATAGCAGAGTTTTTTCTCTTGGCAGTACTTAACAGCAAGGAAAGGAGAGGGGCTGGGTAAATGGAACCATGTGCTGCTTCTAAGCCTCATCGCTGCAATTCCCACATTTCAAATTGTGTAATTACTTCTCGTTCCAACACCTGGGCTCAGTCTAATGCCATTATCACACCTAGAGAACGTTGAAGCTAATATGCGACATACCAGAATTTATCTGGGAGCTTCCCCAGTGCTCTATGTGGAGGAGACTACAGACACGGAGAGAATATGGACCTCTTATCTGGATCAGAGGAACATGGTCGCAGTGAATAATCCCCATGTACCTAGTAAGCAAGAAAATTCACAGGGTGTTTTGCCAAAGCCTCCAACAAACCTGTTGCAGAGATGGTATTGTAGCGTTTGAACCTGGGTGTTGGCGAGCAGCATCCCAGCCTCAGCCGGTACCAAAATGATGGCAAATGAAGCTGCAATGAGCCGCAGCGTGCCCTGGTGAAACTGGTTGCTTTAAAGCTAGCTCCTGTTGAGCTGGTTATAGCACTGCAGGCACAGCCCTGTCAGAGACCTTTGCTGCCCTCTGCCTGGCTCCTCGGATGTTGCACTGCTGAAATATTAAAATTGGATTATTTTTTTTTCTTCACATGCTTGATCTGTACCAAACTAACCCCCACTCCCTCTAGCTGCTGCTAATGTTCTTCCTGAGCAGGTTCAAGGCTGAACAGAGACAGCTTCCATTAACTCCATCATCAGACTGAGCACATGCACCAAACATCTAGATTTAAGCAGTGATTTAAACTCCTGCAAAGATGTGTCCTTTTCTGCCATGACTCAGGCCACAGTGATTTCTGACAGTGCTGAGCCTGAAATCCTATGCATCTCTTGCCTGCAGGTCCCATAACTCAGTCTTAAAACTTGTAACGTCATTTAAAAGCGGTCTGCATTTCTACAGGATGTTGTTTTCTGTCCGTGAGTGCCAAAGCTACTGATGCCCTCAGTAATTATGGAGGGTGGTGACTGTGATGTTTGTTCCTGCTGAAAACTGCTCAAAACAGGTTAAGGGAAGCCACCTTCATTATATGGCAAGCTACAGTCATCCATAGCTTGCAGGTGGCAATCCAAGAGGAATTTACAAGGCAGGGGCTATACATACGTGATTGCATCATTGGAATAAACATTTTAAATAACTCCTTGGAATACTATCAAAAACTCATAGAATACAAAATAGTCAGAAATTTTAGTTCAAAATGTTTGCAGGGTGTAGAAGATATTCTCCACTTTTAATTGTATGACCTTCTCTTATAGCTCTGGAATAACATCATTCATACAGTCATTTTCTCTGCAGTGCTCCTTAAAGTGCATTCCTTGTAGAATATCATCACATCACCAGCTGACCCCAGAACATACTTGTATTATTATCTCATCCCCTGCCTCACCTGCTGCATCTCAGAAACTATTGAGGGAAAGAGCTACAATTGTATTATTGTTATTTCTTTAATATTAGGATCTCAGTCTGCGGGATAGCAAATAAATAGCTCCTGGGGTATTGGCTAAAAATAACATTGGCTGAGATTTGTTCACAGATATTGTTACAAGTTCATAAGTTTTTCAATAAGGGAAAAAAAAAAGTTCATCAGGAGCTTTTAGGTTGGTGATCTGAATAGAAAAAAATCTGAATGGAAAAATATAGTTACAAATAACACCTCAGAATACTTGTTTGTAATGAACATGTTCTATTTTCCCCACTAAATCTTTTATTCAAGAAAACTGAAAGAAAATATTATAGATCTGGACATCAAACTTGAATTGGAATACTCTGGCTTACAGAGGCATTTTGAGTCACTGCAAATTTAAAATGCCTTTTTTCTGCTGTGATTTGCTGCTCCGTGAGAACTTAATGCTCAATAAAAATTGCCAGAGAAACTCCCTGGGGAAAACTGGCCCTACTGCTAGAAAGGAAGGAGGGAAGGACAAGTGGTTCTGGAACAGGGTCATCTCACCTTTCCAAATATCTGACATTAGAGCCAATAAGGAGAAATATCAGTGTTATCACAGCCTTCATACATTCATAATCATAAAAATAAAAGGCCAAATAAAATGGTGTTTTAAAGTTAAGGCCTTAAAGTTTCTGTGAGCCATGACAAGTTTGGGAATACATTTCTCGCCTTGCTCCAGGCAGCAGTTTGGGATCTGATAACCTCGAGAAATTAGGCCTAACCAGGCTCTGTGTTTAGGTTGACTAACAAGGTCCTTGAGTAAACACTGAATAGAACTAAATGTAGACCAGAATCCCTTTCAGTGCCTCTTTCCAGTTTGACAGGGTACCATCCATAAGCATTCCCATAGTTTTCCATTAAGTTCTGCAAAGCTTCCCATACCCCATGTTTCCCTAGTTTCTTTCTGAGATTGTGCCAAAGCCACAATGAAGAGCAGTAAATTACATTAATGGCATCTCTCCTCAAAATAAAACTAAGTTTGACATTATTTGGTGACTACAGACTATTTCTGTTTGCCTCCCAGTGCCTACAACTTGATTATTTTTGCCAGGATGTTCTCAGAAGTGCAATCAGGCTGACTGATTTATAACTCCGCAACTTCTCCTACCTTTTGAAGATAAATAAACGTTTGACCTTTTCCCATCCTCCACAGGTTCTCGTAGATAATTGCTAATTGCTCTGAGGTTAATACCGGTCCCTGAGTGCCCTGGGACAAATCAGCCTAGCCAATTTGAAAACATCCCATTTATCCAGTTATTTTCTAACCTCTTTTACCTAATCTAGACACAAATCTCCCATGACTGTCATGGGTGTTAAATGTATTTTCCTCTGGATCACCATTACCATTTTCACTGAAGCCAAGAAGGGCATTAAATTGTCCATCTGCCAAAGAGCCTCCTTGATGTACCGCGGTTTTAAGAAACCAGCACTTTCCGTGGTCCTCATTTTACTACTGAAATACAGAATTATTATTCTTTATAACTTGTATTTACTTTGCATGCAAACTTTAAAGAGGCATGGAGCAAATCTGCCAGGGAACACACCCAGCAGTTGAAATTTTAATTTTATTTTGATATTGACTGGTGAACTCTTAAAGGAATGAGAGAGTGCAGAAGCATTCACTTCAGTCCGTGCTTCTGACACCCTGCAGATGCTGGAATATGCTTATTAAGGCTCAGGAAAACAAAGGCAAGAATTATTTCCTTAGTAATGTGGCAGTCTGTGGTAAATAACTCCACCCCACTTTACCTTTTGCTCTTGCCCTACTCATTCTTTCACAGGAGCCATGTTCTTCACATTGATGAAGGGGAATACTTCAAAAAGGTGTAAAAGGCACGCTATTTTCCTGCAGATACGTCACAGCACAGAGTGGAAACATCAAGCTGGCTTTGCAAGAGTTAGCTTCAATGTCAGGAAGCAGCTCGCTGCGGAAAGGAAAATTCCTGCCTGCACTGATTGCTCCACTGCAAACCAGGGCAGGCAGTGGGCGAGCTCTGCAGGGCTGAGCTGGCTTCTGCTCCCCCAGCAAGGTCATTCACAGCCAGCTCAAGCACCTTGGCACTGAATGTATATCCTCGTTTTCTAACACAGCTACACAGCCAGCCGCCCTGCCTGCTCCCCAGAAGGATGTATGATATAAGTGCTTGAATATTTGTTTTGCAGTGACCCGTCTCCTCCCAAAGCATTTTACATGCTCCTGTTCTGTGATCTTTTCCCAGAGTTCATGGTGGTTGTTGTCACGTTTTGTAGCTGATATAGAAGAAAGCAAACACTGATCTGTTTTAAGTTTGGAAAGCAGACAACTAGAAGATAAATAATTGGAGCTACTAAAGATTTACCCAGTCCTCTCAACTCCTTGTTACTTAATGTCTTCCAGCTGATACAGGAAAAACAGTAACTTGCTAACTCTAAGGCTCTCTTCCTAGATAGGCTTTGTTTTTCTTACTTTCTCCTTTCCTTAGGATTCTTGTTTTTTATTCTTACCAGGATAAAAAAAATAAAAATAAAAATAAAAATAAAAATAAAAATAAAAATAAAAATAAATAAAAAAGAGACTGCTAAACAAGGTGAACAAGGTGTATTTAAAAAAGGTCTCTGTACTGTGATCCACTTTTCCTAACCTCTTACCTCTAGCAAAATGTTTTCTCTATTGAATACAGATCTGTGAATGTGAAAACATTTTACATGTTAATTTTGAGATAATTGTATTTTAACAAAGTTAAAACTCTCACAGAAACCTTTCATTTCCACCTGATTTTGGGAAGAAAAAAAAAAAAAAAAAAAGAGAGAGAAAAAAAGAAAAAAAAAGTTGACCTAGATGCAGTGAGGCCACCCCCACCAAATCACTTCTCTGGCTTTGCAGAATTCAGTGCAGAGAGAGGAGCACTGCAGTACTATAAGGCTCTGAGCCTCTCCAAGAGCAAGCCAAACCCAGCAGCTTCAGCTTTGCCTCTCTGCATTTTCTACATTTTCCTTTATAGCACATCTTCTGTGTCTGGACTCACTTTGCTCTCAGCTTTGTTGGCCTTCTGTGACAACACCAGCCGGGCTTTCAATGTCCTTTGTGCCTCAGAAAGACCAGGGTATATCAGAACATGAATTTCAGTGAATCCCTTTTTAAATAGGTCAGGCAAGAACAGAGAAGACAAGGCTCTGACAAGCATCCCTCCTCTTCCCCACCTGCTGTGCCCTGGTAGATCCCAGCTTAGACCCCCATGTCCCCGCTGTGAGCTTCTTGTTGATGTCCTGCTGCCACATCTCGTGGGCTGGGGTCTCCTCTCCAGGCAGCTGTGCACAAAGGAATTAAAAATCCGCAGCGAGCGCAGCCTGTCTCAGATAAATATGTGTAAATAACCTACCCGTGTACGATCTATAATTTTCATATAAAGTGCCCTGAGCATCTCTTCTTGAGCATGCAGACAAGTAGGAGTTACATCCATTGTTTTGGGCTGTGTCATTCCCAGGGGCGCAGGCAGCTCAACTTGCTTTGGCTTCATGCACGCTTTCCCAGACAACTTTCCACCTCAGGCCTATTTATGAGCTTCCCTTTTGAAAGTGTATCTGGAGAAGCATCTGGCCTTCAAGAGTGACAGCATCACATAGCAATGGTGTTAACGCTTGTAATGCTACCACTGTTTCCTGCTTCATTTTTAAGAAGCAATGACAGCCCCAGCACCCCCAAATCACAGCGTTTTCTGCTTTGCCTTATCTATCCATGTACACGCAGATCCACGGAGACTTTGACATCAGTTTTTAACAGGGCGCTCAGTTTTCAGTCAAATAAAATGTCAGAATGTGATCTTCCATATTTTACTAGCGCTATTCTGCCATTTAATTTAATAACAGCTAAATATCAAGTGCCTTACTATTTTGATGCCATGTTCCATCAGCTATTGAATTAGAAATAATGAGACAGATCTTAATTTGTAATGCATTGTAGACTGCCTAAACTCATCTCAATGACACAGTGGCTGACATCTAGTGATGACTGATTTAACAGATCATCATCTGTATAGCTGTCCTATCCTCTCACAATGAAACAGGAATATTAATGAAGGACAAGTTCACTTACATTTTACAAGTCTGTTTCAGACAACATAAATAAATTTATATTCACCACAGGAACCTTTTTTTCCCCTCCTTTTCTACTATTATAGGCTCTTTAATTGGATTTGACTAGTATTTTGTGTATGCAGGAAGCCTTTGTAGCTTCAGGTATATCACTGAACTTCTGAGGCGATTACAAAGCATCTCTGGTGTCTTCCATGTATATTTTTCAATTTACCAACAGCTCTAATTCCAGCAGGCTCTGTAATTCAAGTAGGTCCTTTGAGGAGCTCCCTGCACTTGCCCTAGAAACTACCCAGTGCTGATCCTGACAGGAATCAACCACAGAACAGGAGTAAATAATTGCTCTACTACAAAGGACTTTCCAAAAATTAACATGGCAGCATTTAAAAACATTAAAACTATCTGCCCTGAAAGAAATCTCTGTATCTTCACTCTGTGACAGAGTTCAGCCTGTACCTCTTCTCTGCTGTGCTCCCACCAAATAATCTCTGGCAGATTTAAAGACACAATTTATATATATATATATATGCTCAAATCTCAAAATTCACAGTGAACTGTAAATAATTCATAAATAAAAATGGCTGCTAATTTTTTCCTTCTTATATTTTATTAGTGACCATCAACAAAAAGTTGACCAACACATTATGAGTGATGACAGTAATATAAAGAGGCAGCATTTTCCACATATGGTTTTCCAAACTACATAAGTTTTGACAACAGGATAACTCAGTGTTAACAATTTAATTTTTGAAGTCTACAGTCAGTTTTATCATTTGCTCACCAGTGCACAGTCTCTAAATCTGCCCACATGGACAGCAACTTCATGATGTCTTCAAGGCTGAGAACAATGGTGTGCTCCAGAGCAAAAGAATAATTTCAATTAAAAAAGAGATCATCTTCAAGAGCACATAACAGGTGTGAAAAAAAATCATCTGATGTAGACAAAGGGGGCACTTCTGGAGCCAGAAAAAGTTACATGTTCATCCACGTGAACATATTCACAAAAGTAGGATTGCTTAGCAGGTTGTCTGCGATGTGCTGCAGCCTAGCGTGGAATGGCACAAACCTTGTATGGGTGGGGCTGCAGCGTGCCCCCCAAAATTGGCTCTGTGTTGATCTTTGTCACTCCCTCGGGAAGTTGGAAGGTGAATGCCCGGAGCAGGTTGGCAAAGAAAATGAAGAGCTCGGTCCTTGCTAGGTGCTCCCCCAAACACACTCGGTGCCCTGCAGACGGAAGAGGGAAAGGACAGTGAGCGAATCACCCTGAACTCAAAAACAATCAAATTCATTCTCACACAAAGCAAACGTATTTTTGCTGAGTCTGGAATTTCTTTAGAACTTAATGCAAACAATGACACAAAATTTCCTTTTAAAGAATCCTATCTACAGCTGTAGATATCTGAGCACCCCCTCTGCTATGAGTTTTGCTTCAATTACCTCAAAAACCTTACCTTTACCTGACTGACAACTGAAAAGAAATTCATTCAGTCATGTAAATGAAGAATAAAGAAATGTTCTTCCTGGGAGATATGCTCCAGTTTTTTATGCATAAAGCAGCAGCACAGCTGCTTACAAGTGCTTTTCAAATATATGCCTGGAGTTGAAATGTATGCCCCAGATGAATAACCATAATTACTAGCAGAGAGTTTCCCTCCAAAAATAGGACAGGTTAGATGTATGCATTTCTCAGCATGTCTCTGATTTTCCATATAATTATTTGCTCAGTAGAATTTTTAGTAGATGTTTCCAGGTGGATTGGGAAATGTTACTGAAAATAATCATTTTGATTTTATCACAGTTTTCACAAAGACGCTTATAAGAGATGACCGAAAGGTTTTCAACTGACATCTTAATTATACAGTCTCAACTCAAACCATTCAAATTTGTGCTGTTGGTAAATTTACCTATTGAGAATGGTAAAAAGGCTTCTTGGCTCACAAAGTTTCCATCCTTATCCAAGAAATGGCCAGGGTTGAACTGTCGAGGTGTTTCCCAGTGCTCGGGGTCGTACAAAGAAGAAGCAATATTTGGAAGAACTATGCTGCCCTGAAAGTGGAAAAACACTAATTCATTTCTGGCTGTCAATCTTCCTCCAGCAGCCAGAAACTGATAGGTGAGACGAGCATGAGTCATTGTTTATTTTCAGTGTTCAGTGTTGTAGGCTGGTAAGTTCATTTCCCCAGCAGGAAGCGAAGAACTGTGAGGAATGGAAAGTAGTTTTGATTCAAAATGTCAGTCCAAGCCTAAGAGTGGAAGTGGCCATGTCAATAGAATAATATTTTTACCATTTTCACTTCTAATATTTCTAATATTTCTGTGATTCAGTCTCTTTGATGAAAGCTAGTTGCAAACCTTAATGCTTTTTCCTTGATCTTTTATGGGCTTCCTGGGAGAAAAATTCAGTCAAATCTTTCAAATCAGTTTAAGTCAAATGCCTTATCAGCAAAAAATCAATCACAGTATCCTTCAGGATAAATCTTCAGGTTTTGTCTTCACCCGTTTGTAGAAACATTTGCTATAGACCCCTCTTTCACCCACTGGCATCTTTCACACCGATAACCCTCCCCCAAGAGCAGCATCACTTATCACAGCCTGGTAAATGGCTTCTTGTCCTCCTTCCCATTCAGATTCTCACCCAGAGGAATCTAACCCCATTCCTGTTGAGGGAAAAGCCTTGGTACAAATAGATGTGAATCTGTACCTCGCTCTACTTACACAGGAAAGGTCTGTAGCAACTGTGAGAAACTGTACCTTTTTGAGGGGAAAACCCAGCAATGTTGTGTTCCTCACACACACTCTGGGCATGCCAACTGAAATGATGTTGCTGAAGCGCTGGATCTCATGAACCACAGCATTCGTGTAGGGTAGTTTTCTCCGATCCTCATAGCAGATTAACTGGGAAGGACCCAGAACCGCATCCAGCTCCTTCTGCACTTTCTCTGTGGAGAAATAGTCGCCATTTCAGGTGGAAAAATGTAAGAAGCATTTTCACTAATACCATTTTCAAATACATTTTCTATTTGGAACTACTGAGAGAGCAGCGAAATTAATGCAAAAATATAAATAAAGAAAATAAGGTTAGGGAGGTGCTCCAACAGCTGAAACATGAGAAGCTCTACTTCTGGGTCTGATGTTATTTGATGGTATATTAAGGGAAGACATTTGTTGCTCAGAATTTTAAAACTAAGCATTGCCTCACTAATGCTTAAATGCAGTAGATAACTGATTTATCTTTGCGTTTTCCTTTGGCTAGGTGCCTCGGGCACTTACAGCCAGTAAGATCAGAGCTGTCTGGAATTCAAGTGAGGTGAATCTGGGCCTTAAGAAGCTAATTCCTGTTAAAACAAAATGGGTCTTATGCAGGACGTGTTAAGTGAAGCAATGCCAACTAGAATGATGTCCAAATCCCTTTAAAAAAAATGAGATCTGCTTCTTGGCACATGTCAGTTTGTCAAGAATAATACAATTTAAATTACTTCTGGCACAGAAGCGTTGGGAGAATTAACAAAAGTATAAATTTTGTTCTGTAAACTTCAAGAGAAGCAGCACACACATAATAAAAAGATGCCTTAGATTTATAAATCATCTAGTCTTTTTCCAGGGCCTTTAAAGCAGCACTAAAATGCACAGTAGAGCATTCTGCATTGTTCCTTTTGTGCTCATTCACATGAAGCCTGCTCAGTAACTGCCAGCAGCCTGTCACAAAACTAGGTTAGGCAGACCCTGACAACAGATAGGTACCTTGTGGAATTTAAAATACATAACCAGAAAGATTTTTAAAGTAAAGTTAATTTTTTTTTCTATGAACAGCTATCTTACAAAACCAAGCACATGGCTACTTCAGGATTCAGAACACTTTGAAGAGATCAGTAACTACAAAACTATAAGCATGCACCTCTGTTCTGGTAGTTCAGAGAACACTTCAATAATTAGGCAAAAGGACAAACTTTTCTGTATGGTAGGTACATCATGGAACTGTATAACATTGTCACCGGGTGTCAATGCAGGCAAAAGTATGAAGGGGATCAAAACGAAGACAGCAATGAATGGAAGACAGATGTACTGGTGTCTGCTCATTACGAGAGTCTAGATGACATATATGACTCAAGAAACCAGGGATGGATCATTCTGCACACACCCTGCTTTCCCAAGGATGTGCAGGGTATTATATTTAGATAAGTGAAATTATTTAGGTGAGTCAGCACTTTCATAACCTTAATTACAGCAGGTGATAATAAACATGCAATAACATGAGATTAAGTAAACCTTCTTGTCTGACAGCTAGATGTTAAGCAATTTTTCTTATCTTCATCTCTTTTCTCCATTTAAAATCCTATTCTTTTCTGGGTATTTGTACCTATTCTGCTATGTAACAATGGGTTTTCTGTTATCCAGCATAAGAAATGATTCTCTCTTTGGTTTTCATTTAGTGCTTTATGAAAGTGAGTGGTACTTAAAAGACAAACTTTAAAATGAACTAAAAAGTACATAGACGTAACAGATAACCATCAAATTCTCCGCCCACCTGGAATCATTTCTGTTGCAAGAAACTCAAATACATTACAGAGTTAATTTAATCACTGATTAAATTGACACCCTTAAATTGACATCTTGGGCTCAGAAATTGACTGATAAACAAAAGTAAAAAGCTGCCAGTTTAGCTTTAGCTGATTATCTTTACCCAGTTTTTAGCCCCCGGTTTTGCTACTTGGCCAACACAAAGCAGAATCGAAGTTCCCCAAGACACATCAGTTTCTGGTTTGTTGTTTTCAGCCATCAGTCATGTTTACTGCTGTATGAGACAGGACCCAATTCAGTTTCCTGAAATACCATCAGCAGCTCACCAGTGGCTGCAGCAGAGGCCACCGTTCCTTCCAGCAATGTGTGCAAGCACTTTGGCTTCCCAAAGAGCAACTCCAGCCCTCCTACTGCATGGACGATCATACCACAATCTTCATTCCTCCAAAGACCTCAACCCCTACATCTCAATTAGCCACAGCCTCCTGTTCAGATCCCTACTTCCCAAACTGTTAACTTTTCTGGGAACTGCCTTATGGCTGCAGCTGCTGTAAGAGTTTATATACAGAAATTCTGGATCTACCAGTGCTGCCTAGCACAGATCTACCAGTATAAAAAGGTCTGTGTTCCACTAACCATATATCAGTGCCTAGGAATAATCTCTGATCCATTAAAACATTATAAATGTGCTGTTCTATTGCATCAAAAACATCTGTGTTATGCTTATCCACTTCCTCTTACCTTGAATGTCTGGATTTGCCACCATATAGATCAGACCCCAGTTCAAAGTAGTGCTTGTTGTCTCCGATCCACCCAAGAAAAGGTCATTTATAGAATAAACCATGTTTTCTTCATTGTAGGTAGACCTGGGTTCATCTTTGGACTGCAAACAATAAGAAAAAGTAGAGGTTTATTCATAAAAGTTAGGAAAATCTGAATAGGATTCAATGTGATGTTATCATTGGTTCCAGGCTGCGCTAGTTCAAACCAGAGAGACAGATAAAGAACATGAGACACCAAAGATGATTGTTAATACAAAAAGCTAACATTTCACAACTGGACTAGGTATGTTTACTCTGTCCATGATCATGAAGCTAAATTATGTTTATCTACAGAAAAAAAAATCTTGTTGGATTACTTGTGCAAATAGTAGTGCATTTGGAATGTTTCATAAATGGCTGTTGCTCTGAAGATGTGTACCAGGATGTCATCAGGCCCCCAGTCATATTCCATCCCTTAGCTTTTTTTTCTTTTTTTACAGTGACCAGATAAAGAACTCTGGCTGACAAAAGTAATGGTTCTTAACCTGTGTTCTTCAGGCTTCTGCCCCACTGGAGGGCCGCAATGACTCGTGTACAGCTGCTCTGGGGTTTTACAGTTTGCAGTTAGAAGTGCAAGGACATGCATATGTATGATGAAATCAGGAAAGAACATTGTCATATTTTTTGAGAATTCATTGTCTACATTTAGAGAGGTTATGCTCAGGGATCTTGAACCTTTCTTTTGCCAATGGAGCAAAATAGAAAGTGGGAAGGACATTTTTTCCTGTTTTAATATCATCTAGTCTTTTTGTATTGCTCCTACATATCTACTACAGACAGCTCTTTATTTTTTATTTTTTGTAAATAAATAAACTCGGATGATTTTCACTGAGCAGAGTCCCAAAAGAGCTCACTAAAACAATTTCTGGTCCACTGAGGTTCAGGTTTCATAAATCTTGCAACAGCATTGAAAGACTTTAGAAGCAGTTAAACGCTTCAGAAGGCCAGATGTGTTAAAATTGTGCCAGTATCGAAAAAATGAAAGCAAGAGGATCCAAGGAACTAAAAGCCAGTTAGGCTGACATCCACCCTAGACAAATATATATATACCAGCTGATGTAGGAATCAATTAATAAAGAAATACCAGACAGAAATACGAATTAATACTATTTATCACTGTACAGAAAACCGATCTTGGCAAGGGGGTCTGATTTGTTTCTTTGATGGAATTACCACCCTGGACCACAGTGACAATTTCACAGTTGCAATATACTTGGAGTTCCACACAATAGCTGCTTTTGTTCCCTACAATACGAAATCAAGCACCATGAAGTATTCATAAGACACATGCTAGAAGACGAAAGAGCTGGCCAACAGAACTGGCTAACAGAGATTCTTCCCTGGGTGCATGTCTCTGCAGTGTGATGAGCACAGCAGCAGAGCCATCTCAAGGGACTACACAAGGCAGGCAGCAGCCCAGGGCAGCAGACCAGTTTTCGGTGTGCCAGGAGGAGATGATGGATGGGTGGGTGCTTACAGCCTGATATGGCTGCATTGCTTTTCTTGCTGCAACCAGCACACGATCGTGGTGCAAGGGGCACCAGCCATCCCTGTGGGGAAGCACTGCCACCCAGGAGCAGCAGCCACTACTCCCATGTGCAGGGGCTGCAAGAATAGATATCCTCACCCTGGATATCTCATTTGGATCCCTAAGCCATGCTTGCCTTGTCAGCCCCCCTGTCGCACCTGTCTCATCTTTCCAACTCCTCTTTCTCCTTTTTCTTCCTATCACCAAGCAGAACAGGAGGAATGTGGCCTGCTATAGGGGACAAAAGGAGAAAGAAAAAGTGAAGGCAAGAAGGAGTTGCAGATGGGAAGGGTAGCTGCTAGTCCAGAGATTAGGAAGGGGATCTGGTTCCCAAGAGAATCAAAGAAGAAAGTCATCATGGGAAAGTCAATAAAGAGAGATATCACTCAGCTTATACAAGCCTTCTACAGCCTTTCAAAACCCTACCAATGCCCGCATCCCTCCACTACACCTACATACCCAAAATGCAATAAGTTACCCCGGTTCCCTTTGTATGCTTCAAATTTCACAGATCCCTGGCACTCTCCTCTTCTCCAGGCTGATCTGAAGTACTGCTGACTCCTAGAATCCCTACACAATGATCTCGAAATCCAGTTGACCTCTTGCAGCAACCTGTCTTGACAAACCCTTACCTGCCAAATATCCTACCCAGAACATCCCAACTCTTCCCAGCTCTCCTGTGGTCTGCTTCCAAATTCAGCATTCTTTCAAGTAGGCCACAAATAATTCTGTAACTTGTGCCACTGAGAAAAAAATGTGGTGTGTTAACCCACCCTTTAGTGAAAGAATTGTAAGATGATGCAGTTTATCAATAATCAGAAAGGACTTAGCAAATGTCAGGTTACTGGATTCACAACAGGATGTCTATGACAAGTAATAGATTGTGAGAAAAGGGCTCAGATGGGATGATTTAATGATCTACCTCAATTTATACCCTATGAATTGTACAATGAAGCAGAACAAACACTTACTTTTTCAATGTGAGCTAGGTAAAAGTCAATGAAATCCTGTGGCTCATCTGGTATCTCACTCTCCTTGTGGTTTCTGATCTCTCTCCTTGTAAAAGAGCTCAGGACATCATAGCAAGACAATGCCTTCTTATGAGGACCGGGGAGACGGCACATCAGCCAGGGGAAGATTTCATACAGCTGCAGGAGTGATATACAAGAGGTACCACAAAGACTCTGTCACTAGAAAATGCATTTTAGACCTACTAAAAAGAGAAGTTAATATTCATGTTAGCATGCGTTTTTGGCATCGTTAGTAAAATATTCTGAGAAAGAGTATACTTATGTTTTCAAGTTATGAAACGGCATACCATATAATTTCTGGCTGTGTTAATAGTAAGATTCAGAGTTACAAAGGCTTTCAAGCTCAGCCAACAGCCAAATTAGAATGATTATAATTAGAACGAACTGTATTCATTTATTCAATTATTCAACTCATGTATTAAACTGGAATAAACTACGTTCAGGCATTTTAAAAGTGAGGTCCTGCCCTCCAGTGGAGAATACCAGGAAATGAAGAAGCAAAGCCATTGCAAACTGCCCTCTCATCTCACCAGGACATGCAAAGGTGTCCCCAAAAGGATTGGCTATACAAATTCAATTTTTCCCCAAAGCAGTCTCTACCAAAAGAGATCTCAAAGAGCCCTCCATAAAACTTGAAACATCTACTACCCATCTGAAACCCAGAAAAGCTGAGAAACAGCTACATGACATTTTGAGTGCTCTCCTCTAGAAAAGAAGGGGTTAGATGACACAACCAGATGAATTTTACCCTTCTCTTACTGTTTGGGAAAATCTGGCCTAACAATAGCTGTTTTCCAGCTACTCTTAAAGCTAGAAAGATCATTCTGAATTTCAGCATATATTTATGCCTTGGTAATTTGTATACATAGTTCTTGCATCTTCAGTGTATTTTCTCTTAGTAATTATTTTCCTGCTCAAAATATCATCCCCTAATTTGTTCACCAGCAGAATTTTTTTCTCTGTCTTCATTTTGCTGAGCTTATCTTGTTTGTACTCTCCTAGTTAGCACTTTTCTCCCAGAAAGCACTTTATTAGGTATTCACTGGAGGCTGCACTGGAGAATGCAGTTAAGAAACCAGAACATGGACACAGCAATGTCCACTTTCTGCCTAATGCTGAGTACCCTTTGCATTCAGAGAGTGGGTCCCCCTCTGTCTGGAATGATTTAAACCATGCTAGAAGTCACAGGCAAAACATCTATTTGAATCAGCCTTCTCTCCCTTGACTGTATATAAAACAATGTCTAAATTTGGTACTGTGAATCACACTTTCAGACCTGACATTCAGTATTTAAGAATCATGATGCCCAAGGCAGGCCTCTGTTTTGCATGAGGGTTGAGCAACTGAGTAACAAATATTATCCAGGAGCAGTCCATCAGCTTCTGCCTTGCTGCAAAGATTTAGGAGTAAACTACCTTTACCACAGGACTCAGACATAGGACAATGAACACAAATGACCAAGGCTGGTCTGTAGTGCATTACGATCACACCTGGAGACAGCACAGTGCCTAGTAAAGCTGCACGGGACATCACTCACCCATTCTAAAACTGTTATAACAGCCACCTCTTGAATCTGCATTTCTTGCTTTCTACCATGTTCAGACAAAGACAACAGGTTATTTGCTTACATGATGAATAAAGCTGCCTCCGAATTTGAATAGATGCTCTGTGGCTGTAATCAGCTCTCGGAAGGTTTCATCCTCTCTTGAGAAGCGATGTCCAAAAACAACAGCACAAATCACGTTTGAGACGGAATGAACGAGAGGGAAAGAAGGATCCAGGGGATTTTCTGCAACCATAACAATAAATGTCACTTGAATGTCTCATATTCTGCTTTAGTGAAATGAGAGAATATTACAGGTTACCTAAAGAACTTTCAAGCAAGCATTGCATTTCACAGAGAAACAGCAACCTTCTTACAAAACTGCAGTATCCTACTGATTTTTCACAGCTATGGTGCAATCCCATAATCCCAGGAATGTGTTTTGCACCCTAAAGAAATGCCAGACTGCTAAAATATTTTGCAATACAACTGAGCAAAATTAGAGGTGGGAAAAATGATCTATGCAGATTTGCTCTCTGCAAATTCAAAATAGGTCTCAAGCGTGTGAGTGACTGAAAACACCTTGAGATCAAAGGGAATCTGAGAACTGTGAGAAAACAGGAGAACTTAGTCAGCAAAAACACAAATACATGCAAGGCTACTATATTTTGTCCGACCTTGCTAGAGATGTACAACCTCCAGTAAGATAAAATGATGGAAATTCTTTTCAACCGTGTCAATAATATAGTAGCTAATTTTAAAGAAATTACTTGAAAAACTAATCCTAAGAAAATTTTATGACTTGAGAATAAATGACTATAAACAACTGTAGCTATGTCTGTACTGATGCAACTGTCCAACACCTAAGGCACAATTCTGATCAGCAATTTATTGTTCTGTACTTCAGAAGATTATTTTTTTCCTGCACATGTGGTCACATCTCCATCTCTCCTAGTTCTTAAGCCGAGGGATTTGGTTGGATTTAATTTCTTTTAATTGACACAATGCTAGCTACAGCATGTCCTGATTTACTTTGCATTTTGCATAATGATCAGTATTGGGAAATCTAACTCAAATACTCCTAACTGGGTTGATCGGGATAAAATGTAATGAAGACAAGATTGTACTCACCACTTTACAGAATGTATGCAAATGGTGTTACAAGACTTAACTCATCATCATTGATAATATTTCCATATCTTTATGAACCAGCACCATATTAGAGCCAGCAGCATGCCCTTGAGGCAAAGAAGGCCAACGTCAAATCGGGCTGCATTAGGAAAGGCCTTGCCAGCAGGCCCAGGGAGGTAAGCCATCCCCTCTGATCAGCACTGGTGAGACCCATCTGGATGCTGGGTCCAGTTTTCAGCTCCCCAGTACAAGACATCAACATAGAGAAACAAGCCTAGTGAAGGGCCACAACGCTGATTAAGGTACTGGAGCTTCTGATGGAAGAGAGACTGAGAGAGATGGGTCTATTTAGAATGCTCAGGGAAGTATCTTAAATGTGTATAAATACCTGATGGATGGACATCAAGGACATAGATCCAAACTTCTCTCAGCGGTATAAGGTAAAGGACAAGAGGCAATGGCAGAAATTGAAATATATGAAATTCTGCTTAAACATACGATTATTTTTTTTTACTGTAAGGCTGATTGATCACTGAAACCATTGCCCAGAGAGGTTGTGAAGTCTCCATCCTTGAAGATTCTTAATACCCAACTGGACTCGGCCCTCCACAACCTGTTGTGATTGACTCCTCTTTGAGAAGCGGTTGTACTAGACAGTCTTCAGAAATACCTTTCCATCTTAACCATTCTATGATTCTATTAAATAAATCATAAATAAGCACTAGTTTTGCTTCCCTGTTTCTGTAGTTTTATAAATAAGTTTGAGCAACACTAGCCTTCCACTGAGCTTGAAAAAAACCACAGGCCTGGGCTTTTTCCATTTTCAGTTCATTCCCCAGAGGACACTCTCAGAGGGGGCACACACTCTTATGGAACAGAAACTGCCCTTGATTTCAGAGCAGGACAGAGTAGTTCATACACTACATCAGACAAATGACAGGAAAGAATCAGTATTTGTCACAGTGGTACCTTTCATACTTGCAAAGAATTCTACCAGGTAGCGGGCCTCTTCTTGAACTCGATGTTCCAGACCTCTTTTCCCCAGACCCAGGTTGCGTAGAGTCTTCAGTGCAAACCTCCTCTGCTGCTTCCAGGTGTGCCCAGTTGCCAACATAATCCCTAAATCCATTCAAGGAAGAGCTCTTTATCATGCTGATATTTATTACATACAAATACTGCTTTAAAAGATTTACTACACAACAGAATATAATGAAACTATTGTATTGCCTACGAACACAAAGGAACAGCTGTGGCAAATGCTGAAAGCATATGGGCAGGGCCAAAATGGACAAACTCAACTGGATAGTAAGAAGAATTGCAAGATTAAGCTTGATCTAAGACAAACACATTTCAAAGTTCGAGAGCTGCTTCTCTAGATGCTCTCTGAAGGTAGTAAAAGTGAAGCTATGGAGTGACTGTAAGGGACCGAGGGCAGTTCTGAAATGATGAGGATCAAATAGACACAGACAAACCCTGCCACTATGGTACTGTTGGAAAGGGTTACAAGCTACAGAAGAGCTGCTATTTGTCATGACAATGTTTCTGTTCAATATTTATGGTGGGGGAAAGAAAAAAAAAAAAAAGTCACACCTTTTCCTTTGGCCATTGCTCTGAAGAAAGGAGATACGAGCCTCCCGGAAACGTCTTCAGGGTGGGTGGTCATGCCATCCTTAACTGCTTGAAATCCATTCAGTACGATCACTGGAGCCCATCCAAACCATAAGGTGAATACATTGCCATGAATTTTTGCCATCTGTAGATGGGAGAGAAGCCAGCAAAGCACCAGTGAAATCCCACACACTACAAACAAACAGAGGATGAACCTGTTTTTATGTTAATTACAGGACCAGCCCTAGCCTGGAATTATTTTCTCCATCTTTCCCATAAGACTACAATTATCTATGAGAAAGTATGAAAGTCTTTTCCAGCATTCACTTTTGGAAACAGACAAATATGCCAGCTTTTCAGAGCCACAAATGTATGCTGACAAACCTCAGGTAGCTTTCATTACCACACACAAGCCAAGGCTCAGTCACAACAGTCATCATTTTCTGTTTCCAGAACCCTGTCCAAGAGGATATTTTCTATGCATAACTTCTGTTCCAGAATTTATTTCAAGAATGTTTCTATCATTTGTACCAGTAAAGTAACAAAAAGGGAAGATAGAATCAGAGGAGTAACTAGCTTGTAAAGACTACCAGCCCTCACTTTGCATATCCAGGTCCTGGAACTTGATTAAGATCATTCTGTCTCACAATGTTCTTACTTTCTGTCTGAACCTGCAGCTTGGTCACAACAACCGGCAGGCTTCATCCAAATGGCAGTGACAGAAGCGAATGAAGTTGTCTATTGAGAATTATGAAAGCACTGAGAGAGCCAACAATGAAATAGAGATGAGGAGTACTCCTTAAAAAAACAATTAATGGAAGGTTTGTTTGTTTGTTTTTTAGATCCATCAGTACAACAAGCATATACACACACAGCATATCTTAAGTATCTATTTCCTGATTAAGCTAGAGACTGCCAATGCACAAAAAGCTAAAAATCTATGATGTGAAAGTCATTCCTTAAATCTGTATTTTCTTCCCTACCTTAATTTCTGATATACCTAAAGATATTAAACCCTAAAGGGTATTAAGTTTCACATGAATTTGTCAAACTCAGGGTTAAAAGGCATCATAATGATTTTCACCTATTCAGTACCTCCAATACCAGTGCTGGTATACTCTTAGCCTGGCAAACTACTTTATGCTGCAATAACTTTTTCTTATTTTGTCAACCAAGTCAGCAGTTGCCAAACAAACCAAGCACAGTATCACAGTGACCAGTAAACAATTAAAGTATGTTAACAGTGCTGTTTTGAGAGAGGATGTTTTCACATAGCAAACAACTTAAGAAATTTAAAATTACAAAAATTTTTAAACAATTAGAGTATCCAAAAATAAATACCTTCATGAGGAGATCACAATTAAACTGAAAGTTCAGCTGTATCAAGGTCCCAAAAATTGGGAGAGGGACTGGTCCAGGAGGAAGTTGTCTCCGTGCTCGTTGCAACTTAACAAACTGCATAATTAGAAGAAATAGAACAAAGGCTATAAGAACTTGACTTATTGTCAACATTTTAACTGCTGCTTTTACCAGCTTGTCTTTATTGAAAATAGTCTATCGAAGCTATTAAGGCTGGTTGCTCAACCAGTTTTTTTCGTAAGAGTCTAAATTTCATATAATAACTATTTATTCCACGCCCTCTAACCCTCCCTCTTTATTATCAACCACTCTTTTTCTGTCCCACCCATTACATTTTGAAGCTGAAGCGTACTTAGTAGGTGTATATCCCTCTCCTTCTTATTATTCAGATTACAATTATCAAATATGTATCACAGGATTTGTAGGAATGGTATCTTAAACTATGGCTGAGATTTTCCATGCAACGTAGATACACATCTCCACATGCAAACTCTCCATCTAATTTTCTGAAACAGTTGTGGATGTGTGTGCTCCTACGAATTCTTCATGAATGCTTTTAGAAAAGCAATAACCATACATACAAATCGAGCATGCAAATGTAAGTGGATATTAAATCTTGGACTTTTTGAAATGTTTTGTATCTGTTCTATTTATACCTATATCCAGGAGAGCCACTGATAAAGGGTAATGGTAAGGCTGATAAAAGTTTAAAGCCCACATTTATTGTAAAATAGATATACTAGTATCTAATGGTCAATACGCAAAGCAAAGTTTGTTAGGCTTTCAAATTTAGTTTAAAACCTATTTTAATGTATAACCTCACTTTTTTTTTTTTAACCTATTTGCAATAGGTAACATCATTAAGGATTTTGCTTGCCTCTGAATTTCCTTTTTCAATCTTGAAATAAGGGTGGAGACTTCTACAGAATATTTTGAGCAATTGTCAGAAAGCTTGCTCGAGAAATAAAGCATATACATATAGAAAATACCTCTACAGTGAAACAAAAAGAAAAAAAAATGGGGGTAAAATCTATTAGGAATCTGGAGCTACAACCAGAACTAAAGATCCCTCTTTAAGAGTGAGAACCAGTCAGAACATGCATGTGCCACACTTGGCAAGTTGAGAATAAATGCTGAATGAAGCAAAGCTCTTTGCCAGGCCTCAGCACATGCAGGAAATATAAATCTGTTATCAGGGGAGTTTTACATGCCTACAATCAGACCATGAAAAACCACATGAGAGGGGCTGTGGACAACGCAGCAGTGATGGTTAGAGTCCTGTCTTACAGATCTTGATTGAAATGCTGTGGGTAAATGCTTCTCTGTGAAAAATGCACATTCCCTGAAAGCAAAACATTAATAAAAGAAATACATTTTCACTAATCTTCTGAAAACCTGCCAAGAAGGCTTGTGCTTCATCTTGTTTCTTTCAGCTGCTCTTTCTTTGGGGCAAAAATTGCTTCACAGGATTTGTGGCTCTGGGACGCACAACACACTTATCCAGAAAGAATAGCCTGGAGTCTGCCAGCCCACAATTTCCAGACCTCCAAGTCAATTAGCTTCCAACCACCACACTTCATTACCATTAAAGCATAATTGAGGAATGTGTATTAACCAAGAAACGGCTGTTTCTATGCTTCTACAAAAGCTTTATTTGTTTACAATAAGAAGCTTATTCTTCAAAGCACTTGTTTCTAATTTAAACATCTCGTTCAACAGCAGGGGTTTTTTCCACTTTAAAAATTAATTCTGTTGGGTTCATTTACCTGCTCCTTACCCAGTGTGCTTTTGCAAAATCTACTTAAAATTCACTACTTCTTCATTTTTTTTCAAGTTGATACCAATGTAGGTCCCTAGATTTTTAGATAGTCAAAGATTTTGCATCTAGATGCTTGTTTTTTGTTGTTGTTGTTTTTTGTTTTTGTTTTTCATTCTCAAGCCTGGGGTCCTGCTCTCAATCAAGTCTTTAGAGATCAAGTGTCTCCATCTCCCAACACAGCCGAGGTAACAGGAGGACAGACCAATGGCCAGGAGACTGCCCAAGGCGGCTGTAGATCTGCACAGGACCTCCACAACTTCCAGGGCAGCAGCCTCACAGTAAAAACCTCTTCATTTCTTTCTGTAGCCTTGTGGCTTGGAGTTTTCACATTACCACTAATCCAGGTATCCAGCAAATACCACTGCTCCCTTCAACACCTTGACAGATTTACTAAGGTTCTGCCAGTGATCAGTCACATCCTGCATCCACATCTAAAATCGGGGCATGATGCAGGAGCAGCCAGGAGAAATAAAAGGGCAGGAAGCGGAGCTGAACAAAACCATGGATCAGTACTTGCAGTCACGGCCATGCTGGAGAAGAGAGGGTGTAACGAGGCACCCCAGACCCCAGCCCTTCTCCACCTCACACAGGGTGGCCGTTGTGGGCGAGCGGTCCCACAGATGAGTGACTCTCCCCATCAAGCCAGCAGCCCACCTTCTCCCACGTTGTCACCCAGGCACCAAATTCAGGTGATTTTTCCCCAGATCTTTCTGCCACGTTTGCCCATGACAGCTCAGCCACGCTCCGCAGAGCTCACTCAAGACGATGGCCACAGCCTTGCCTCAGGACCAGCTCCCAAAATGGCTTCCCCCTGTCCCTCCAGCCTCCACCATGCCAGTCCCAGCCAGGCCCTGAGGATTTCTCTCTGGACTCCTCTGGACAGGAGTCCAAAAAAAAGGAGTCCAAAAGCCTTTCACGGGAATCCAGACATTGCAGCCAACACCCTCCCAAACTAACTGATCTCCTAAATCATGAAGCAATGGCTGTACAAATTCGTCCTAACACAATGGACGGGGAAGATCCTGAGAGTATGGATTCAGATTCAGGAAACAAGAAAGAAGGGTTGAGTAATTTGTGCTTTATGTGTAGGAACGGTGATACTCTGGTGCTGATTACATTCCCAAAACTAAATGTATTTTCACAATAAAGAATATAGCTACGTTTGAAAGTAAACCATATGGATCTCAACAGGAGCCCTGCAGCTATTGCCTCTTTCCTGCCGGGCTTCTAGGAAGGGAGAACAAGCATAGGGAGAGAAAGCATAGAGAGAAAGGAAAAGCTGGCATTTACTCATGCTGATATCTATATTATCAATCCATTATTTGTTTGTTTTCCTTAGGCTTTCTGACAACCACTCCTTTTTCAAAATTATATCTTTTTGCTGCTCTAAGTGACAATAAAGCCTCAAGTTGCTTTCTCTGATGATGAAGTGAAGAGGCTGCAATTCGTACTGTCATCTGCTTTTTATTTTAATGCATACAAAGCAATGCTGTTAGGGAAAGTAACTACAGCTACTCTGCAATTTAAGAAACAGTAAAGGATAAGGTAAGACAAACAACTGCATAACATAAGAAGGGCAGTAAAAACAGAAAGCCAAATGAGGCCAAACAGGGAGCAAAAATTGGAAGCAGGAAGGCAGACCAAGCAAGAGAACACCTGAAGTGGATTTTGAAGATGAGATAGAGGCAGGAAAATGAGAGTAGAGTGATCTGTGGGAAATAGGATGGCCAGTACATTCTTATTATGTCTGCTCCACAACCATCATGCACCATTCAAATTTTGCTTGGTAGAGACCCCAGACCTTCCCAGTCCAGGTAAAACAGGGGAGCAGGAAACCTTTCACAGGACTCACTGGCAAAGCTGAGTGTGTGGAGTAACCTTGAGATGTTAACCATAATTTATTCTGACACATACAGTTTTCCCTACAGAGTATGAGTGGGTACTTAGCATGGATTACTACAGCATAAGAGTATCCAGATGTGTTTTTATGTCCAATTAGATGGCACTGGCATCACCGGTTACTGATTTCATAGATCTCTGCCTGTTAAACTGTGGTGCTTTAAACTACAAGATAGGCTGAGGTAACTAAAACAAACACAGCTGACAATGACTTTAGTCCTACAGAAGTTACTACCAGCCAATTGGTGTATAAAAATAACCCCTCATATGCTAGCAGACAGTATTCATTTTGTACGTCAAAGGAAAAAAACACACTCTCAATCTTGTCAGAAAAACCCTTTGTTAAATGTCAGTAACTGAGCTAGCAAAATGTTCAATGTCCATATTTGCTAAGTACCTAAGCACAATGCTCATAAAGGACTTCAAGAAGTCATCAGTAGTGCCAAATACTCTGTTGGTGGTGATATGCTAATTTATTCTGATGGATGTCATCAGATATCTCTAATACAGAATCCATTAAAGAACTGAAAAGAACAAATGAAGCTGAATAAATTATTGAAGGATCTGCAGTAAACAATGCCAGATGACTACCTATCATGAAAAATATGTGTTCTTATGTTGCTGTCAACCACTGGGTTCATAAAAGGAAGAAGGAACTATTTATCAACACTTTGTGTTAGCTTGCTGTTGTCATTTGTCTTCCAGTCCTTGCTCCTTCCCTGGATTATGAAAAGCTCTCCACACCCGCTTAATGAAGCCATTCCTCTACTTCCATCTCAAGGGCAGAAATACTACTTGTTTTAGTGGGTGAAAACCTCAACTTCTTGCCACGTGTCAATGACAGAGTTGCACAACAACAAACCTGTTCAGTCTCAGGAAATGTAATTATCCCAGATCGTATTACCTGACTCTTTAGAAGGTTTCTCCCAAGAACTTACCTCCTCCATCCACTAATATCCAGGGACAGACCAAATGACCTCTCCACCTATCTCCACACACTGCGGTTTATGAGAAAGAATATACAGATATTTTATCATGACACTTTTAATTTATAGACTTTTCTTCAAGTTCTTTCTCTCTTGATGCTGGTTCCTGTTACCAATAAATAAGACCCAGTTCTAATTCTTCCCATTTTGTCTTTATTTAACAATATGCACCAGGACAAATATACCAGGTGTTTGCAAACTGAAAACAAGAACAAAAGATTAACTCTTTGTAGGTAAAATCCTCAGGATGCAACTGTCTGAAAAGCACCTTCCATTATAGTGATTGACCAAATCAAGAGGAAAGCAAAAAATCTTAAGAAATGATAAGATGCATTCATTTGCAGAAACAATCATGCAAAGTCTTCCCTGAATCCATACAGCAACATTTCCTACCGAGGAACAGCACAGAGCTGGAATGGAGGTGGCTTCATTATACTCCCAAAAACAAACTTTGTGTTGACTTCTTTCACTCCATCGGGCAGAGTGAACTTGAATGCCCGCAATAGGGTAGAAAAGACAATAAAGAGCTCCAGCCTTGCCAAAAGCTCCCCCATGCATACACGGCTCCCTGTGAAAAGACAGAAAAGGCAATCAGCCCAAGGATTTCTATCAAAACTACCTTTCTAATTTGCTTGCAGTTTTCAGGAAAACAAACAAACAAACAAACAACAACAACAACACAGCATCTATTATCAAATAGGTAAGGGTTTTTTGTTTGCTTGCTTGTTTTCTGCGGATAGTCCTTTTCTTCTACAGTTAACTGACTCTGTCATGTAGTGATTCAAATCTGAAAGGCTGCTTTGTATTTTCGCTCTGAAAGTTTCCATCTGTATTCACAGCAGGCAGACAGAGCATTATAGAAATGATCACCAGGGCTGCGTAGTTTATAGTTACAGTCTTAATAGCATTATGAATTTTGCTGCTACTACTTTGATAGCTGGATCTCTCCTCCAAGAGAAAATGGATCTCTTCCAATAAAAAGGTTTCTGTTTTTCATTCCTTCTCTTCCAATCTTTTCTACATACAATTGGACTTTTCTCTTTCTGGAGATATTTGCAACAGTAGAATTGCCTTCCCAATTTATGTAGAGGAATGAATGGATCTTAAGGTGTTATCACATGGAATAAAGAAATTGCTGTTCAGTGTAAATACCTATTGAGAATGGTAAGAAGGCTTCTCTGTGTACAAAGTTTCCATCTTTATCCAGAAAGTGGCCTGGGTTGAACTGATCAGGTGTTTCCCATTTTTCAGGATCAGACAGAACAGAATCAATATTTACTAGAACTATGGTGTTCTGAAAAAAAGGAGCACATTTGTTAAAATGTGTTGGTTTTCTTTTTCCTATTGCCATTGCATTTTTAATACTTAGCTTCTCAGTAACAGTATGAGTACCAATTTAATTTTGACCTTTGATACTCTATGATTTCTGCTATGCTAGAGTTGCTTTAAGCAGATCCATTAAAAAATAAATAAAATAAAATAAAATAAGGAAAAGCAGTGATAGAAGAATATATAGAAACAACCCTAATGTACCTTTCAGTTATAAAACTTTTAAATATTTTAATTATAACATTTGCAAGATACTTAATTTAAAAGTTTGTAACACAAAAATAATTTCAAATTTCCAAGGTTTTCAGTAGAACTATTTTTTCTGGTCTTGGATGGCTTTTCATCAGCCGATAGGACTGACTTGAGACTGCTGGAAATTAATAAGCTTATTTCCAGTCTCCATTCACAAGTTTTCTATCATCAGAAGTCATGTTCTGGAAAGCTACTAGTAGGACAAAGTAGTTAGGACAATACACACAACTCCTTGTAAAAGGCTTGCTTAAATACAGTCATATCTAAGGGACAGCGCCAGAACTGGCAAGACCCAAGCATGTATTTCCCCAATCAGGAAAACCCTCAAAAGCATTTCTAAATTAAACTCATGTACCCCGTGCTGCTGATATTGGCCGTTCTCAATCATAGACGCTTTTCAACTAAATGAGCAATTAAAACAGAAGGACCTAAAACAGGACAGTGTTTTGTACAGCTGAAGTGGATGCAGTAACTTAAAAATTACACTAAAACAGTTTTAAGAACAACTACAATTGCACTGGACCTCAAACATTAAAACATGCAGCATGCTTGTACCTTTGGAATAGGATATCCCAGCAGTTCTGTGTCCTTCATAGTCTTTCTGGGAAGTGCAATTAAGACAATATTACTGAATCGCTGGATCTCGTGAATTACAGCATTTGTATAAGGTAACCGTTTCCTGTCCATGTAGCAAACTACATTGGAACTACCCAGAACAGCATCCAGCTCCTTCTGGACTTTCTCTGTAGAGGAATATTCAGCTTTAAATATACAACAATCTATAAGCTCTATCATCATCTTTTTCCTATTGCTTTTTACAGTTATAATACTACCCAGCAAGATGAAAAAGATATTTTAAATAATACCTTTAAATTACCAATTGGGTGACCTAAATTAAATATTAATCATGTATTAAGAGATTGGTTTAGTAATTGAACAAGGACAGGTCTTCACTCAGGACTGCATGGATTCTGATTGCCATCTGTAAATGGCATAATTACTATTCTGTAATTACCTGCCTTGGGAAGCACTTACACAAAAGAGGGTTTTTTCCCCCTCAAGGACACTTCTTTATTATTATTATTTACAACCCAAATTGAAATTGTCACTTTTTATTAATTTCTGGTCTGAAATGGCAAGATGATTGATCCTATGCATTAGGAAACTTAAGATAACTTTAATATATCCTGAGAGGTTGAAAGATCATGCTGTGAAAATTCAGTATATGCAGTACAGTCTCAAATTTTAGGTCTTTTGAAGAGCCATTAGGTAAGAACAATGGGAAATCCCTTCTCCTTACCACTTCAGCCATTCTCCTCTTGCCAGCCTCCTTCTGCACCTGATACCCAGCTTAGACTGTCAAATATGAAGCTTTCAGAGTGATTACTAATACATTTTAATCCTTATTATTCTGTGCACTCTGATTATTTCTTTCCATTGACAACTTGCATCTTTCTTCTGCGAACATCATTATTAAGAGCATACAATTTAAAGCTATTCAGCCCAACCTTTATTTAATATCTGTTTATATGCGGATATCTATGTTCAGAATTCTAAATTTCATGTAATAACCACACATTAACAACCTCCCACTGCACTGAGTTAATTTCTGCTGCAAAGTACTTGGGAGCACATAAAGGAGAAGTCATAGGTCAAAGAGGGTGATCCAAAGACTCTATCTTGGACACAGGACGAAACAGACACATGCAGTCACCTGATTCATATGCTACTATTTGAACTCCTATAATTCCTAAAAAGTTGCAGAACTGTTTGTGTGAGCTTACCTTGAACATCAGGATAAACCACCATATAGAGCAATGCCCAACATAAAGTAGTAGCTGTAGTTTCTGTACCAGCCAGAAAGAGGTCCAAAACAGACTGGATCAAGTTTTCCTTGTTGTATGTAGCATCAGCAACTCCTTCAGTCTGCAAATATGAATTGCAAAGATCAAGTTAAGGCACACAAAAGAGAAGCAAAGCACTCTGCATCACAGGAATATTTATTGATGCTATTAAAAATGAAAAATAAATAAATGAATAAATAAAGGGCTGGAAAAGAAAACTTCTTCAATAATACAAATACATTTTCTAATATTCTCCAGTGCATTTGTAAATTTATTCTATCCACATGCACATTTGGCTCTTCAGCCATGACAAATTTATGTAATTACGTATGCTTTCTAATCTTGATACAAATCCTACCATGATTGTTATTCCTAGTTGTATCTTAATCATACGATGATCTGCTATTATTGTGGCTATAGATAATCTACCCACAAAACTACTCACATTATTACTTCATCCTCCTCCTGCCATCTCACCATTTCAGTTGTTGGTTGTTTTTATGTTTGTTTGTTTTTTAATTCATCCACCTATAAGCTTTTCTAGAGGGAAATTGTATATTTCCCTAGTCGATACTAGACACCATTATAATCAAAGGAGCGCTTAAAATCACTAGTTGTTAGTGGAGCCTAAAAGGAAACCAGAGATACTCACTTTAGCTATCTGATCCAAATAACAACCAATAAAATTTTGACTTTCATCTGCTTTTCCTTTTTCTTTGTAGCTTTCAATTTCCTCTCTGAACAGTGTTCTCATAAAATCTATACCGGAAAAAGTCTTCTTACATGGTGTTAGAAAACGGTCTGCAAACCAGGGAATCCGATCATGTACCTGTGAAAGAGAGATTTTAGATATGTGGTATTCAGCAAACGAAATTTGAATACTAATATAGACTTGTGGGTAGGGGAAGAAGTGGATGAAAGACTGATGACTGTGTCTTCACCATTACACTGAAAAGCTAATTCCTGTCCAGTGATCCATTAAAGACTTTCTTATTTTTCCCTGGAGCAGAATTTCCCTTAGTTTTATGCTATAAATTTTCCATTGTGGTATACAAAGAATAGATGAGGTTCCTCTGAACTACAACAGCTAAAAACTTGAAAAATATCCTTGTTCTCAGCCTAACATACGTATCATTTCTCTCTGATTAAAAAAATAAGTAAATAAAAATCTAATTTCTTTGACACATCTGCTAAACTGAAAACAGAAATATCTGAACCCAGTTGTTTAGTGGTTTTAATATCTTACTGTAGGATACTGAATGCGTGGGGATTTTACTCAGACACATTTTTTCCCAGAAAAGAAGTGCGGTTAGTCAAACACATCACATATGTGATATGCAAAACAACTTTACAGAGCAAAACATACAGAGCCGCATGGATTCCCTGCTGTTTATTCACTTCTTTCACTTAAACCATTATAAAACAACATATCAGCAGAAGAGAGGAAAATGACTTTTGTATTAATTTCACTCCTCTACTTTATTTCCCTTTCTTTTTTTTCTCCTTTTACAGATTGCATCATGTCATTCCAGTTTACACGGCAGAATTACCCTGCTTAAGCTACGTGTTAGGTCATAAATCGGGCTCACCTTTTTAAATAGCAGCTGTATTACAAACCTATGCCTTCCCACAAGCCTGCTCATATTCCTGGCTTTCATTTCTTCCTCATCCTACTGCACAATTTTGCTTAAAAAAATCTGTCTGCTTACTAGGAAAATAGATTAGTACAGGTGATTATTAAAGGATTGTACAACACTATGAAAGCACTGTGGAGGGCAGGACAGAATGCAATACTGGACTAGAATGTTTTGGTTAGCTGTGGACACTATTAAGAGCTTTAAGAAGAGCTTATACAAATATCTCCCGAAAGCAGTTTGGAAGTAGCTGATCCTGTGTTTACCCTTCTTAGAAGATATCTTAGGAATCATTACACCCACATCTTCCGGGAGAAAAAGTATTTTGATTATTTTTCTTAACCTAAAGTATCGAATTAATCCTCAAGTTCTCTTAGACCTCAGTTACAGCAATTTTCAGTTAGCAAGAGATGGTGAAAAATCATGTAAGATGTAAAGCCTGTTGAGTTCCAGCAAGTTCTGCAGGAGTAGGTGCCTTGTACATTGGTAAAATGACTCCTTAACTACATACAGCACCATGGGTCCCGTTTGTTAATGGTTAATGATAAAACTGCCCTGGTTTGAAACAATCTGTTCCACTGTTTTTGCAGCTGCGGTCACAGCTTCACACAGAAGCATGATCGCAAATTTTCTCTCCAAAGAATCAGAGGTTAGGTTAGGAGCTGCTGTCTTGCCAAAAGTTATAGAAGAAGCTACCATTAAGCAATTACATGGTACCTTTGCTACCCTCGTGCAAAACAGTTGCTCTGCTTAAGCTTCTACAAGGTTAGCTAACAGTAGCAAAGGAAGTACTCAAGACCCATGTTACTCTTTTGATATTAGATGACAGTCATATGATTTCAGATAGCGAAGAAAGCCACTTTGTCAGAATTTAAGATAAGCTTATTTCAGAGCTTTTCAGGTATTTTTGCTTATATTTTGCTGCTGTGTTTCAAACACTGGAGCTGTACAGGTAGTGCTTTTGCGAGAAAGACCTTCGTACATCTCTCAGCCATGTAACGAGCCTATGCATTTCCATCCCAGTCCACCAGGACTGGGAAATTCCCAGAACTGAGAAATTTTGATGCTATGATAAGGTATAAGAAACTGAAATCAGTTTTAAACTAGTCATCTAGAAGTACTGTTCTGATGCATACTCCAGTGACTCCAGGTGCATTAGTATTCATTTTTGTTATAAAAGTAACCAGCAAGTTGCCTTTCATTGTCTAGCTGTATAAAATAACCAAAGAAAAAAAAAATCCTCACATAAAACCAGCTGCTGTTCATAAATGCTGATACATCATCAATAGTTTCAATCAAGCGGCGAAAGTTTTCGTCTTCTAGAGAGAAGCGATGTCCCAAAATCAGAGAACAAATCACATTTGAGACAGCATTAATAATGGGCATAGTGGGGTCCAGAGGTTTTCCTGTCAACACAGTGAAAAGCATTCACCTGTAACACTTATTGTTCCAGCTTTTTGTACTGAATAGAGAGATGATGAAATAACATTTTATCAAACTCTTCTGATGTTATATTAGTGGATGGAAAATTGCAATTTATCAGCAAAAGATGTGAGTAAAAAGTAATTTCAGACACCAACGTTTTTTTTTGATTACCAAAAAAAGGCAAGACTGCTGATGGGAATGGGATTTGTAGTGGTAATAATAAAAACACCCAGGTTTCAGAGAACCTTGGCATCAGCAGATCTCACATTTGGCAATAATTGGTACAAAAAAAGTCAGCCAAGACAGCATATGAATAAGCAACTGAATCAAAAGGAGAACCATCCTTTATTCTCTGCTCACATCCTTTGTACGTGAATAACGGAATACTTGAGCAAACCTACAGATGCTCCCCGTTTTTCAGCAGCACAATTTAAACAAACTTCCTCTCTTACTGAGGAAGTTACCCCAAGCCATGTGAGGTGAGCGTGCTTGTTCCACTGCAGTTGCCAGAGCAGAGCCATGGGATTCTGCAACCTTGGCCAAAGCTTTGAATACTTCATGCCTTGTTTTCTTTTCTGTAGAGGGATATAGGGTGCTGTGAGATCTGTTTTGTTACTGTTTGCTGTTACCCTGAGAAATACCAACACTTACAGACAGGAACCGTGGAGTCTCAGTTCTAAATTCATCCTGTGGAGTGGTTTCACAGGTAACACTTCAAGGAAATGCTTCCCACAGATCATAAGATTCAGACCTTTGAGACTCAGCTCCGCATGTACAAATCTAACACACTTTTGTAACCAAATATATAATTTCAAAAGCTACCAATTATCCATTCTTCAGCAAAATCACTACTGCCCATACTGACCCAAATGCTGAGCACAGGCACATACCATTTGTTCCCCGCAAATATTCCACCAGGTGACAGGCTTCCTCTTGTATTTGACACTCCTGGTCTTTTTTCCCTACTCCCATTTTCCTCATTGTTACAAGTCCAAAACGCCTCTGTTGCTTCCAAAGATGACCGTTAGAGAACATAACACCTGGAATCATAATGAATTAATGTTGCTAATGCTGTATGGTTTAATACATACATACAGTTAATGTTTCAAAGAAGCTTCTCTGCCAAGTTAATTTTTATCCGCAGTCCTGGAGCACGCCTCTTTCTTTTCTCTTTTCCTCCTTTCTTCTAGTCTACAATCTACTGCCTGTATAGAAAATATGACTATAGCTGTATTCTGCCACTATTGTTCCAACAGAACCCAAAAAACAATGTTTCATAAAACTTTGAGAAAATATTGACCTTTTTTCCACCATAAATTAAGCACTCTGAGACTCTAAATCAGTTTCCAAAACCAGGATTCGAATACCTTAGAAGAAGCCGTGAAAATAATAGTTACCCCTTCCATGTGTCAATATTTCAAAGGCTAAGTTTTGTGGCCTTCCAGCAACCTCTTCAGCATGGGCAGTCATACCCTCCTTCACTGCCTGGTACCCTTGCAGGACAATCACAGGTACGTTTGCAAGCCATAAGGTGAAGATATTACCATGAAGTTTGCTCATCTGTAGAACAACGCAGTATCAGAACAACATGGGTAAGAACCATCACATTTAAATCAAAGAAGGTGAAACAGTTCTTCACCCTTGACAGATTCCCCAAGGGCACTGGACCTTGAGAAGACAGCATCAAACTAATTCTTACATCTAATATAGCTTGCAGCCAGGTTTCTATGTAAACTCTCATTTACTAAAGATCAGAATGTTCCTAAAATGTCAAACAGAAAATATTGCAATAAATAACATCAGACACCGGCATGTCTTACAACTCAAACTCATTGCAGATGAATTCCTTCATGATTGTAAGATGACAACATTAGATAATGAGTTTTAGGAGAACCATCTACTGTTCCCCCTTGTGTATTAAGTGCAGCAAGAGCAGCTGAGGAGGTAGGGAAAGCAGGAATCACCTTCTCCTTCCTAGCTCAGATGCGACAGCCCTGTGTCTCCACAGGTCAAAGTAGGATGTCTGGGGGGTGGAATAGGCTGGAAGGAGTGAGGAGCTGTCAAAATATTCCAAGAAGTCTAATGCAGGACTAGAGGAGGGCAAAATTTTGCTGCCTGTGTGCAAACAAGAGGGAACAGTTCTGCACGTTGTGCAAGGATTTATATGCATGTGCTTGCAGATTTGGTATTTATCTAAGGTTGAATTTTTCTAAGGTCTATAATTTTCTATTATATTTATCTAAGGCCTATAATTTTACATTGAGGAGTCACACTACTTTGCCTTGAAATATGCAACTTAGGAGAACTAGCAGGATGGGGAAGAAACAGAGAAAAGGAAGCTTAAAAACAAGCAATGAAATTGAGGTGCTATTACTCATACATAAGCATTAAATATAAACATTAAATATTTAATATATATACTAGGAATATAAAACAGTAGGATAAAAATTCTCGAAGTGCTCTGCATTACAACTAGACTTAGAAAAGGGCTCATTTTGAGTGTAGGCACATAATGAATTAGTTCAGCTATTTAAAAGCTCAATCAGGTTCAGCAGATTGAAGTTTCTTCAGAAAATCTGACTAAATTGTATATAAACAAAAATTTTAATCTCAGATCTTATGAAAAAAATGTTGAATAAGCATTTGAAAAATCCTTTTTACACTAAAAACACATAAGCACTCAATAGCTATTTCATGGAGTATTTAGAATTTGTCAGTGCAACAAGAGCCAAAACAGACATATGAAAACCTCCACAAAATGCAAGTCTGTTCTTTACAATGCTTTTCCAGTTTGTAAGGCAGGAATATTAGTATTGTTTCGCTCACGTACACTTAAGGTTTTAATGAGATGGTTCATAGTAAGCCAAAAATTTCGGAACAACCATATTTAACTCATCTCCACAGATTTTCATGTCTACACAATACAGAATAAATCCCTCCCTAGCACTCAAAAGAAAACTACGTTAACAAAAACATGCATTCATTCTTCAGTCAGCCTATGAGTCTATTATTTAATTGCCCCAAAATACGTACTTTTTTAAGGATGTCATGATGAATTCGGAAATTCATTTGCAGCAGATTTCCAAAGAGGGGGTATGGAGTTGGTCCAGGAGGAAGTTGTCTTCGCTTCCATTGCAGTCTCAGAAACTCTACAAACAGCAGAGATGCTGCAAAAAATACAAGCCCTACACTTACTGTTAACATTTCACTTCTGATTTCCAAGGCTACCTTGTCTCTGGAAACCTGCTATATAGCAAGAGATCCATTTTTATCTTGTTTTGCTGGTACCTCCCTATGAAGAAAAAGATGTTTAGGCTTATGTCTCTCCTAGTCCTTCCCTCTTTATCACTTTACTTTCTGATCCCAGAGAATGAAGTGTTCTTATTTTTAAGTATATAAGACATTGCTCCATTACATTACAGCTACAAATCTGGCAAGTGTTAGTCCTTCAAGGAAAACCAAATGCAGTTTAATTATATGCTTCCTTATGCCAAGACAGTTGCTGTGACAAAAATCCCTCCCCACAGTACTGGTTTCATAAGGGGATTCTTGCAAAAAGAGTTTGGAAAGCCAACAGAATTTTCTGAGGACTAGCTACACACCCAGGGAGAGGTTGATGAGATGCCTCTAAGCCTTCTCTTCTCTAAGCTATAGAGTCCCAGCTTCTAGTCTTCCAGAGAGGTGAAATTCTCCAGCCTGTCAAGGTCCCTCTAGACAGCAGCGCAACTCTCTTATGTACCCACCACTCCCCTCAATTTTGTGTGGTTGGCAAGCTTGCTGAGGGTACACTGGCCTATCATCCAGATCATCAATGAAGACATCAAACAGGCCCAGAACCAGTGCTGACCCCCAGGGCACTCTGCTAGTTACGACCTCTAACTAGACATTGCCCCACTGACCGCTACCCTCTGGGCCCAGCCAGTTTTCAGTCCACCCCACTGCCTGCCCACCCAACCCATATTTCAACAGCTTGTCTATGAAAACCTGATGTGGGACAGTGTCAAAGGCCTTACTGAGGTCCACGAAGATGATATCCACTGCTCTCTCCTCATCCGTCAGGCTGAGCATTTTGCTGCAGAGGTTCCTCACATTGGTCAAACGTGACTTCCCCTTGGAAGCATTTGGCTTCATAAACAAACAAGATCAAGACATTCAAAATGGTAAATTAGTATCATAGTAATATAGTAAAAATATAAGCAAAGTTTAAATCCCAAGCTAATCTTTATTAAAGATCATGGTATTATTGAAAATACAAGGGTGGGTCAGTAGACTGTACATGAAAAATTAAATCCCTTTGTTGACCAGCTTAAAGGTAACTATAAGCCTTTTTGAAATACTCAGATTAGATGTTTATGAAAGCTATTCACTACTTATCACATTGCGCTTTAATAAAGATAAGATTGCTTACATGTAGCAACTCCTAGCACAATGAAGTGTTTGGCCACTGATTTGCGCAGGTCAAACACATGCTTAAATTTTGCTGACTTAGCTCTATTGTCTTGAAGCGTGAAAAATATTTGTCTCCATGCTGATATTTCTGCACTGCTGAAATCCCTTCTGTGGACAGGATCACGCTGACAGAAATTTGTTAGTTTATGCTTTTTGGAGATGCAGTATCATCATGCTGGCAGAAAGGCTCTAATAGAACAGGTAAAGGAGTTCCTCAGGCTGGACAGGACAGAAGTAGCAGAGGTTTGACTGCAGCATTGATCTGCTTCTGAAATGAGAAGGATGTTATAGCCATGGGTGTGTATGCACACATACACTAAGACTTCTCAATCCCATAATTAATAAGGAATTTTAAAACTTCCCAGACAGAGCCAGACGGGGCTTGGAAAAAAACTCATGTGATGTCCACTGCATTGCTAACTCTTGGGACATGAAAGGCAGAACCAGGACCCTTGCAACATCCTTCATTGCCAGGTGACTCCAATTAAACATTGTCCTCTCCCCTTTCTACTGATTTGTTATTTTTCTTGCATTGATTTCTTTTCACATTCTTCTATGTTGTTAAATTTCAGATATATTTTCTCTTCTTCTCAACCATTTTTGTCAGCATTACAATCAATTGAAAGAACAGGCTGCTTTGCAATAGAGTAGTATTAACTACACGGACATCAGTATGCAAATCACAAGTCTGAATATTTATGTAGAAAAATATTGGGTATGGTAACAATGAACAATGAGGGCCAGTAGCACTTGGGATAGAAATTAGGAACAAGATTGCCTGATTCAATATGCTGTGGCTGTCAAAGACACAAGCACAAAGTATTTCTTACTGAATTTTGTCCCACTACAACTACGGAGCAGAAGTTTCCAATAGTTCAAGATTTGTAGGTCTATTTAAAACGACAAAGTCAAATGGACCATATTACTTCTGAGTGAAAACTGCTCCAGTGCTAGCTGGTTTCTTCCTTTATTTAGCGCATTCCCTTTTGCCTACCTCTTACTTTCTCATTTCTCATTTTCCTGAACTTCACCTCTTATTCAGTCTCCAGGACGTGCACATGCTGTATTCACAGAGACATTCACAGAGATGCCTGAGACTCTGGTAGCAACCAGATGCCTCATTATACCCACTGCTGCAACACCATCTTTATACGGTAGGAAAACTGAATCCTAGCTCCACATTAGTGCACAACCCACCCTCCACACCCCCAAAAATCCATGCCCACACAGCACATGCAGCATCACACGGATGTATCAGAGCTAGAGATGAATTAGATTGCAGGAGAACCACATGAGCTCACGCATCTCTTCTCCCAAGTCCTGACTAGTGGCAGCAAGAGCAAGCTTCAGATCCACAGCAGTCCCAAGAGCATCCATCTGAGCCCCTAGCCAGAAGCCTGAGAAAAGAGCAGTAAGCCTCCTGATACCGAGCTCCTTCACAGATGTGAATAGAAGTGTTTAACCAACATTACATTAAAGAAAGAAAATTGTCACGCTGGATAAACAAAGCATCCATGGAGTATAATTGCAATAACAATTCTAAAACCTCCTCAGGGAAGGAAACTGGCAAGAACTTTGCCCAGCAGCTCTGCTAACAGTCTCCATTAGCTCAGCTACTGAAGTCTGTGTGCCACGAGGCATGCTACACAAAGCATCTGTACTCACAGAAAGCCCTCACACAGCTCTCAAGAAAATCGATGTAATTTTTTCTTGCCCTGCCCCTCCCTTTGTAGGTGCCCAGCTTTGCTTCTCAGGACTCCAGGCATTCCCTGTAACTGTCTTTTCAGACATCAATAAAGAGATGTGGCCAACCTAGACTTCTTTTCACCATCACCACTACAAACTGCCTCCACTGGGTGAGAGGACTCCCTCTTTAAGACTGCCTCTCAAATGCACCACAATAATAAATGCAAAACAAGCATCTTCAGGCCAGCCCACTTGTCATTTACCATTTTTGCCACCTTTGTTTCACCAGGATTGGGGCTCCCCTCTGCAATTCTTCAGGAGGGAATATGGGAGGGGTGCCTTCACTGGCAGCCTACGTCCCAAGCCTCACAGTGAAATGAAGGGTTGCACTGAGGTAGCTCTACTACTTCCAGATCCAAGCTATCACCTCCACGCGGCTATGTGCTAAATAGACAAACCAGCTGGCGCACAGGTAGTTCAGAGGTCCCAGCACAACAATTCTTTCCCCCATGCACCCACCACAGGGGTTCATGCAATGCCCAGAGCCACCACCTCTGGGAAGTGCATCTCCATACCCCACTCTAGAATTGAGAATATATGGGGTCAATGGGAAGCACCCCTAAGTCCTGGCTTTAATGTTCCTTCTCCCTCTAGTAGGATTCCCACTGAGCCTCTAAAGTAGACTCTAAAGTAAGATCAGGCACTGTAATCATTTTCTGTGTGTTTATTTCATTTCTAATACACAAGAAAAGCATACATAGGTTTTCCAGACACAAGGAAAAAAGAAAAACATAATATGTTTCACAACCAGCTTCTTAGACACGTGACACAACAGGAGCAGACTGACAATGAATCTGGGCTAGAAATGAAGAACATAAAAGGTGAACTAGCAAGCCTGTGTCAGTGCCTCTTCCTCAAACCTGTCATACTCTGCAACCTAGCGAAGATTGGCACAGAGCTTATATGGATGGGGTTTCATTGTGCTCCCGAAGATAATGTCCATGTTGACTTCCTTAACTCCTTCTGGTAGAGTGAACTTGAAAATCTGCAGCAGGCTGCAGAAGATGATGAAGAGCTCCATCTTCGCCAGCACCTCTCCCAGGCATACACGGTGTCCTGCAGAGGGAGAAGGGAAAGAGCAGTCAAGTACCTAGACAAATCTGTAGCCTGCATTTGCTTCCCAGCTTTTCAAAAAACATCACTCATTCTCATCAGGAAACAGGGATTTGCTGAATTTGACATTTTTCTCTCAAACTGACTGAATAATTGAGGTGTCTGCAGTTGACCATAAGCTGGATCTACCCAGACTACAAAAAAAGGTTCCAGAGATGCTTCTCCCTAGTTTCACACTTTACTAACTAATCCCTAACTCCCTGCTGCTACAAACTCTGTTTCAGTCTCTTGATTCCAAATAAATCATATGAATCAAAAACTTTTCCCAATTTATCAATTAACTTTGTGTTAAGTTTGAGTAGAGAGGTGGTGACAGGCTCTAAGGTTAGGCCTGGGATGTTCAAATTCCTCTTCCGCCCAGTGTAGGCCAGGAACCATGAGGCTGACGCTTTCACATCCCAGGTGAGAGCTCTGACAACCAGACTATCCATAATCCTGGCATAATCCTTAATAGCTTTTGTTTTATTTGTTGTTTAATCAACTGATTGTTTACTCTTCTATAAACACAGACGCTTAGTAAAAGAGCATCTCCAGAAGCTCTCTGGGAAAGGCATACCCATCCGGGATGCATTTGATACAGGTTCAAATTCCTGTATCAACAAATACTGAATTATTTATACACAGTAAATCAGCTCCAGCAGAGCACGCTGCCATGGAACCACCACAATAATAGCATAATCTGGCAAATGCAGAGGGTGGCAAAGAACAGTGTAAGGACTTTAATCCCAAAATTATTGGCAATTCTAGGTCTTTACTCCTTTTACTTTCTCTGCATTTTCACAAAAATCTAAGGTCAACAGTTTATAAAATTACCAAATGAGTTATTTTCCAATCAAACAATTTTTGGGCCTGAGAAAACCATGTACTCCTATTATGGGATTCCACTCCCTTTAGTCTTTTCCACAAGAAAAATAATAAAGCTTCACGTTCACAGTCTAACCCACACAAACAGGTTCAGTTATCAGCACACCTACCTGCTGAGAAGGCTAAGAAGGCCTCTCGGGTCACAAAATTTCCATCCTTGTCCAAGAAATGACCAGGGTTGAACTGGTGAGGGGTCTCCCAGTATTCAGGGTCAAAAAGAGTTGAATCTATATTTGCCATAACCACAGTACCCTGCAAAGAAGATGCTGTTGGCTCAGTTCTGCCACTCAATTGCTCAAACATCATGAAGAAAAGGACACAAACCAATTCCAGCTACAACTCAGGGCACTGCTCTGCTAGTCACATGAAGAGGTAGCAGAATTAAAAGATTAAACATTTTTGTTCCCAATAAAATAATCTCAAACTGATTTCATTGTCTGTGTTTGTGTGAGTGGTTTTGTTGTTTTATTGTTTGTTTATTCATTTCTCTCTTCAAAAAATAGATAATAAACCTCAGTAGCTCAGTTTTAGGTATTTCCCTACTTTACTCCCTTCATGTCCTTTTTTCTGTTCTGTTAGCAACTGCAACACAATGAGGGGTGTAAGGTTCTTTAGCTTATCCTAAATTTAGTAAAATGATTTTCCCACTTTTGACAAGCTTTAGCAGGTTTACAAATGGAAAACTAAGCACCCTGCAAATGAAACAGTATATTTCAAATTATCTTTCTCAAGGTGGAGGGAAGGAAGGTGTGCATGGCAAACACCACGGAGCAGTGCTGTGCAGGAAGGTGTCTCCATGTGTGGCTTTGGGGAGGTTTGGCATTGAGATTAAGTTTGGAAAAGCTTCATGAGTCAAGGAAACTACCGGTAGATTTTTGTTTGAGGTCAGACAGCAGTTCAGGAGCTGCAGGGAAATATCTTCATTATATTTCAAATAAGATGCCAGAGATGTAATAATATAGAAGAAAAGTCCTAAGTGAATGAAATTGAGTTCATGCTTGGTATTGTCTCAGGCATCACAAGTGGGAAAAAAAATTCAACTTCCCATCTGTCCATATCGCAGACAATATCCTGTCATTATCAATATGCTGACAACACTGTGCATTTCTGGTAAGTCCTCTCTAAGATCTTCTGAAAGTATAAGAACTCAAATGCTTATAAAGTACTTTAAAAGCACAAACTCTTGGAAAGTAAGACTCTGCAGCACTCTCACAGGTTTAATTGCTGTGAAATTGTGCTTTTGGCAAGGGTTTTCACTCACTGTTCATGAGAAAAAGGCACAGGTCAGAGGGCATGGGAGGGGAAAAGCACTGTCAGTACTGTCACCAACAACCACTGAACCGTAAGGAAAAGTGGATGAGGGAAAACACAACTATGAGGAATTCAACTTATGGACAAAGGTCATATTGGAATAGATAGGGTACCTTTGGAAGGTGATACCCCAGCACAGTTGTATCTTTCACTACTTCTCTAGGAATTGTGATTAAAATAATGCTACTAAAGCGAATGATCTCATGAACCACAGCATTTGTATAAGGCAGTTTCTTCCGATCCTCATAGCAGATTTGATGAGAAGAACCCAAAACGACATCCAGCTCTTTCTGGACTTTTTCTACAGAAGAAAAAAAAAAAGTCCTTTTTACATAGAACACCACAACGAGCAGTGATAGAAAAAATTAATATGTAAATAAATTGTACTCACCATATCCTAAAATGTAAATACATCTATACAACTGTACATACATTCATACAATTTTACTGTTTGACTAAAATTTGGTATTTCTTAGTTTATAGGCTCTCTGTTCAGATCATCTTTCCACAAGCCCAAAAGATTTATTGAGCTTCATAATTAAAAGAAAGAGAGCAAACTGTAAATAAAACAAGAGCTTCTTACTAATAGATTAATACAATTAATCAAGCTATTGTTTTTACTCTAGCTGAATACAGACTCACTGCACACTCAGCAACATGTTGTAAGGAAGCCATTGTATCAAACTGATACACAGAAGTAATGCTGAGAGTTGGGACAGGGTAATATTACCTAACCATGACCAATTGTTAATCCCTTTTAGCTCTTACCTATGCTTCAGTAAGTACCATACCTCACACAGTCTGAGAAAGTTCAGGATCAAATTTCAAGCTTAAAAACAAGGCTAGTAATCCAAGAGGGATTTTTTATTTTTTTATTTTTTTAAAAAATTATTATTTTTTTTTAAAGCTACATGTGTGTACAGGGCTCTGTTCTTCCAGCTTTCTAGAACCACAAGTAGCATGTCTTGTCTAGCTCTAAATCCAGGCACTGAGAACACATACTTGGCTTAGCAATTCACCATCACTGAAATCCCTGTATCAAATCATTTAAACATTTTTGAAACTAGTGAGCAACTTTGCCCTTGTGTAGAATTTGTCAGGCATCTTTCTGTCTTCTCTATTCTTCTCTATTTAATGTTCCATAAATTATGATGAATACATGTATACTTACACAGAAATCAACTGATGTCTCAGTTAATAAGCACAAACAATGTATGTTTGACATTTCATATACAAGGAAAGAATCACTTTTTTCCTAACTCAAGCTCCTATCTCACTTTGAGTCTTCTCAATCAGACTATTTTCTATTACATTCTTACAGTACTAAAACAATCTGTCAAAAATCATGACAAAATACACAGAAGACAAAATACATCAGAAGCTGAACAACTCTGAAATGTTAATTAATTTTAAATTTAAATTTAATTAATAAATTTTAAATTATTTCTCTGTCCGGAAATGTTCTACTTTATTGGCTTCTTAAAAACAGAGCTGGAAATATGATATCAAAAAATAAAAAGAAAAAAGAAAAGGGATGTGGAACAGAACTGTTCTACTTGAAATATCTCCGTGTTTATGTCTATAACTCACCTTGGATGTCAGGATAAGCCACCATATAGAGCAGAGCCCAACGCAGAGTGGTAGCAGTGGTCTCAGAGCCGCCCAGGAAGAGGTCAAAAACAGACTGCACCATGTTTTCTTCATCATAAGTAGAATCTGGGACATTTTTAGCCTACAGGTGTCAATGAGAAATTAAGTAAGAGTGCAGAAGGTACATCTGTCAGACAATGTATCTGCCCACTGCGACATGCAGTGATCAGTGTAAGTAAACAGAGTATTTCCAGAAGATGGAGAAAATACAGGTACCCGAATAATAAAAAGATTTACAAAGATATTTTCTCAAGTAAATTCATACATACTTTTCATTGCAGGTGCTACAGAAAGTGTCAGGATTCCAAGGCTCTATAAGGCTCTATTACATTTAGAGCTCCTTGTTGCCTTACTGCTGACATCCACATCAGAAAAACGTTTCAGAAGTTTTATCCCACCCTTGCCACTCCCTGCACATTTACTGATTTCAGTTATCTCTCATGTGTTATGATTTATTTATTTACACTATTTTTCAAGGCAGAGACTGCCATCATTTTTCTTTTAGATTGTTTCAATAATCATACAGTCCTACTAAGCAAACAAAAGTTTAGTACAAGGCACAAAGAAAATAAAGCTAAACACTGAAAAGACACAAAGGATCGTAATTAAAGAGCCATCTAAATATTTAAATCTTTAAAACCAACCATTGCCTACTCTTGTCTAAGGACTCCGGAGTATAATAAAAAAAAAAATTAAAAAATGATGTAATTATTTTATCCTTCTAAAACAAGCAATTAAAGTGACTATTTAAAAATCATATTTGAATTTGACAGCATGGTTTTTAAACTGAATTTGTAGTGCTCTGTAACGATGTTGCTATGTATAGACAGCTATGTGAAACGTGCAGGAAATCTGCTATGATATCGTTTTTGTCAATTACAGCACAAATTACTCACTTTCTCTATCTGATCCAGGTAAAAGTCAATGAAATCTTCTGGTTCATCTATGGTGCCTTTTTCCCTGTGTTTTTTGATTTCCTGCCTTACGAAAGAACGAACAAAATCACAGCGAGATTCTAGTTTTTGTAGAGGTCCCGGAAAGCACGCTAAAGACCATTGGAAAATTTCATATATCTGTGGAGCAAGCATTCAACACAAATATTGTAAGTTACATGACATGACTAAAGCCATTACAGAGATACAATGCAGACATTTTAAATACTGAATTACTGAATGAATTTCTCTAGGAAAAGTATTGCAGCAAAGAGAAATGTCATGATGAGAACACAAACAGGCATTAAAAACATAAATTAAAGATGATGCAATTTCTACTCTGTATTCTTTCTTATCCTTACTGCATAACCTCACTAGTATTTGCCCTGTTAATTCACCAACAGAGGAATCCAGTTTCACAAGCAAGTCTATTCTGTATGTGTTAACAGTAATAAATTTAATGCTAATTAATATTATATATAATTACATAAATTGACACAGGGGGATACAGACAATGCGAAACCACAATCTTTTACTCCAGTAAAAAAGTATCACTTTTCACCTCAATAATACTGGTCTTTCCATTACAAAAGAGTTTAGCATCCCAAGCACACTGCCTCTCCTGGGAAATTCTAACAGTAATTATTTGTACTAGTTTAGTAATGTCAAACCCAAAGCACTCCAGGCCCAGTTCACATTCATCATCAGTATTTTTAAATCAGCATTTTTGTGATTAAATAGTATACTATGATAATATATAACGCTACAATTAACATTGCATGGTAATGCAATAAATATAATGTTCAATAATTGAATAATTTGCTTATTAAACGTGTCATTTTCTCACATAGTAAGTGTAGCTGTTCCCAAAAGCCACTACACAATTGTATGCTTCAATCAGCTGGCGGAAAGTTTCATCCTGCAGGGAGAAACGATGTCCAAAGACCACAGCACAGATCACATTAGAGACGGCATGAACAATGGGGAATGAAGGGTCAACAGCTTCTCCTGCAAACAGAGATAAACATTTGTCACCAAAACACTCTCTTCTTTGCTACTTTGAAAGCAAGATTTTATAATAAATAGCACTTATGCTATTTAGACTGTTATACTGAAAGCCTCAAAATTCACTGGCAAATTTAACAACAGATAAACCTCATTCAAAAATGAGGACAGGAAGGCATCAAGTCTTTAACTTCCACCCTTATCTGTTTTGTTTGTTTGCTTTGGTTTGGTGGTTTGTTTTTTTTGTTGTTTTTGTTTTGTTTTTTGTTTTGTTTTTAAATCTTGGTGCTAATACCAAAATACACACCACTGAACTCTGGTGGTACAAAAAGTTTTGACTGCGCTTAAATTATATTACACTCTAAATAATCTTGGCTGTACTCTAACCCCAGTCTTTTCTGGAACAAAAATAGTGTTTTTTTAACCTCAGTAGGTAGCCTACATGACCCTACATCAAAATAGGAATGCAGTTCCCAGGACACCTTGTCAGTGGCATACCGTCTTTGTCCTTGAAGAACTTGACCAAGTGATAGGCCTCGGTTTGTATCCCACGTTCCATTCCTTTGTTCCCCATTCCAAGTTTCCGGAGCGTTGCAATTCCAAAACGTCTCTGATGTTTCCAGATGAGACCATTTGAGACCAGGATACCTTCAGTCATTAAGAATTAATTTTATGTTAATAGTCATGTAACAGTAAATAACATACATGCTAAGAATTGTTCACTGTGTTCAGGTTTCTACCACCTGAAAATACGATGGTGCCTCTCACCAAGCTACTCAGAGCCAACAGACCTCCCTAAGGAGCTCATTGGAAAGGTCCAGGGGGTTCCTATGCTTGTGCTTCTTAATCTTATGCAAACCCTCTTGAGACCATCAAATCTCCTTACTGGCAATATTTAAAAAACACCACACTTCCTTAACGGCTAGAGTTGATAACTGGTTCTGAGCACGTTGTCTGTGCTGCACTTAGTCTCTGGCTTTTGGGGGATGGATCCTGATTTTACCAGGCTGCTTGCAGCACACATTCAGCTCTCATCGTGACCCATGTCCTTCCTGGGAAATGAAGCCAGGGCAAGAACCATTGAGCATTTCTGTTTCAAATGCAGAACTCTATATATTCTCCATCCACCAAAATTCAGCAGTGGCTGGTGTAAATGATAGCACAGTAAGAAGCTTTGAACAAGGACTGTTGCACCTACAGTCTCACTAATACGTTCAAAGCTCCAGTGTCCTTCCTGTAACCTGGGACATCCCAAAAGGTTACACCTTGTTCAACAGCTCTGTACATGTTTTCCCTACAGTGGCCTTTGCTGTAAACAAACAACCAGGAACATAAAGGATTACTTCAGCCTCAGCTTACAGAGGAGGCTTCAAGCTCCAAGTGAGCCTCACATGGACTATTTCAAATCAGGGCACAAGCTTGGACAACACTGGATGGATATATAAGAGACCTAACTAATGGATAAATAAGAGACCTAGCTAGTACAAATGCTGCTGCTTTGGTGAGATTCTCGAATACATGTGACAGCAGCACTTTGCAGACTATTTTGGAGACCGTTTTGAGGGATACCACAGGCTTGCCTTATATCAACCACCTGGAGCAGACCAAATGGGTGAACTGGGAACTAAGGAGTTGTCAGTAGACAAAGTTCTTTCACAGACACAAACATCTTACCTCTTCCACGTGAAAATTTGTTGAACATATAGGTCTGTAGTCGCCCAGAAACATCCTCTGAGTTGACGGTGAGACCATCCTTCACAGCTTTGAATCCATAAAGCACCACCATAGGTTTGTGACCCAGCCACAGGGTGCAGATGTTGCCATAGATTTTTGCTAGCTGTAGGTTTGACCAATGACAAAAAATACTCATTGGAGAAACATCAACCAAAGGACACACATGATGGGCTCCTCTCTTCCAACATGACATTACTGTGATAAACACTCCCATTGCAAAACAAAACTATTTTGCCTTTTTATTTCCTGAACTTGGGAGTAAAGTTCTGTGCTCTCTCTGGGACCCCACTACTCATAGTAATGTGAATGATAAAAAGAACAGATGCTCTATGCCCTTTTTAAAGCTTAACTTGGGTTGTCTTTGCAAATGATAACATTTAGGAAAATGCCACAACTGAGTGCTTACAGATCATATTCAGTTTCACAAGAGAAGTTCACCTGCCCATTCACAGTTACATTTTTCAACTCCACGTTTTATTTCCTCAACCAAAAACTATAACCTCTTAAAATTACACATTCCCGTTGTCACTTCTCCTAGCACTACAAATTTCAAGATTCAATAGACCATCTCCCATCTCATACAAAAGTACAGTGAAGCTGAAGAACGTGAACAGAGATCTCACCTCTGCTTGGCCAGCGATAGGGACTGGTCTCAGGCAACCCTGTGGATATTCAGTGAGGACAAAGTCCCGACCTCCACACAAAGAAACAGTACAGCTCTGTCCTCCCATTAGAAATGTTTGGCATCAATGCCTTTTAAGTTCCTTTTCCCTAAAGCCTATATTCTCCCCTTGCAGCCAAATACCCCATCATGTGCCAGTCTCGTTTAGCAAGGTTGGGTCTTGAAAAAAAATTTATCAGCACATTGGATTATTTTGTGAAGTTTTGTCTCAGTGGAGGAGGCTGAACACTGAAAGACCCTCAATTAATATGCTCAGCATGGACCTAATTCTTTCCATGATTTCATTCCTTTCACCATCATTTACGCCATCAGTTTATTTGCAAGGAATCTGCAGATTTTACTTAACTTATTTAGGCATTTAATTTAACTTCCATGACCCACCTTCCCTCACAATGAAGTTTTCTCTAGTACCATATTAGCCTACCAACAACCATCCCTATTTTTTACACTTTTTGCTCCTCTGTTCACATCCTCAAAAATACATACCTTTTTCAGGCTCCTATGATCAGCTCTAAAATTTATCCGCCAGACACCTCCAACAATGGGAAGTGGGATTGGTCCAGGAGGAAATCCACGACTTTTCCATTGCAATTTCAGGAACTGCACACCCCAAAGAAACAAAATCAGGGATAGTAGTATTAAACTTATCATTTCACACTTTAAACGAGACTATCACTGAGAAAGCTGTTACGAATCTGTTGAACTGATTCTGTATTGTTCTACTTAACTCTTCCCAAAGACAACCTCCTCGCTTTTAAGCTTTCTGAATTTTTCTCCTCCCTTCTTCCCTACCACACTTCCCTATTCTAGAAAATGAGGACTGTTCCCATCCCTGCATGTATTTAATACATCACTATGCTGCAATATGTTAATACCTGTCATCGCTTCAAGATCCAATAAAGGCTAGAAGGCAGACGCTTAATTTAGACTTGCATCTTACATTCAGAAACATCCCTTTGAGCAATCAGTTTGATGGAATATGTCACTTGAAGGTCAGCTATGTATTGACAAAGACAGGAGAACTGACCAGGTAGCATTCTCCAGGGCATTTACCCAAAGTCTAGGCACACACATCTCTTCAGCACCAACAAAAGCAGCAAAATGTGGATGGAGGCAGGAGAGAGGGACAATCCATTGCTCAAAAGGACATTATACTGATGCATACAGAATGACAGTGGATGATACAGGAGTTATCAAGATTAGCGGACCAAGCTTTAGGAAAAATGGGGTGAAGTAGTCCGGAGTACCTAAGTGGAATGCTTGTTTTCAGCTGTTTCCACAACTGCTCAACTCCGTCCCATTCCTGCTGTTATATAAAAGGTGCTTCTCCAGCAGATCCCTAACAGGTCGTCCCAGCTGTGGCACTCAGGTGCCAGCACCTTATTCCCACATCCAAGGAGGCTTTCCTGTTAGGAAAAAAAATATTTGTAGGCAAAACAAAAACCACACATGTACTAAGTCTACAAGAACTCCAAAACTATGCAAAGACACAGTCACCAGGTTTGGCATTCTGAAATTATGATAATAATACTGGCTACCTCCATAACAGCAACTTTAGGCAAAGTACTTTTTTCTCTGTAACAGCCTCTGTAAAATAAACTGAAATGCATCGGCAACGTTCTGTAACATTGCCAGTGCACATATGATTAACTTACAAGAAGCATGTTATCTCCAACTTCATTACATCTCCCTCAGGCTATAAGAGAAAGAAAAACAGAAAATATCTCAGTAAATAGTGCAATTCATACAAATGTTTTACAGCTAATCCAAACAGGACAAAGTACTCTCACAGGCTTTCCACAGTTTCCACACTCTCCAGGATCTTATCTTGCTGTTTTCATCTACAGTTCACTTTCTCCATTAGTTTTGTAGTGACAATCATTGGATTGTAAGTGTTGCAATCTTGACCAAAAACATCACTACAAGTAGACTTGACCTTGGATAAGTTTTATACCTATTTGCAACTAAAGAATGGAATTCAGAAAATGAACAGGAAATCTTAACACAAGAATGCACAATACAAGATGTAAAAAAACGTAACTAATGAGATAAAGATCAGAAAATACATCTTCAACACCAGTTCATTTTAACAAAAGCATGCTGTAGCCAACACACATTGCTGAAATGTGTAACTTATTAAATTGCTACTTTTATAAATTAAGTCCTCTGTTCTTCCCCAGACATGTCTAGATGAGAATTTCCAGCATGCTTGCTGGTTGAGGACCTTGCTTAGGTCCTTCTACACACAGCAAGCTCTGTCATAGTCTTCAAACTATTCTCTGAATAGTCTTCAAACAAGTCTCACCAATTGGAGCTTCCTGCCTCTTCAGAGGCATTGTACATCTGCTCCAGTCAAATGATGGAGCAAAGGAAATTGGCAGGCATCTCACTCCTTTAGATTTACAAACACACACACCAAAAAGGATGAACCCTACACTTGTATAATAGGGCATCTTGAAACGTCTTGCTTCTTGGAATAATTCGTATCATGATAAAGTACATTTTTAAAAAGAGTTACCATCATCTGTGTCATTTCATCCTTATCCACACCAGATTTTTCATACATTCTGAAATCCTAATGTTTACACTGGTGTTACTTATTCACAAATGAATTGTCTGGGAACATGAACACATACCTTGTTCAGACTCTCTTGATCAGCTCTGAAGTTTATACGCCAGATGCTTCTGATTATGCAAGATGGGTCTGGTCCCAGATGCAGAATTAGAAAAGAAACATGAACAGAGCCCCACTTGTCATCAGAATTCCACTAGTACTTTACAAGGCCACTCTGACTCTGAAAAAAAATGAGAAACTCGATTTCCATTGATTTATTACATCTGTCTTAAACATTTTTGTGATATATTTCTGTCTGGCTCCCTTTCTGAGTGAATGCATCGTTGAGGGCATGTAGTATATCACTAACTTGCAAGTACAAATCACTATTGCCTGACACAAACCTTATTTAAATAAGGGCGTTCACATTTCATTATGATGGACTGAAAGGCCATAAAACCATTTTACTTACAGGACGAAGGTTATATTCTGGTATACCTTCTCCTCTTTGATTACTAAATAAGGTTGATAATCCCTTCCTGGTTTGCAAGCAGCACTGCAACTAAGAAACACGCTGCCTTTTTGCTTTCATCTTGAACTGCTGCTCATCAGGCATCACAGGCAACCTTAATGCAAGATTTACAATGCGAAGGGGTATACAATCAACAGCTTTGTTAAAAAATATTCAGATGTGTGTTACATACAGTCATCATGCGTGTCTGGTGGGTATTTGACAATGGCTCATTGCTACATCTGGAAGAATTTTAAAATACACATCTTGTCTGAAATCACTCACAGCTTCTTATCTAATAACTTCTCAGTTCTGATCAGGTTTCCATTTCTGTAAACACAGCTATGACTTTGCATACTTTGGCCCTGTAGTTCAGTCCATGATAGTTTTATTGAATAACAGCTGGGCATTTCATACACCCACACTTGCAGATGGAGGGTATTATTTTCCTCTTCCCGTGTTTCTGTCTAGGTGTGACAGCTGATTATTTATTTATTTTTCGTTTTTAAACTGAAGGATTCATGGACAAATTCAGCACTGCCAGCTTCTTCCTAAAATCCCATACAGAGAGAAACTGGAAAACTGAATTACCTCTTCATGATACATTTCCATTGTCAGTCTTGAGTTCAATCAAGAACTGAGACAAGCAGCCAGTATCATGACAGTTCTTCTTCTCAGGTTTTCCAAAAACATTTTAAAAGTACAACATCATTCTTTAAAAAAAATTGTGACAATACTGATCTCCGTATTAAGGACATTACTAACCTCAGCTGTTACTTAAATTCCAGTAAACTGCCCCTAAAATCCAGAGTATGGGAAAGAACACTCCTTTTGCATTTGCCACTTGCTACATTTTGTTATTGTAGATTCAGCAACTATACATTAAGTATTATCTTTTTACTAAGTAATTAGGTAAACTAAATTAAAATGTTTGACAGCTGTGCATGTTTTCCTGCTTCAGTCTCCCAAAGCAAGAAGGTGACCAATACACTTGAAGTACTACTACTTGCAGTAGCAAGTTAAGAGTAGATTCAGATGAAACATCACACATGAAAATTGATTCTCAGGTCTACAGTACTCAGCATACAGCTTCTCTTAGCCAGTTGTGACAGTTTATCATAGAGGTAATAATTTCGCAAAAACTTCATTATGTGGGCAATGTCATGAGCTGCAGTAACCCTCACCTTCCTGAGTTTTTCAAGGATAGGACTTAAAGTCAGCTCCAGGAGAAAGCATCTATGTACCCACAGCAGTTTCATGAGAAACATGACCAAGAACATGACAGCCTGACTGACTGACAGTATTTCATGTCTATTTTACAAGAGAGGTCTGTCTAAGAAATTAACAGCTACCTTATACTGCTCCAGAGTTCTTCCGAAACTTCTGAAAAAGTTCTTGTGACATCCAAAAATCAATAGATAACTCATCACTTTCTCTTTCAATCTTTTTCCCTTCCAGATCACTAGGAATTTACTCTCTGCACATTCAACTAGTTTTTGCCTTCCAACATGCTATGAAAATAAGAATCATAGCTTCAATTAAAGAACAACTATTTTTCCTTCAGATAATTCAAGAGAGAAATTTGTTTTTTAGGTGTCGTGTTTTCCTTTACTCCCAGAGCTCTTTTCACTACGTGTTCTCTGCATTTATTTTATTTATTTATTTATTTAAGTTATAATGTCTGTAGTAAAACCTGGTTTTATTAAATGCCCGCAGAGTCCTAAACCTGCAGAGTCCTGACCCATATGAGAAGCCAGATATATATTATATATATATATATATATATTCCAGATATTCTTGTTAAAGGAACAGCTGAAGGTGGCTGTTCACACACTAAGCTGAGCTGGTCGATTGTCCCCACAAACACCAAATTTACATATGTAAAACAGTAGTTCCCTCAGCAGCCAAGTACACAGCTCAGATTCTCTGAGCTTGAACACTGCAAATTTCCTCATGCTCTCTATATCCCTGCTACTCAAGCCTGGCAGTAATAAATTCTCTCCCCTATGAAAGACAGGGGATGAATCTCTGCCTAACTGCAAGTGAGGAACAAAAGCACCTACTTTGAAGTGCAAACATGTTACTCACACAAGGTAAATAAATAATAAAATAAAATAAAATAATAAATAAAATAAAATAAAATAAGGCACTTTTATCAGCACACTTTCTCCAAGTTCAACTTGGAAATACTTTAGTTTATTATAATGGAAATTTCATCATCCCTTTATTCATTTTACATTCAGGGAAACCAAGGAGAAATACAACTTCTGATTTTTAAATTTCTACTTTTTCTAGCTGGGCTTGAATTAGTGACTAAATGAAAGCATTGCACCTGTAAGAAAAACAAAGAATCTAAAATAACTTAGCATTCCAGGAAACGTTAACCCTACCTGCACAGCCAGATACTCCTACTTGGTCACCACACTTACTGTCTTTAAAACTTTGGCCCATGGTCTTCTAGAAGTCCAACTGCAAGGCTGTTACCCAGACAGCAGACATGATCACCACAGCAGTCTGCAATGATAGATGGATATACTACCTAGATGACCTACCAGTGATTGGCCTGCATTAGTTGTGCTAATAGAACGAGGCACAGCTTTGTCCTGCCCGGGGTCTGTATCTGCAAGGCAGCCACAGATTCATACTGCAGTGCAGCATCTCTGATGAGGTTCTTACCAGTACAGGAACTACTGGCACAACCAAGCTGCCATCCTGTAAACTTCATCAATAAATACCATCACCCACCTGATCGAGGTTTGTCAAATTGCAATAGCAAAACACTGCTGGGTCACAAACACTTCTCAACTTGGCATGGAACAGGTCTCAGCTGCATGCATACACGGTCCACTGACCAAAAGCTGGAAAACTGCAGAAAATAGGCTGGATGCTGCCACCACTGGCTCACAGAGTCATGACCAGTAGCTCAGGAAGTCCCTGAAGGGTAGGAAGTTATCAGAGAAATAATTAGAGGCACATGCCTGCCATGTTTTCTTCTTACTTCAGGCATCAGTGATTAATTATGATTACAGACAAGATAGTGGGCTGGATGGACCTTCAGGCACACCTTTTATGATTGCTTCTGCTTTTCTTTATCAGTTTTTATTAACAGTAAAATGATGGCCAGAACTTTAATGAATTCCAACAAATACATTGAGACAATTAATTTTGATCTTTCACGCTGGGCACAGATTTTCTCCTGAGATCTTATTGATAGCAACTGGACTAGAGAACATAGCAATTCTTAACCCATCCAGGAACATTTGCTTGCATTTTTCAACGAGTTTGACATATTCACTCATGTTTAAGTTTGTGATCTGCTATAAAACCTAGATCCTTATGTGTACTTTTGCTTACCCTCTCTACCATATCTAATGAGAAATAATCCACAGTGTACAGTTACATTATCTCGAACCTTAAGGTGAATTTTTTTTAGGTTATCTGTCCAGTTCGTAGTGCTTGTTTTTGTGTCATATAAGCACACACTTCCATCTATCAAAAAGTTATTTATGAAAGTATTCAGTATTACAAGATCCTTGATTGGAAAACCTAACCTGATAGCCACATTACCAGGGGGTTTTAAGCTTCAATTTTGCTGAGAAAATTAGGTGCAAGGAAGTACATAAACTAAAGCTCTGCAAAGTAAATAACAACAGATATAGATTGTAATTGTTGAGACTGTAATAGCTAGCAGCTGAAGAGTTGATGAGAAAAAGAGTAAAACCTAAAAACCAGAGAATTGGAAGATAGCAAGTAAGCAACACTGAAAATCAGCTAGATCCAAGGAGTGTCGGGGGCTGACATTTCCCCATCTGGTGGCTGACTGGTGAGCAGAGCCCCATGCAGTGTCTCAAGAGCAGCAGTAAGCATTAGTGCTTAGCCAAGTAGCATGGTAACCAAAGCTAGCTACTATATTGGGCAACAGATAATTGCTTTATACTTTCTAAACTGTGTATATTCTTCTGGCAGCCTCTGTGTATGGTAAAAGATATCTGCACAAAGGTTATCCAGTAAGAACAGGCTGCAACACGAGTGGTCATAAAAGGAAAAAATAATCACTAAGATTTTGAATTTGCTTGATTTTCACGATGTTTGAAATAGGATATTTGCAAGATAGTTGTTCCAAACAATTGCAAATTTTCATTATTTTTTGTCCCACATTGGGGCTTTTCATTTAGTGGGTTTCTACTCTCCAGCTTTTTCAGAACTACTGCAGCTTAACATATATTACGCCCAGTAACAGACAAGAGAAAGGTGGCAGAAAAAACATGAAACACAAAATATGTCCAGAAAACAAACAAACAAACAAAAAAACCACAGCATTCATCTTTTCCTTTCAGTCACTCCTTGATGAGCTCCCCTATATCAAAAAGAATCCATACAATTAATAGCTTCTCTGAATTTTGTCCTGCCACGATAGACCTGTGTCAGCTGCTGTTCAGCTGTGGGGCACTGCCATGCTGTTGAAAATGGATTATACCTTTCTCAATCCTGAGCAATCAGAAACTTCAATATTTCAGCCTGCATTACTTCCTGCATGAGAATGGCATAAGCATTATTACTTTCTATTCTCAGAAGTTAAACAGCTGAACATTTCTAAGCTATCATTGTAGAACTCAAAGTTACTATTTCCTTTTCAGGAAGAAACAGAATTTTAATACCCATTTCAGCTTGTCTTATCTGAAATTTTCTGTTCTGTCCATGACTTTTGGCATTCCAAGTGCAACATCTAGGCTACTAGATACTGCTCTGAAAAACTGTCAAACAATGTTGAGGCTACAAATATTCAAACATTAGGAAATTCCAAAAATAAGACTATCTGCAGAACAGTAATTACTTCTTCCTGATGCTTCAGTGAGAACAGGGTAACTGACCTGATGCACAATCAGTTTTCCTTATTCCAGTATCTCCATTATACGTGAGCAGTACCTCTCCATGCAAGAAGCCCTTCTCATGCTTATCTGGCAAATACTATTGCAAAGCTCAACATCTCTGTCATCTTTACAGGTAAGTCTGATCAAACATCTGCTTTTATAACGAAGGTTTCAGGCCACAGGAGCAGGTAGCGATTGCAACAACTGCATGGGGCAGGGAAGGCACGGTAACAAGAGAAACAGCCATACCTCCCATCTATGTCTTACCTTTCATTAGCTTAACCTTAAAGCTCTTTTAAAAAAGGAGCAAGTTTGACTAGGCCTAGAGAGATGAACCAAGTTCCTCAATCATAGACAAGCTACGAACAGATCGAGGAACAGCATTTGAATCTCCCAAGTCCCGTTGCAGTATGTTGCCTACACAACCTTAAAAGCTCTTCAGTTTTCAGGCCCCACTAAGACAGAATTTTGCTTCCTGCTGTAGACTGTTTGTTTATGATGTTGTAAGCAAAGTTCTCTCTTCCAGAAAAACAGAACAGCAATTTTCTTGGCTTGCTTTTTCCAGTCCTATTTTCACACTAGGTCTGTGCTCTAAGCAACTCTCCACTGGTGCTTGCTTGAACATACCATGTCTGTAATTCTTTTCCCACAGAGAAATTCTGAATCCACCGACCAATTAACAGCTCTTGTTATGAAGCTCTTGAAAGACAGAGCTGCAGGAGAGAAGGAACAGCTGAGTTGAGAAATCCAAATTATTTCCACTGAAAAAAAAAAAACCTGCAAGGGAGCTTAGCAATTGTCTGTTCTGTTTAGCTTGACACCAAGCCAGGCAGCAAGTATATGCTACCATGCTAAGCAACACATGCACAGCATAGAACGACTCCGTGTTTTCTAATACACGTACTGAATCTGTCTTTGCAACCTGCAATGAAAAACCCAAACCCTGGTATTTACAGCACAGCAGGCAACAAACACCCTGGGCACAGCCCTTTCCACCTCCAGCACACCACACTCAACGTTTATTCAGCTCTCACCTTTCTGATGATTATGCTGTTTCTTTCCCTGTCCCCTGCAGGCATTGCATTTGCTTCCCACTCCTATGGTTTGAAGCCTTCATTACAAAAGCAGATTTCCTCACCTATTCAAAATAAACAGACTGAACATCTGTCATCTTTACTGGTGAGCTCTTGCAATAATACTTGTCAGACAAGAGGGAGTAAGATTTATGTGAAGAGGAGCTGGTCACAAGTACTGAAAAAAATATTAAAATAAGGAACATTGAATCCCTCTAAAACAGTTTGATTTTTTTTCCTTCCTTGTGAAGTGTTGCCTAAGCTTTTCTGGAAAAACTTTGCCTCACCACGCTTCATTTGACACCCACCACTCTCACCGAGCACTAGGAAAACACACTGCTCACATTGTCCAAATTGCCAGACCCGGCCTAAGTCTCTTGTTAGGCTCAGCCTTACTCAGGGGGACCCAGATTTACCCTGCAGAAAGGTCTCAGAGAGCAAACAGGCAGAAGGATGGGGTCACAGCAAGAGTAGCAAGACTGCTCACATGGGATACACCGCAACACTGCAATGCAATGTACACAAAGAGACTGGACCATAAAATCATGGAGTCATCTATGTTGGAAAATCCCTCTAAGGTCATCAAGGTGAGCATGCTGGTAATGGAGGAGCCCTGTACATCAGAAAAGGCTTTATGTCAAATTAACTCATCATGGTAATGAGAGCACGGGTTTACAAGTCAATAACTTAATCCAAACAGGGTACAATGCCAGAGCTACAGAGGAAAGGTGTACTGTCAGAGCCAGCACTGACCTCCCACAGGCCTGAAGCAAGCTGGCAACACGTACTACAAACCTGACCAGAAGGGCTTCAAGGGCAAAAAAAAAAAAAGTCATAGTAAGTGGAGGCTTCAACATCATGACAGACACCACACCATGATACAACATGGAGATTCAGCCTTTAGAAATTGTTGGTGACTGCTTCAAAAGGCAACCAGATGGGGGCTTCCAAGCCACACTCATTCAACATGGTGGGTGTCAAGCAGTTGCAATATAGATGTATCTTGAAGCATTTTTGTAACCACACATTATGTTTCTGATTGCTCTACAGTACTGCCACCTATGGGTTCCGTAAAACGTGAAGCTAGAAAGCAACAGGGTTACTGAGCATAAATTGGTAATAAATGACGTGCTGACCAAACCCAACCATTCAACAGATTTAAAAGAAAGAAGAAAAAAGAAAAAGGAGAAAAGCGTGGACTGGAGGGACAAGTAGAATATTTTGTGTTTTTAAATCTATCAATGTAGAAGCACGCTGGCATTTAATTGCCATTATTAATAGGTAATTTTAAGGCTCAACTTGGCTTAGTTCTGGTAATTTTGATGTGTGTTAAGTCATACCTTTGTTGATGGCATGCATCCGTCAACAGCTCTCAGTGGCCTTTCACTGTCACAGATTTTGCAAATGGTAAGTGCACAAACAATGAGAAATAGAATAGTACTTCTTTCCTTTTAACGATACAGGTCCAGCTGGATGAAAATGGGATAAAAGCATACAATGAAGTAAAGTTCTGACACACACAAACAGTAAGTCAAGTTATTTAGCCAATTTCATCAGGTAACTCATTTTGAACTCTCAAATAGCATCATGACCTAAATAATTGTGTAGATTTAAGAGTGCCCAGTAGCACAACTCATTAACACTGCAATTTATGCAAAAGAGGTGGCTGATAAAGCCATAAGAGTTATTTAATTTTAAATTGCTCCTCATAGCTTTTTGTTTAACTCTTCAAATATACACAAAACCATGCTGCTGAAAATGATGCTCCTTAACCACTGCTATTTCTACTTCTCTGTCCAAAGAACTGAACAAACAAAAAAAAAAAAAAAAGGTGTGCGGGCATACTCTTTCTCATAGTTTTTCCACTTCCAGTTTCTGTAAGGCCTCTGCATGTGCAGCCTGCTGAAGCGGAAGAGCTGTATGTTAGTGCAAGGGAACAAGTGATAGCTGCTCAGAAAAGTAAAGAAAGTAAAGCAAATGTAGCAGTGTTGTTGCTTGTCTGCAGCCCCCTGAAACTGCCCTGTATTTCATGTTTGAATTGGAAGTCCACTAAAGAGAAGGAAAAAAAAAAAAAAAGACAAAATGTTTGTCCACTTATATTTAAAGACTGAACAATGCAAGATTACAATTGATACATTTGCTTTTATTGACCCTCCAGAAATTCACATCGTTAGAGAACTAACTGGGAATGAATAGCCATACCTGTATCATGCAGACAGTTGATTGAAGCCTAAGGGAATTCAGAGGAGTTCTTATGAAGCCCGTGAAAGGCATTAAATCTTTGTATTTCATGATCATAACATACTTCATGTCTAATCGGTAACTTGGATTTTGATGGAAAGTTTTGGGCTGGATACTGTAGATAACAAAATTCATCAAGACATAGAAATTACAGTAAAATTTTAAAGCAAGCAATTTGTATGGATTAATTTAATCTCCTATACTTACTTGAAGGTATATAATAATACTAGTTGTGTTCTTATTCAAGTCTTGAAAAATCCAATGTAGTGTATCAGCTAATTAAAATAATAATAATAAAAAAAAGAACTATACGAAGTAAAATTTCATACACAGGCCCATGAGACAAGATGGGGGATGAGGTCTGAAATACTGTTCTAAATGAGTCAAAGAAAAAAATCACCAGAAAGGAGACCTCACTCCACCATCTTGTCCAAAAATACCAAAATTAGGCCATTTGTTTGCTTTGCAGTCGTGGAGATTCCAAAAACTCTCAAAGCAACCTTCTGTCCATGGATTACATCAAAGAAAGTCAGTGAATAACAAATATAAGACTCTTTTCAAGTTAAAATTTGCTACACACAAACCCCTCCTGGAAAGCTTACTGGATCAACAAATTAATAACGGTTATGCCTCTTTCTTCAGTTTATTTTTATTTTTCACAAATATAACAGGACCTCTGCATTTTTCCCATCCAAAATTTCCATCAGGAAATTTGCATCCTTGGCGTAAAAGAACTGTTCAGAAAACACCATAATATCCACTTGACAGCACAATGTTGTCTCCATTATGTTCAGCATAATGTCATAACTTAATCTTGAATATGATAAAAGGGGAAAGTAGATGTCTGAAGTGTAATATGTGTATTAGGACACTTTGTTTAGGCTTATGCTGCCTGAATTCAATTCTTGTTCTCCTCAGAGACTGTCTCCTAACAGACAAGTATTAAGTACACATTTCTGCTTCTGTAACAGAAAACACATAATTGTGGTGTTTCAGAAAGGTAATAAGTAATGCATCCTTGTTATTTCAGTGTTTAGCTACAGGAGGTGTTACCATGATGCAAGACACCTGATATCCTTGAATAACTGACAATTACCGTTTAGAACCAATATCAACAATAGGAAGGAAACAAAATGCTAAGAAAGAGACAGATCACAACTACAGATCATAAAACAGAGTAGGTGTGGCTTGGCTAACTGCAAGGGATCACATATTTCAAAGTTTTCTAAGGACTTCAGCTTGGGAAAACCGCAGGTCGAGAGAGAAGGAGGGAGAATGAGAGAGAGAGAGGTGGTGTATTTTCTCTAGAAAGAGGTAGACTTCAGTAGAGGCAAACTCATTCATCCACACAATTTCATATTTTCAAAGTCATACACAAAAACAGCAAGAAGCAAAAATTTTTGTAAGATGTTGGGAATTGTTGAGATTTTTATAGCTCTGGTAGCATCTCTCCTGATTTTGCAGTTCCTAAAGCTGCAATGGATGCGTAGCCAGCTTCCTCCAGGACCAGTCCCTCTCCCTATCATTGGAAACTTGTGGCTGCTGGACTTCAAACTTCGCAGAGAAACCCTCACCAAGGTATTTATTTATATCTGTGGTTGAAAATCCATCTGAGTTTATTTTATCTGAGATTGTACATTGCATAGGAACAGTCTAAACTTTGGGCTTTTTTTTTTTTTTTTTTAAAATCTTCAATCTAAAGTATCAAATAATATCAAAGAATCCAAAAAAACTGCATTAATAAAAAATATTCCTTAGTAAAATATATCACAATGCTTTATCACTTATTCTCTCTCTCTTTTGGATACAGTAAAAACCACGTATAACATTATCACAAAGACTAAATGCAATACCATGACATTCCATTGTCAGTTTTGTTTTCTGTTTTCATATTAATATCTCTCATCTTGTAAACCATCTCGAGTAGAATTTCCTTTGCCTGACACCGATATCACTGGAACACGTCCAGGCCGTGAGTGGCCATTAGAAGACCAAACACATACTGTAAATTGACCCCTTGTTTGTCCACCAAAAGTCAGCAATGCAGATTATTACTAAACTAAACTAAACTAAACTAAATTGTTACATAACAGATTATTACTAAAATGGAACAGGAAAAAAATTATTGCTGTTCTGCTTGTGACATGAGTCTTTTATAAGCCAAATAAAACGACTACTAAGGAATTTGCTTCAAACTGTTTTAAGGAAAAATATGAGTATAATCTGAGGAGGGACAATAGAGGCAAATATGAATAATCATGGAAAGCTCCAGGAAAGAATCCAAAAATATTGCCTTGCTTTCTCCAGAAGCTAGAAGCAAGAAAAAATCTGACAATTTAGGTCATTAAAGAAAATTAACAGAAAATGTGGGGGATTTTTCAGGTATTCCCTTGTTCTTTTGATTCTGAGCTGACAGAGACCTGTTTTCTTTGTGACATTTTCAGAGGTGCTCTTTTGAGAGATGCCCTTAGTATCTATTCTGTAAAGTCTGATTATTGTCTGTTCCCAAAGCACATTACAACAGAAGGCTAAATTTTTCTGATACCCTTGACCTAATTTGATGGCAAATGAGTTTAGCTATGGCAACAGGAAACTCTTAAAATGAATAATTAAGTGTACGTATTCCCTATTTCACGTGTACTAATTTACTGTTATTAACTCTTCAGTTAACCAGCATCTATGGGAATATCTACACAGTGTGGATGGGACAGACACCTGTTGTTATCCTGAACGGGTACAAAGCAGTAAAAGAGGGCATCATCACCCATTCAGAGGAGACTTCTGGAAGACCTCTCACCCCATTCTACAGGGACATGATGGGCGAGAAAGGTAGGAGATGTTACCGTACTGAAATATGAACAAGACAAAGAAGAAAGATGCTTTCCTATGAAACACAACCTACTGTTATACAAACACATAACTGGGCTTATGTAGCATAAAGGCTCCATGCAGAGCTAGTATATTAAGGAGAGAAAAAAAATATCCTCTTATAGACCATGCTACTGGCTTTTTCCAATACATTAAAAGAAATACTTCCTGAGAGGAGTTGCCCTTCAGTTGTATCAGTTCTAAAACAGAAGAATGTTCACAGAGAAGACACTGGTAGAGAAAGCTGTTCTGCCTTTACCAAAACCCATTACCGCTCAGTTTCCAGGACCACAGTTACAAGCAGCTATATAGCTGCGGGTCATAAGCACCTAAGGAAGAAACCAAAAGTCAGAATCTGAAATCACGATATCTTTTTTGTTAGTGAAATATAACCTAATCTAAATCCAATTTTGCCTCCTGCAGTGAAAGGATTTCCCTCCCCGGCAATGAAATAAAGATTTCTGTGTTCTTCAGGTATTTTTCTGACAAGCGGGCACACCTGGAAGCAACAGAGACGCTTTGGCATGACAGTTATAAGAAGCCTTGGACTTGGTAAGAACAATTTGGAGCGTCAAATTCAAACAGAGGCCCATCACCTTCTGGACATCTTTGCAAACACAAAAGGTAAAATCACTAGAAAAAATAAGACCTAGAGCATTTTCTGAAATATATTAGGATAGGGGAATAAAAGTTTCACACTTTTTTTTTTTTTTTAAAGTAACATAAGTATTATTTTTCCTATTAGTGGGACTTTACCAGCTTCTTAATTGCATTCTTAGCAAAAAAAAAAAAAAAAATGTTTTGTCTGCACAGCTGGCAATATGAAATTGTTTTTTAAAGTAGGGCTAGTAAAATGTTTATTATCAACACAGTCTCAAGGACAGCTGGTAACAATTTTTACATTCAAAAAAACCCTATCAAAACCCCATAGAAAAACCCTGTTTTCTTCCATAAAGAACACAAATTGTGACCTGCTACAAGTCATTCTAGGGCAGCAAGCCTTTAGGATTTGGCAAAGAAAGAAGCCCAACACAAGGAATGTATCGTTCAGTTGTCCAACAAAACTCCTTTTTAGGGTTTGGATGAAATAGAAACCAGTAGAATTTTAGCAAGATGCCAAAATAAAGCAACTAAATATAAATATCTGGATAAGCCAAATCCTTCACCCACACCATATTCTATACTGATATGAAACCAGAGAAGTTTCCTAAGGTCCCTTACCAGCTCACTTTGCCCTAGATATAGCGAAATGGCCCATCTGTCTTCTGAGAGCAACATTTTAAAGATCCTTGGATACGTAAGAAACGAGTAAACCATCTAGTCTGAGTCCCTGGTACAGCCCAAATCTTTACCTTCCGTGCAATTCTTCCCCATACCAAACCCAATAATTGCATTTACTTTTTCCAAGAAGTACTACAAATGTTGCACTGAAGTCAGAGATGCATAATCCACCATTTTCCTTAGTATAATTCAAAGGTTGTCCTCACCATTTAAATGTGTATTTCATTTGATTTTTTTTCCCAGATTTAGCCTCTTTTTCTTTCGCCTCTGTTTACTTTAACCCTTTTTAATGGGGGCTGTGTTTCATCCTGTAAAGTAAGCGTTATGCAACTTTTGCCTTTCCAATCTGTGGGAATAAAAAAATAATAGTCATATATATATATAGCTGAGTGTTATGCTGCACTTGAAAACAAAACACACAAGTCGTTTTAACATGACTACGAAATTCAGACTTTACTTTTTTTCCTGTTTTTTGTTGCTTTCTTTTTTTCCAGACTTACTTATCTGCCTCCAGATTTGCTCATGCTTTCAGGCAACCTGGATCACAAGTCAGAGGCAGGAGAAAGGAGACCTAACGTTTGCCTTCTCAAGGCCAATAATTAGTGTTTTTATAAAAATTAAAAGCAGATTGAAAATTAAGACTGCCTGCAAATACAATCCATCCAGTTAATTTGTATTAGAGATCAATTGTATGAAATTTGTCTATCATATGATATATACTTGAACTGTTATTCCTTGTACTATTAAAAAAAAAATAAGCTGCCTTCTTCCTGTACTATTTCTCACTACAGTCTGTTCAGAAATATTCACAAGTACCTCCTATATTCACAGGCAAGCCTTTTGACCCCCGCACTTTCATTGTCCATGCTATTGCAAATATAATCTGTGCTGTTGTTTTCGGACATCGTTTCTCCAGTGAGGATGAATCCTTCAGCAAGCTTATCAAAGCTATTTATTTTGTGATCTACTTTCAAGCTACTATCTGGGGCAGGGTAAGAATCTAATTTTCTTGCTCTTGTGCCTTAAAGTGCATTTGTACTTCACAATTAAAAGAAAAAAAAGGAAATCAAGTCAGTGATGATTACTTTCAAACATTTCCATTCCATTATTTCCCACGTTCCGACTTGTGTATTGCCTCCCCTAACTGAAATGAGTGTTGCAGTGACTTTGCACAGTAATCAGTAAATTGGGATTGGGTTCTCAGTTTAAAAGAGCTCACATTTCTTCCTTTTGCTTTAAAATCACAGATGTACGATGCTTTTCCATGGCTTATGCACCATTTCCCAGGACCGCATCAGGAAGTGTTTGCATTCAATGACTTCATGCACAATTTAGTTATGAATGAGGTCCATGCTCACGAGAGGGAGAAAGCTGGCGATCCACAGGATCTCATTGACTTCTACCTAGCTCAAATAGAAAAAGTAAGTATCTGTTTACCACACAAGCCTCTACTTGGCCTTGGTGCCTACTACAAATACTTGCTCTTAAGTAATTACTATAGAATTCTTATATGCACACTCTGTTTGGCACGGAAGTTTTTTGCTTTGATGAGCTGCTCACCATTTTCATCCATTAAAACCAATTGCTACATGACCAGAGGTAAGTCTGAAAATCTCCACTTCACAGTCTCCTTGTGAATATATTCTACAGACCAAAGATGACCCCACCTCTACATTTAATAAAGACAACATGGTTCAGACCGTGGTTGATCTTTTGCTGGGAGGGACAGAAACAACAAGTACCACTCTTCTCTGGGCACTGCTCTATATGGTGAAATACCCAGAAATACAAGGTGAGTAAAAGCCTTATCAGAGAACTGCACTCAACATTACATCATAGTGAACGTCATTGCAATCTAAGTATGAGCTCAATCCCTTGCAACACAGCAAATAAATGTTAGCAATGAATTCAAATGGTAGTATGTCAACAATTGAGGTCTAGAAAGTTTAACAAATGAAACAGAAGTGTGTTCTCCTCACCAGCTCACTAAGCAAGACTAGAATAAATTAATAGAAACCCCTCCCAACCTCTTCTAATGAGATAAAGACAGAATAGCTAGCTAATTACATGATTTCGTATGCAATCAAGATTTTTCCTAACCTTCAATGAGGTTAAAACTTTTCAAAGCTACCTGATAAGTATTCATAAGCATTATAGAAATAGAACCCATCACTTCCTTTTTTTCTTTTTTAAATACAGAATGATATTACCCTCATAAGAAAGTGGGGTGTGTCTTAAATCAGAGACCATCCTGCATTTTGGGAACATGCATTTCTTTGATCAACTGAAACCAACAAAGCAGTTGAGCTATGTGCCAAGGCATTTCAGAACAACACAATTTATTTTTCCCCAGTCCTAGACCACACTTATACAAAACTGAAAACAAAGGGGAAAAATAAATTTAAATATTTCAATTTCTTTGCAGAAAGGGTTCAAAGAGAGATAGAGGCTGCTCTGGAACCCTCCCATCTCATCAGTTATGAAGACCGTAAAAAACTGCCCTACACAAATGCTGTGATTCATGAGACTTTGCGGTACAGCAACATTACCTCTGTTGGGGTCCCTCGACAATGCATGAGGAATACAACTTTGATGGGCTTTCACATTAAGAAGGTATAGAATACTTTTTTTTAAAAAAGCTTTGGATTATGCATATTTAGTACTTCTATCACCTTAGCTCCAACAATTCCTAATTTGGCATAGAGAGCATATTGTAGCACGTCACAGGCATGAAACAAAGCTAAGTGCTCAGGGCTAAGTTTTCATTAGCAGTTACAAAAGAAACAAAAAGGCTAACAGGACAGGTAGTAGACATACATCAGGAAAATTCAAATCCTTCTTCCTGATAGCCAAATACAGATGATGTCTGGGCCTCAAAGCAGAGCAAGTGTTTTAAGGAATGATTTTTAAATGGTGTTTAATGAATTACATGCCAGCTAACTTTCACAATTAAGGGGCAGCTTGGAGCCATAATTATCCCTGCCAATTAAAAAACAAATAAACAACACATCCCAAAACCCACACACTTAAGATGATGATGGTTCATTATAGTGACAGATCCAACAGTCACACTGACATGATAGGAATGTCCCAAACACATTGAGCATGAATTTGATGTGATGGAATTGAAAGATAGTAAAGAGTACAAAAGAAGAAAGCTCCTATGATTATTCTGGCAGACATTTAAAAAGATTCAAGCTGCAATCTAGCTCAGACAGGAAGACACTTCAGTAGCCCTAGGATGAGATAACATATAGACAGAGCCAAACACGTAATACTTCACAACAAAGAGAAGATACAAGGGTTTTTTATGCCTGGATGTACACAGAAGACCAAGCTGAATCCAGACACGGCGCCGCAGACACAGGATGGCGCTATTAGCTACTAGACAAAAGGAAAGAGACAGAAAAGAGTCAGTCACATAGAAAATACAATCTCTGCTTCTTCTTGCAGGGCACACTTTTGTTGCCAAATCTGCACTCTGTTGTGTATGACGCTGAGCACTGGGAAACCCCTTGGAAGTTCAACCCAAATCATTTCCTTGACTTGGATGGCAACTTTGTGAACAAAGAGGCATTCTTACCTTTCTCAGCAGGTAATGCCCTGACATTTCAGCATTCCTGTTCATCATCTTGCAGCACAACTAAAAAAAAACACTATTTCTAAATTCTAACATTTTAAAAGCATTTTGATAAAAACATATTTGGTATGAATATTTGAAGTCAGGTGTTTTACTGTAAAAGCCAGAAATATTGTATTGAATTTTATTGTATTGATTTTTGTATGCATTAAAACAGAGGATAAGTATGGCTAGGAGGAATAATGCTATCTTCTTGGTATATGTATGGTCCCTACTATCAGGTTATCTCAGTTTCTTAGCCCCTAACATATTTTATCTTCTTAACAGCCTCAAGGCTGTTATAAAACCTCATTCTGAGGTTTTATTCTCACCTTACAAATGGGAACCCAAAGACAAAAGTAATATGATTTCACAAAGCACACAGAGAAAAATCTGTGATAAATCAGGAAACCAAATCTCAGTCTCCCAAATCCTGCAGTAATAATCTAGTTACAGGTTCTCTTGCACCTCCAGAAAATCAGCAAAACCAAGCATCTAACAGAACATTATATAGTCAATCAAAAAACTTGCCACCAGTTTACATGAATGAAGATAATTTATGTTACCATTTCAACCTAGGAAATTCTTTTTTTTTTTTTTTTACTTGCTTTGGTGGTTTTCAATTTATATAATCTGAGTATTTAAATATAACATATATTCTAAAAAGTGTGAATATATAGATATTACATATATGAAATGTACTTTGGATAAAATTCTGAAATATACTATAAAAACAGTACGTCAAAATGAATCACTGAGCCTATACATCATTCGGCATATGCCTATATTTCACTCCCATCCCTTGAATATCTGCTCTTGGACAAGGTTAGGAAAAAGGTACTAGGCTCTAAGGACCTAATATAGCCTTTTTAATTTATTTTGGAGAAAGACCATTTACATCCTTCTTATCTCCAGAATTGCATGCTACAATGTTCCAGTGCTCCCTACTTAGCATCTAAAGACTCTGAAGTAATGAAGCTTTACAAAACCTGGCTCCTTAGCCAAGTTCTTTGTGGTTGTCACAGAACACAACACACAGAACATGAAGCAAATGCAAAAAGGCAGAATCTCATTCATGTTCCAGGAAAAAAGATACTTTACATCATTAGAAAAACAGTTTCTCGGGTAAATAAATGTCCCGACACCTTAAAGGCATGTTCTGTCCTTACAGGACAAAAGGAAACAGAAAATGTCTTCAGAAAATAATTAGCTTACATGATTTATGGAACTCAATAGAATAGTTTTAAGTTCTTTTTCACAACTTAGCTTTACACAGCTAACTTCTTTTCCCCTTTTCCTGCAGGACACCGTGTATGTTTGGGGGAACAGATGGCACGAGTTGAACTGTTCATCTTCTTTACCAACCTGCTTCGGGCATTCACATTCCAGCTCCCTGAGGGAGTAAAGGAAATCAACATGGAGTATATTTTGGGTGCAATACTGCAGCCACATCCATATAAACTGCGGGCTATTCCACGTTAGTCTGCAACATCCTACAAAGCTGAGGGACTTTGACCAGTCAGTAATTGCAGTTATTAAAGAACAAGTATCTCATTTGTATTCAAATTTAGGTAATGCAGTATAGCAAGTTAACATAGAAGTATTTTTATTTAGGGGGTCTGATTTCATACAGTTGAGCTTTTTGAAATTAAAATAAGTTTACTTAACAAAGCTCATATAATGAAGTCTTAGGTGTATATAAATACTCAAAAACATTACCAAAAACATATTTACACACTCACTTTAGCAGTGGAATCAGATGTAGCATTTTAGAGAAGCAACCTGTACCAAGCTTTCCCTGTATGTGCACTCAGTCACTAATCACACTTAAAATAGCACACCTCTTCTGATGCAGCAAGGATGCCTGAAAATACAGTTTTGCTTCAGTATGCTGTTACTCCTCTGCATTCACAGAAGGCCTGCTCCTACATCCTTCTGCAGAAGATACCAGGTTATACAAACTAAGCTTTGGCTCTTTTCCTTTCACACTCCGTGGAAGCACTGTATCTTGTAGTATATAAGCTTCACAAATGCATAAATTTATGCAGAATAGGATCTGTTATAATCATATTCAATTTAGAAATACTTACACCTTTTTTACATTACTACTTCTGTACCTGTTCACTATTTCATCATGTCACGGATCTAGGTGTCCTCATGAATTTCCCTTCTTCTACTTAGAAACACCATTATGTCATCCAATATTTTGCTATTTAAAGGGAAAGTAACAGTCTTTCAAGAAATGAAGAAAATAATGAAGATGGCAATATTTGTTAAAGCAAGCACAGTAGATATTCATTATCCACAGGGGCTTTTCTTTCATTGTCCCATACTTTCATAACAGGTGTGGAAAGTTTTGACGACTTAAAATGCAGCCACGAGCATCCTAGGTGCTCTCAGTTTTCAAGGTTCAGTAGGGATGAGTATAAATTATGCTAGAACGTAGTTAAAAGCACAAGCAGAAAGTTACTTATTTCTCAGCCATAAAACTAAAGGAAAGCCTTACTCTCCTAGTATTTCCAATTATCACCTTCCATTTAGTGAAAATTGTAGAACAAAAAGACATGACATCGACAGTTTTCACCTTTTTAATAAAAGACATTTTAAAACTTTTTAACATTACTCCATTTTTATTGAGGAAAATATAACATCTAAAAAATCTTCCTTGAATAAGAAATACTTTCTAACAGAAATTAAGAAAAGTCTCTTAAACTTCGTATTTCTTACAGTAAGGGCAGATCTTGCATAAAATACATTCTGACAGATTTACAAAAACAGTCTGACACGGTAGTCCATAAACAAAAGTTTTCAAGTCTTATCTCTTTTGTTCGTGGTGTTCATTAAAGAAAAACTCACTCAAAAAATTCTTTTCACCCTACAATTTGCACGGTGCAGCAAAGGGCCCGCAATAAAGTGCTCGGCAGCATGACTGGCAGTGTAGGAACTTTCTCTACTCCAGTGTATTTTGATGGTTCTTGAGGTATGTCCTACCTGAATAAAGACTCCAGTTTCTTTCCTTCATGTTTACCCTTTGGTCTCCTTAAGTTTGGTCTCCTTCTGTAAGCTTGATTTTTTTTTTTTCCACCAAATATTATTCCATTATGCACCCACGATTCCTGGTTTTCTTCTAAAACTGCAGCTTGGGTTAAAACATGCACATATTCTCCACCTGTATCTGTGAAGAACTGAGGTACATTATGAAGATTCACTGTACAATGCTGGTTCTAAAACACATGGGAAGAACATGTTTAGAGTGTACATGATTAAGGAGGTATTTTTACAAGGACGTCGTTGTTGGCCTGACAGTTAGTACCATTGGAAAAACAGTGGGGCAATGAGTATCTTCTTTTTATCCCATTCAAAACCAGCAATAAGTGAAGCATTCCTCAGCTTTCCAAGGTTTCTCAAAATGACAGCATGAGAATTCCAGATTACTTTTTCATCACAGTTGTAAATGAAACCTATAAGAAAGTGAACAAGGCAAAAAATAGCTACGTCAGCTAACTTTGTCAAGAAAAAGAAGAAATTTGTAAGGAATGTAAGTAAAATAGAGAAAAGAAAGATTTAGAAACCAAGAGTAAAAGCTAGTTTAGCCTGTGAAATGTCTTAAAGAAACTAAAAAGCTTGTTAATTCCATAACTTCAGTAATCACAAATTGCACAAACTTCTAGAAAAATACACTGACATCCAGCTCTACTCTGATGCACCTTAGAAATCGACAGCCCAACTTCTCAGTAAGGCAGACTGCCTAGATCCTTCAGAGGTTAAAACTCTGAAAGCACTGAGCACTATGCCCTTGAACATTAGACTCAGACATTAATTTCTGTCACTGATACGCAAACTACAACTACCATTTCCAAATTCACCAAATTTTGAAGTCCTGACAAATCTAACCTGTTTGTTCCCTTGATGTCACACAGTACCCTTTGCATAACTCTCAAATATTAGCTAATACATAAGCATTGATGATGCCTCTGTGTCATCTTTAGGACAACTGAAATTAAGAAGTGTATCACTTACCTCTTGTAATACTTGTCCAAGTGTCTCTCGGCTGTGAATGCGTTTCCTGTTGAAAATGAAAACCACACTTACTTCTGTGCAAAGCGCTAGGGGATCTTGCAAATCACTTTATCACACTTTGAAAAGAGAAGATTGTTATGCTAGGTGTTGTTCCACATTCTCACCCGTACGGAATATTAACACAATCTTACAGAATTTATAGACTCTGATTCAGATCTGCTATTACTCACACCAGGAGCAACTACATGGAATAAGGCTTCCAACTCAATGCAGCTTGTCAAAAAACATCCCCATTTCTTAAAAAGCTTTAAAAATTAAAATACACAAAGCAACATATTTTTACCTGTCTATTTTGGTTGCTATGACCACTGTAAAATTGCCTTCTGTATTGGGCAAGTATGTGGATGGTATAATTACATAACTTCCTGCAGGAAGCCTGCAAAGCTGGCTTACTTCCTGTGAATAGCAATGAGGTACACAGCTAACCAGTGGCTCCAAGTGTAGAAAAGAGGAAGTATTTGGCTTCCAACTGCTGTTAGGCACCTGCAAAAAGAAAGAAAACATGCCTATCTTCTCAAATTTTTCCAGTCTTTACAGTTGTAAATGCCAGGTACAGCACAGTAAGGTATATTCTATGTATCTACTACACTTCAAATGCTCATTCTTATGTACAGAGCTGTAGAAGAGAAGCATGGGAAGGCCTTCAGAAAATCCAGATGGCAGTATTAAGTACAGATAAATCAATCCTAGGAAATTTGATCCTTTACACAGGATCAGCTTGAACTTCTCCTAAAAGTAACGTCCCTTGCCAAGGCAAGGAGCACTGAAATAACTGACAGGCTTACCTTCACACCTGGCAAATGAGCAAGCTGATCAGAAGAAGTCTTACCTGGAAAATATGGAAACCTATTGGACGACACTTGCTATCTTGGCAGTGCTGACGGAGAGTAACTTTCACACTGCTTTTTCCTGGTCCTGCAGGAATGGAGAGGGGAAAGCAGGGATTGATATGGAAGGAGGGGAAGTTCCTGCTACCTCCAGCACTTTGCCCATTTTTCCAGCATCCCTGCAGCTGCACTGTTTCCCATTCACCTGCTGGGAGTTCTTCAGAGAGGGCAGCATCTGGTGGTGGTGGTTTTACCTCACTATCAAACATAAGAGAGAACAAAACTAAATGCACAAAGATCCGTATGATTTCACAGATTTAGAAAACCAGCTCACAAAAGCAGACTAGCATTACATAAACTTACATGAACACAGTGACATCCAGAAGAATACAGCATATAAAAACCATGCATCAAAACCAGATAGATTTTTATATATTCGTGATGTATCATGGTTTACCCACTTTTATCAATGCTGTTTTGTAAGGTATAGTTGAAAGCAATACAGCTGATAGTGTTGCCTTGAGTACCACAAGCACCTCTCAGTACGTTCAAAACATACACTGTGGATTGTTTTTTCCTAGATCCACTATGCCTTCATTCAGAGAATTCCATTCTACCTGCTGACTTTATCGCTGTAACATTAACACATTTCAATCATAGCTCAGCACCACTTCTCACAGCCATTTGAACAAACTAGTATCAACATCAGCTCCACAGCATTTGAAATCATATCACAATCTAACTTCAAACATACCATCTGTCCTCACTTCCACTTTTCCATCCACTTAATGTAACAGCTGTTCTGATATTCTATGACTGTCCATTCTAGACACGTATCCAGGCTGACACCTCTGTTTCAGAGGCAGAAGTGTTATACTTAACAGCAACAGATGATGGGATAAAATATCCAGTCAAGTGTTCCACAGATGCTATGTCCAGAAACCAAATATACTTCCAATAAACATCCACATCTTGCACCCATACAGCAAAATTAGCCTCATCATTTTGCAGACCTTTATTCAGTCTAAAACTTGATGCCACCTTGCCTACAAATTCTGCAGAGTAAATGATTAATCCATGCTCTGACTTTATACTGCAATTTGCCAGCTTCTGTCCAAGGACATATGAGCTGTTAGCATACTATCAGAATACCAAAAAGTCTGAACAGCTTTTAAACACATTGCCAACAGTATAATTTGCCTCCATATACACGAGGCACAAGCTGTTAGGCAACCCCTTTTTTTTTTCAGATTTATTGGAAGAAGATACAACTTTGTTGACTCCACACAACTACTCATCATCATGTCTTCTTCAGCATTTATTTCAGCCGTATGGTCACTAACCCAGAATTGCTCGTAAATAACTGACTTAAAAGTGTTGAGATATCTCTGTAGTCTGCTATAGTTAAAATACTAAAAGTGATCAGAAGCTATTGGACTGATACTGCTGATATCCTGTGTATGATCAGCAAGCATTGTTATATTGGGGGAAAAAGACTACTTCAAGTACATTATAAAAGTCCATTTTTCCATCACAAGTTATGAAGATCAAATATGACACAATACACAGTGATCCTTCTAAGCACTTGATCAAAACGTTGGTAATGTTTTAAGGCATTCACCATTAAAATACTCTGCCATATTGTCAGCACTGAATGCTTTAATTCAAAATCCAATCCTTCATTCAACTAAAGAAGACAGCATTTATGTCAGTGCTGTTTTTCACACCTGTTCTGCAAAGATGAGCTACAGGTACTATGTCATCTGAGTCCACTGCTGACACTCTATTTGCATTTGAAACTGTACTGCTCACAACACTGCATGTCAGGCAATCTGTTAGAACATGTGCCAACACTTTCTTCAGTATATGATAATATACGGCTCTTCTTTCCCACCACTGACTATAGTAACAGCTGCTTTTAACTTCTCTGGTACACCTTCACTTTTCCCAGTGCTAAGAAATGATTTCCACATAGGAGAGATCTGTTCTGCAGAAACCTGCTCAGCTCTTTTATGAAATATGCACTCTCTCAGAACACTGGGATACAATTTAGAGTCAGGATGTTACTCAGCTGACTCTGTGATATTTTAAAGAAGACGTAACAGCTTCATCCAAAAAACAAGGAGACAGGATACTACTTACATAAATTCAAAGAGAAAACAACACTATTATTTGACTCTTTGCAAAGCTCTTCAGAAACATTTTGAACATTGGCACATAACCCTACACTTCATGCGTTTGTGCATGCCCACAACTTTAAGAACGTTTCTGTTTCCTTTTAAACCTACCTGAGAGAGATTCGTCCTGTTGAAAATACACGAAGCAAGAAATGCCCTACTGCATCTTTTAGAAAAGTACTGGGAACCACAAGATAATACCCAGGTGAAAGGTCACAGCATACATGCACTTCTCTATCATACGAATGGCAGATGGTACCTACAACTGGAGGAGCAGAGAGGGTCTTTGGAAGGTTAAATCGTTTCTTCTCCACCTAGAACAGATGCATAATAATGCATGGTGTTTTAGGAAAATGAGCAGTTTTTAATAGCAGTGATCAAATATTCTTTAAACCATTTTTAAACATGCATATGTTTACAAAATTAAACAAGGAAGAGAATATCAGCAGACAAGCTGAACATCAAAGAGGAATAGAAAGTGTTAATATTTAGGAGGAATACATTTAGGTATTGTCATCAAATAATCAGCTGCTTGAAATATCATGCACTAGTTTGGAATAGGCTCAAAAGTTCTGGATCTTGGCACTCAAAGATGAGAACCAAGTACTAGTTCACTCCTAGGCTGTACACAGAGCATCTGCTTTGTGACGTAAATTGGGATCATTCTAACATAAATACAAGGTGTAAAATACGTGAACTGTTGAATCCTATCACTGCTGCAAAAAAATGAATGGTTTTAGTCAGATGTTTCAGTAATGTTTTGAAACTTTTTTGCAAAAAGAAAAACGTCACTTCCAAATTACCTTCCAGACATGCAATCCCACAGCCTGATAATTCTTCACCTGCATGCCTTCAGTCAAAGACAGATTTTTCTCTACTAAGTGAGTTAGATTTTGAATTCTTCCAGCCCAGTCAGCACTGTATTTCCTGTGTTTCTGCAGCAGAGCAATGCACACCTCACTCTTCTCACAGACTCTCAGCCAGAACTTAGGGTTGGTAGGGAAGCTGCTGTTGTTACGGCAGCCACCTGCAGACTGGCCTCTCACCCAGGATCCAAAAAGATTCTGAGAGTGATACAGCACTTTCTCTAACAAAATAAGAAAAACATGGTGCAGACACCAGAGGTTATTTAATTTTATACAACAAACACATGGCAAAGCAGAGATTCCCTAGCCCAAGAGAACATGCTGTGGCAGCCCTGATACTTCTTCCCAGTAGACATGTATGAACAAGATTTTGAGAGGCACAAAAATGTATCTCATGTCTGGTAACGGCAGAATGAGATGACATGAGCTTTACAAGTAACAAGGAATTGGCTTTAGAAATCTGAAGTTTCTATCTCACTAAAAAATCTAAAGACTCTCCAGAATAGGAGCTGTCTAAACTTCAAACAAGAACGCTAATCTCTGAACGAGCCAGCAAGTAACTAGATTTCTGAGGAATATCAAAGACCCTTCTAAGGATCTTTAGTTTCCTTTTATCCCTCTATTCTTCCCAGCAGTAGAGACAGAAAAGGTCTACAGGTGTATAAGTAGGAAAGACTGAGAAAAAGAAATGATGGTCTAGTTGCAGCCATTTGCAGTTCAAATGACACTTTCCCATTGACGTAACATTACTTGTACAAGAAAGTTGTTTTTTCATATCACACCTGTATAAAGGCTCTGCAGTTGTCCTTCCTCGTTGATTGGAAAGCCCATGGTAATCTCATCAAATTCTCTGAAAAATTCCTCTTCATCAACCCAGAATTCTCCCTCTTGGATCTGTGAGAGCAGTTCTGAGGCAACTACCGGATCTAGTTGGCTCCACCCTTGACCACTGTAAGACAAAAGCTAAGATTCAGTTCTTCACCCAACTGAGTTCCATAACAATCTTCTGCCCCATGCAGCAAACTTGTGTAGGACAAAAAAGGTTTCATTTTGGTTTCAGATTCCTGCATAGAATGTTTCCTGTGTACACTTTGCTAGGCAGTGAGACTGATAATGGAAAGTATGAATCAAAACATGCAAAGAAAACTTAGAAACAAACTAACACCAGATAAGGTACAGTAGCATACTTACAGCTGACATAGCTACTTTGCTTTCAAGAGCCACAGCACAGTGTCCAAACAGCGAGAGCCAAAATAATGATTTTAATGGTTGTTAAAACCAGTGAGGAAAGTAAGCCAAGCTGCACAGTGATGGCTCTAAAAGAACTTCAGTGCTGCACAGCAAACATCAAAAACCACTGTTTGTATAAAGCACCAAGTTGTCCCTATCAGAGTCTGCTGGCTAAGCCCTGAACTTTATTTAGGGCCCATTAAAAGCCAATATTTGCAACATTTCTGTTAGAATACCTATGGATTCAGCACTTAGGGGAAAAAAAACAAAACAGGGCTCTATGGCCATTCAAAGAAATGCTATCTTCTCAGCTATATGGCACGTCACTGTTCGACAAAGAAACTACCGCAAGAGACTAAGAATATATCCAAAACTCTACCAAAGTAAAAACCGTTAAAGGATAATCACTTTAGAATCACAGAATGGTTTGTGTTGGAAGGAACCTTAAAGATCACCCAGTTCCAACCCCCTGCCATGGGCAGGGACACCTCCCACCAGCCCAGGTTGCCCAAAGCCCCTTCCAGCCTGGCCTTGAGCACTTCCAGGGATGGGGCAATTAAAACTTTTCTGAGCAGCCTGCGCCAGGACCTCACCACACTCTGAGTAAAGAATTTTGGCCTTATAAGAGTGGCAGCAGGGATGGAGGCATCACTGAGATATCTTTTTAACTTGGGACACACACACAAACAACCTCCACTCTCTTTCTAAACTGCTTATTAGCACAATCATATTTTACTCTAATTTATTGCTGAAAGCTCCTTGGGTCCAGAATTGTGTGTTCTTTTTTACAGTCTAAATATCCTAACACTTTTCAAAATAAGCTAAGAGGGTCTCTGCCCTTTCATTCTTGTTATGTGCAAGCTATCTGCCATTTGAACTGCTAAACAAAATTCTGTATCTCCTTTAAAAATAGCTCTGTTCTTTATATATACACTCTGCATCAATTCCAGTTTCTTCTCCTCATATTAACCTGCAGAAACAGAAAGAGAGCACACAAGCAAAAAGCATACACATCCTTCTGCTGTATTGTGTTTTAAACAAAAGTTTTTTGTTTCCTGCAACTGAGACAATACAAATAAGAACAGCTGAGTAAAGCTGAGTGACAACTTATAAGCCACAAACCTCTTTTAAGCAAAGGTCCTTTGACCAACTGCACAGAAAACAAAGGCACCACAAAAATTGGAGACAGAAGACAAACAGCTTAAGCGTATTTGTACGTAAAGACACAATGCTTTGTTAAACAAAAAAATGACATTAAAACTTTAGATTACCAGAATTATTAGATCAATGTGAATAGCCTTAGAACCAGTGAACTCTCAAAACAATTGTATACCAAATAAAGCCTCTCTCCTTTACTTTAATCTATTAGCAACATTCAGCCTTGAGCTTCAGAACTTTCACAAATCATTTTCCAAATGAAAATAAACCTACTTACCCCTCACACCAGGGACCTTTCCAGCACCGCCTCCCCCAAGGATTTCGTATTCGTAGCAGGACAATTTCCTTGCCTGACACTTCAGAAAGATTCAACATGTCTATCACAATAAAGGCATGAAATTCTCCTAGTTCACTTGCACCTGAAGAGAAAAAAATATAATAATGTTGGATTAGAAAATATACAAAAGAACTCACTTCATATTTTACAAAGACAGACTTTAAACCATCCTGTGAAAGAAAGCAATTTTGAGCTAAAAGGGAATTGTTTATTGGATCAGTATAAAAACAGCATTAAAAATAGTGTTATTTGTAACTATATAGAAATAAACATAAATTTTAAAGCATTTTAACTCAGTAGTTGATCTCAAACATCTACCAATTCTTGGTGGTGAAATTCATTAATTTTTTGGGGGTTGGGATTTGGGTGATTTTTTTTTGTCTGTTTTGAGAGTGAATCATAATACCTTCCCACACACCTAACATAAAAAGCACTTCCCCCAAAACCCTCCATTCTGAACTTAACAGTATCCTTAAATCTTTACTCATCCAAGGTTACATAAAATTGCACAACAGAACATGCATGGTACTAGAATCAGCAGTATGCAATTGCTGTCTGCCTTGTGCACTGAACAGCGTTAAACTGAAAAGATTCCTTTAAACATCTAGAACTTTACTGTTACCTTGTCTGGAATTGAGGACTGAGCAGCTTATTACACACTGTTCCTTTAGATTCATTAATCTCCTAAACAATTCTTTCTTCAAAACCATACCAGTCTTCTCTTTCTCTACATTTCTTCCAGGGTCTTTCAGGGTCCATCTTTCAGCAATGCCTCCAGTCAGATCAACCAAAGCATCTGCCACCTGTCCTGCCCATAACTGTTCATAAGATCCATGCACTCTATAGAAAAATAGAAGAAAAAGTTTCTACAAGCACAACTAAAGAAAAAAAGGTTCTTTTGTCCTTTCAATCTTCCCCTACATCACAATCATGACTGTATCCTGCCTAATCCCCAAGTAAGCAAGAGAATGCACAAACTGCATTATTTTCAGAATACTTCACCTAAAGAATACATAAGCCATCAGATATTTCATTGTCTGATGAGAATTTTATTAACTCATTCTTTCCTATAAAGGAACTGTTCTAGCCTAGTAATTTTTACCTTATTTGCACATCATCTTTCACAATGCTTTCTGCATAAGTACTCTCTTCTTCCTTCTATTAGTTTTGTTCACTCTGCACAGTGTTTCCTTCAACAGTTTAAATAAATCAAGAGACTACCCTACCTGATACAAAACAGCAAACCAAATTAGAAAAAAACTACCTAGGCAGATCAACACAAAACAGAGCATAACCTTTCAGGCCTACAGTACTGAGAAGCTTTAGCATGTCCTAGCTAGTTCACACCTTCTACTCAACACATCTACAGAAGAAACTACTTTATACTTAAAGTCTTTTTCTGCCCTCTGCTGGCAGCCACACAATCTTTCTTCTAGGTAGTGCACTTTGTCTCCAAATTCTGGTTTGGATAGATTTGATATCATTTTGAAAGATGTTTTATAAACCAGCCACATTTTCAACCACGTTAACAATCTTTTTGTTCCTACTCAGTAATAAACTGTCAAATAAAGCAAAAGCAGCAGTGGAACACACAGTCATGACCTCAACTAGCTTAAACTGATGTAATGTTGCTTTCCACGAAGATATTTACAGGCTGTCTGCTTTTCAGTGAGCCCTCAAACTGCCATACTATCAAAAGAGTTCCCTTTAATAAATTAGGTGAGCAATGGATAGTGGCTTAACAAACATCATTTGAATCCAAAAGTTGATATTCGTTTCAGCTCTTTCTTTTCATCCTAATTCTCTCCCTAAGACTATTGTATCCCACATGTAACCAAGAACACACCTTACAGGTTTAGGAAGAGACTTCTGTACAACCCAGTATGGAAAAGCTGGCTACTTTATATTGAATAATATGCAGATCTATGCCCAAAACAGTCAGATGTCTGAGTAAACAGAAGGTAAGATATACAAGTATTCTACCTCCTTTTACTTCCCTCAATAACAGTGTTCACCTACTTTGCATAAGCTTTTTCCAGTAGCGGAAGCCAAAACAAATCTTCTGTCTGACACTGGGAAAAGCAGAGTTTACCACCAAGGCAAGGCAAACGATCATCAATCGTTACTTCTACCCAGTGTCCAAATTGCCAAACTCGACAAGTGAAACAGCCTCGATATGACTCATCTGTCCAGCTGGGCTGACCTGGAGGGATTACCTAGAGGCAAAAAAGCCAAAATCGAGACAAATAATTAGTATTTTTTTAATGAAACAAATTAAATCTATGCTGAATACCAGACATTTAATAAAAAAAAAAAAAGTCACAACAAAAACAGTACAACTAGGCATAACAAAATCCATATTCATATGGATTGGGATTCGAAAATATATAAATATAAATCAGGTAAAACAAAATCTGAAACATAAATTCTATACCTTATTCAGTAGGTATTTACTCTTCTGCAAAGCTACACAGGCACACAGGAACCAACAATCTCCCAGGATTCCTTGTTTCACTTGCACATCCTGCAGATTGTTTGAAAATAACCGAGGAGTAGAACAGATGTCCTGAAAGTAAAAGAAGGGGAGTTAAAGCTGAAGGTTGCCTAACTGTCTAACGAAGTCTGTAATGCAGGGACCAGGAGGGCTTCAAGACATCTCACAAAACAAGGGGGCTTTTACCTCTTAAAACATTTTGTCTTCCTTCTCAGTCAAAGCAAGCAACAACAAAATTGCTGCCTTGTGGCTTTTCACAGGAACTTCATATGAGGTAAACCTAGTTTCCGCATAGATTTTAGTGCGCAAATGCCACCATCGAGTGCAACCTCAGCAGGGAGGTCAATAAGTGAAAGACAACTTAATTCATCAGCTCCTTGCAAGATATATGATCAACTGCGATAGAAGCGATGCCATTTGCATCACAACGCACATCCCAAATTACAAGAATCTCCAAACCCATATAATAGAAAAACATTTTCTAGGGCAGATAAAAATAGATTAGTTGGTAGTGAAAGCGATTACTTCAAATGCAAGGTCTTGAACAATTTAACCTGATCTGAAAGTGAGCATCTGCAAGCACTGCAAGAAACGGAAGTTAACTCATCAGTCCTCAGTACCAATCAAGGCGTAAGGTACAAAATCCAGCTGCACACTGGACTCTGGCAAAGCTTTTGCGTGTTAATTCCATCTGATAACCCATAGCTCCAGTACTGTTCCACAATCACCCCCCAAATGTAGGGCAGAAAAGCAATACAACTGAAGACAACATACTTCTTCACTCCGTTACGTTTTTATAGCCTTATTCCCCCCCCCATATAGAAAGCAATATCATAAATATTTCACTTTCATTGAACGTACTGCAGAAACGCATTCTAATTTTTTAGTTCTCATATGTCTGGCCCTAAAAGCTAGATGGAAGTTTTAAAGCAATAATACAAACTAGAGCTGCTAAAAAAGAAACTCTTTCTTGTTATCAAAGCACAATTTTTCCTCAACAATAGCAAAGGAATCAACATCATTTTGAAACACTCTAAAATGCTGTTATTTTTCAAAAGTTATACAATTTATTAGAAAAAAAAGGGAACGATGCAGTGTTGTTTTAAATTTGATATGCCCATTATTTGTATGATGAAACGTAATTGCAATGAAATATCTGAATTTCTACGGGCATTGTGGAATTCCGAAGTTCTACACCATGATTTAAATCAAAACTACAAACATGAACCCTGACTTAAAAACAATAAGATGTGTATTGTTAATACTCACACACTTTGTTTTTACCCATTCTATGCTTCTAATCAATAAAGACACACAGAAGCTGTTGTTCATTGCTAGCTGATATTTACTACCTTAAAGTCCAGTTGCACAAAACTGCAGGCTTTTAAACCTTCAAACTCACCTGAGGTCTCAACCAAGATATCTCGCCTCTGAACTGGGCAAGCGGGGTGCAATAATTAAAAAATATAGAGGCGTCGCTGGCTGGAAACGTGGGGTCTGCATACAGATCTCTTTTCACCGTTAACTGCTTTTTCTCTCCCAGCATTTTCAACACGATCCAAAGCAGCTGGGCCGGCTATTTCCAACACTTTATATCCCCAAACGCCCTGAAAAGCAAAGGAACGTTGCTTAGATTTAACGGAGAAAAGAGGAGGAAAGCTGTGTGGCGACAGAAAGCCTCTCACAATTTCACCCCGCGCCACGCCATCGCCGGCTCCTGTCAGACGCCACCCTCGAAGCTCCCCGCTCTGCCGATGAAGATGAGGATGACGAGGAGGGTGTCGGAAGGCGGCCTCCCCAAAAAAACGGCCCCTCCGCACGCACCCCCTCAGCCTCCCCTCAGCGCGGGGCCCGCCCCGCCGCCATGGCCGCCCCGGGCCGTTCCCGGGGCAACGCCTGTCACCCTGCGCCTCGGCCGGCCCCGAGGTAGCGGCTCGGGAGGGCGGCCACTGAGAGAGCGGCCGCGTGGTGCCGCCGCCGCCAATCCGCCGCCGCGGCCGCCTGAGGAGAGGGGAAACTACAAGGCCCAGCGGGCCCCGGGCCCGGCGGGCGCTGAGGGGAGGCTCGGTGCCCGCAACGCCTGGCGAAAATTTGGGGGCACAGATGGGGTGGGAGGGGAGCTGGAGGATCCCTCCGGCATCTCTTAGGCGCTGAGGAGAATAAAAGGAGATGGTGCTTGTGTGGGGGTGGCGGCTGGTGATGGCGTTCATCTCCACAAAGTGGCGTCCAGATCATGGTTTCAGATAGTTTATCACAAAGCGATGGCCCACAAGCCAAAGCTGACAAGGAAAGACAGCAATTCTCCCACTTTGATAGAGTGAAAATCACTCACTGCTGCCTAATAAAGGAGAGTTGGGAAAAATACATTAAAACAAAACAAAAAGCTATACCTCCTATAGAAAGGATATCTCTAGTATACCTATATTTATATAGTATAGGTATAGTATATATACCTATGGCATATACCTATGGTCTAGTATACCTATATTTATATCTAAATATATAAATCCATATATTCTATAGAAAGTCCCATGGCAAGGAAACAGAAATAGGACGTTCCTTACAGGCCATCCATTACTAAGCCACTACTGTCACAGACATACTGAAGCAGGCCACCTGGAGACTTCACTTACAGTCTTAAACCTTTGTGTTACCCAAGAAGATAAAGTGTGACGTAAGCAGGCTGCTGAGTCAGCACGAGGACAAGATGTTTACCAAAGAAATCGTTTATCACATATACCCTGGTTTATCACATACACCCTGGTATGAGTGTCAGGCTAGTGGTTACAGCAGCTGATCCACGGGCACAAAAGTTGTTTGAGAGAGAACCACGGATTTGTTTCTATCCAAAATGAACACTGAAATCTTCCTCACAAACCTCAGCCTTCAGGGAACAGAAAAAGGCCCAGGGCACTAGCAGATGATCCAACTGCTGTCTGGTGACTGGCTAACCCAGAAATTCTCTGCTGCTTGTGCGTGCCCACTGTACAGACACAAGGCTTCCCCACTGCAAATTTAATCAACAAGCAAGACTTTCCACATTTGAGTTTTGACCCTTGTGGGAGCAAAGGGAACGCTGTCGTCAGTAAGAATAAGGGCCCCTGTTGTCTGGCTCATGCAAGAGAGCTGCAGCTACATGGTCTGCAACTGAGCTGACACCGGAGAGGTCTCTGCTGCTGGAGGGAAAGGGAAGAAAAAGCCTCTCTGTGTGAGAACAGTGAGGCTCTCATCCATGTGATTTCACCCTCGCTGCTTTTTTTTTAGGCAACAGTGATCACAGATCAGAATTGCATACATGTCATTAAAGGACAGATCAGAGCTCAAAGTTCATACTGCTTCCTATAACAGTGTAAATACAGTAGGCCTTACCTGGAACAGTGAGGTAGTTAAACATGCGTCTGTATATACGGTGCTATTAGAAGAAAGGAAGAGATGAAAGTTATCTCTATCTCCCTAAACACATCTGACATGCTTTCTTTGCCTTGACTGCAAAGTTGGCAACAGGCAAATTCATCCATTATGCATCTGGCAATGTTTTCTTTTATTGACCCTAAGCCCTTTGGAAGAAAAGCAGTAATTTTCTCCGTTGCCTCTTGGCAATCCTGATGGATTATATTATTCCTTAAAACAGAAAACACGGGTCTATTTAGATAGTAAGAGCTAGAATATTTTAAGACAAAATGACACTTGCCTTTTTGTCAACCTGTTTCTCAGGGCACTTTATGCAGGTGCTTTATATTTCCTGGAGGAAAGCAGACACCAATAGGCCAAGTCCTGTTGCCATGGAAATTTAGAGTTAAAAGGGATTTGCATCCAGTTACATAGCCAGCTCATTTCCATGTGAATAAAGACTGTCCTTTGACAGAGTACTATTTGATGGTATTTTCATAATCTCTTCCCACAGTTTTGAGTTTTAATCACCCCCTTGTTCACCTCTGTCACTTGTCTTCAAATGGTGGTGGTTCAGAGCCAGGGAGACCACTAAATGGGATCTGCGGGCCCAGCATATGTGTGCTTTTGCAAATGGTGATGCACAGAAGTCCTTTAAATTACACAGAACTCTTCCAATTCTTTGGATCCTGATAGCACAAACATTTGGGAAGGCACAGGTTTAATCTCTGCAGTATTACTAGTTGTACTGCAGCTGACAGTTGTTGCTGCTGTGTCAGAGTAGCAGCACACAATCAATGTCTTACTGCTGCTTAATGGAGATTTTGGAGCAGCATTTTATATTTCTTCCATACCACAGAAGACTGGTATCACAGTGCTCTCTTTAGCTACTCGGAAAACAGACCCAGCCTTTAAATTGTCATTTAAATTGCATCTTCCCAACAGAAAAACAATTCTTAGAGGTTAGTGGTTTGATAAATCTCACACTGTGATTTCTACTGTGGTTTTATACACAAAGACTGATATTTTGGTCATAACAACTTTAAGCTGTTATCAACCTATAACAAAGTGTGAAAAAGAATGTCATGTGATTTATAACTGTTGAATACATTGCCTTATCTTTGGACAAACAGAAGCAGGAAAAACAGACTGAAGAAGTGCACTTGACCTAAGGTGAATTGTGCAGTAAGTGTGCTTAGTATGGGCGTACAGAAGGTCCTGTGTTATCCAAAAAGGACAACAACCAAGGTCACTGTAGTACGAGACCATGAGAAATTTTTTTTAAATAGAATGTTTGGGATGGAGTGCACAGTTAGGATGCTGTAATGTATCATGGCAGCAAAATTACAGATACAAGCTTAACAGAGTAATACATGTAGCTGTCAGGAATTACACTTAATGTATTAACCCATGTGGCTATGAGATGCTAAAAAAATAAATTAGCAATATTCCATTTTATTAAAGTGTATGGCTCTTCAGTGCTTCTTCACAACTGATATTACTAGACCCTACACACCACCCTGCTCATGACTGCAAGGAAATAAAGTAACAGCGTTCATTTTAAAAATAAGGAGAATAACCCAATCTCTTGGCATTTGCTTAAACAAAACTCTTTTGCTGTACTAAACAGATCAGAAATTAACCTAGCAAAGATAAGGACAATAATAGTATCTATTTAATCTCAGCCTAATTTGCCATTCAATGTCAAGTCTACTACAAATCAAGATAGAAAGCTGCCTGAAGCATTCATTTATTTTAGGTCAACAAAAGGAAGGCTTATCTCCAAAAACCTGCTTCCAATTCCCTTTTTCTTCAAAATAAAAGTACGCTCCCCGTTCACAAGAGGAGCGAAAGTACCTGAAGTAAGATGCATAGAATACTTACACATTTAATACCCAAAAAATCTTGCACCATTTCTGTGTTTCAGAGAACAAGTTGGATCAAAATAGCCATCTGACAGGATCTCACAGGGATGAAAGCAGAAACACCTACTTAAATCTTGTATCCTTTAATCAGGAAACAGTCTGTTAGGACCAGACAGCATTTCCCTGCTCTGTTTGATGCTTATGCAAACACACAGCTGATCTGATGTACTTCATTCAGTTGCAGTAACCATAGATATTTACTTTTTATTGTTTTCTTTTGTCAATTCTCCAACTTCTTGCTGTGCAGCTTTTAAATAGCTTCCAAACCCCACACTGCCGTCCTCCAGAGAAGGACAAAATAAAGACAACATACCAAGTCACCTCTTCCAGGTATCTCTCGCAGGGACACTGAAAAACGGCTCAAAAGGCTCAACTTGTCACAAAGCTTAGTTTAATTTGACAATCATCATAAGGCATCCATGTAAATTAAAAATTCCAACCAGGGTCACATACATTCTCCCACAAAATAAAACGTGTTAAAACAGAGGCCTGGGATTCCAAGATGCTAGTGGTTACTGGGCTTGGCCAGGCTGCCGCTGCTGGCAGAGGGGTCCAGGAGACACAGCACCAACAGCAGCAACGCAGGAAGCGGAAGGTCAGCTTGTACAAATCTCTTTCAATGGAACAGCACACGAAAAGGAAAGAGATTTGTACAGAAAACATCATTCTCCATCCCTTCTGGGAAAACAAAACAGAACAAAAAAGGTAATCCCATTCACGGAGCAAAGAGCAGAACCTGGAGTTCTGAAGCCCAGCAATGCTGAGGGCCCATTTTTGAAAACTAATGAAGCACTAAAGAGGCCTGAGTTCATTATTGCTTTATCCCAGTTCAGCCCAGGCTAAGGCTATGGTGAAGTCCAAATGAATTTAAAGCCAGAAAATGCAGAACCAGTAACAGCACCTAGGTCCCCATCCACGCATGGGTGTAAACAGATTCTTTTGGTGATATCTCCCAAATTTCCCCTCTCCCTGTGCTATGCAGATCCCCATAGCAGTGCTAAAATTTGCACCAAAGTTTATAACAGATTCTCTCTCACGTCCCCGTTAGCTGAGCCTCTTCCAAGTGTTTCGCCTTTTAGTCAAACTAGTCCTCTATCCTGCTGATATGTCAGCTCAGAGGTGCTTGCTGGGAGCTCACCAAGAGGCACACAGTTATCCGTGCTTAAAAGAAAGGGGCACGGAGTCCAAGAACCATCACCTGTACTGTGTAACATAGCCAGCACTGCTTCACCCTCAGCGCTTTGGAGACCAAACGGCATAGATGAGAAAGTCTCTCCATCCTGCAGGCCTGGCCAGGGATCAAGAGAAACAGCACGCTGTGTGAATGAAATGGCATCTTGCCACCACCACGAGTCAGAAAACAGACTCGAGTAAAGTGGGGCTTTAAATTTTCACATCAAAAAAGAGTGCTTCCCTCAGACTATCATATGACAGGGCAACTGTTATTCAGGCAAATGTTATGCAAGGCAGCAAAATTTGAGCATGGATATCTCCAGGGTTGACTTCCAGCCCCAACATATGCTAGGGATCTTTTAAAAAATTAAATTAAAGGTCCTGTTAATTTTTTCCAAAAGGACAGAATAGAAAACACACGGTGTATCTGATGAATGCATGTGCTACACATGCTAAGACATAACAAA